GAAGGTGCAGGACCGACGGGTTGCGTGACCTTCGAGGCACAAGGGTGTAACACCGCCAACTTCCCAACTTCTGGCTTCTACTGAGAATTCTTTAACATTAGCGCTCAATAACTAAACTTAGCCCGACTTGGGCCTCGAATTCAGGACCTCCGGATCTACGGCCGTACATGCTAGCAGTTAGACCATCGAAGCAATTACTCGTAATCTGTATAAATATTATAAATGTGCAAGTTTGTGAGAGTGTATGGATTTGAGATTATTACTCTATCATGTCAGAAAGGCAAAACGGATCTGGATGAAATTTGGCACAGAGATAGATTATAGTCTGGAATAACTTATAGGTTACTTTTTATCCCGGAAAAATATACGGTTCCCGAGAAATAGTTTTGTTTTTGTTTTTCTAGAGGTGTACCGCTAGTACATGTACCTATATAACAACGTGTAAATAACAAAAACACTTTTAAAATCATACAATGATATTAATCCCGTATATAATTTAAACACTAATATAAAATATCAGAATAGGAAATATAGGGTTAACAAGTTGAAGTGAAAAAACGAGTAAAATAAAACTGGTAATAATGACGAATGCTTTATGTAGTGGATCGTAAATCTTTTTTATTTCTGCGAACCGTTCTATTTTTGAATAATTACTTGTTTACCGCAACTACTGAACATTCCACTGTGCCTGACGCTTTAAAAAAACAACTAAATAAGGATGAGGTTTAACTTAAAACCAGTTATATAGTTTCAAGCGGAGACGCTCTAGCGATTAGTGACAAAAACACGACTTTATGCCTATTTAGTACTTATTTCTTCCATATTAGATTAGGGCTGTGTTGTAGACAGTTAAGTTTTAAGCTATAAAAGAAATAAGCGTTCTACTCATAATAAGTACTTCAAAACGACTTATAATTAATTATTTATTATCTGTAAAATAATGTCTAGGATGAATAAAATAATTTTATTTATTTCAATCTCTACATAAATAAAAGAAAAATATTTAAAATTATTCTTTATATTCTCAACAGTAATGAGAAAATTATACAAATATATGCGTGTACAGAGATCGCTATTCGCGAAATTAACTCCACTTTGCCATGCAGATGATAAACATTAGGTAATTAAAGAAACACGAGACCAAGCAATATCTAACGTCTCTAAGACACTGTAATGGTTTCACGAGTTGCATAAAATTATTTGCTTTAGAAAATAATTCGCTTGTGACTGCTTAAATATGCATTTTATAAATAATAAATACATTTTCCACGTACGAAACGAAAATCTACTTGTCTGTAATTCTGCCACACTTCCTAGAATACTTTAAAGTAAGTTGGTGTATATTGTTATTCAACTGTCAGTGATAAATCTTTCAATCCGTTTAACTTCTCATCCATAGTGCAAAGCTATTCTGATGAGCGGAATACCTTTTATACGTAGAATTCCTTGACTATATATAAGTAATATAATGCAAAATACACTGTGGTTTTTCATATCGTTTCACATTCTTTCATTCGGTAGAGAGCACTGAAGGAATTTTGACTAATCCACGAGGGTAATATTTTTGCTAAATAAGAGCAAACCTTTGCCCGTAAAATAAATGGCCAAAGAAAGTTTTGTGAAATGTATTTTGTTATATTCTGCATAGAAATTTCCAAAGATGATCTATGTCTCAACCAAATCGGGACAAACCCTTATATGGTCAATACAGACGCCTGTTCCGTAGAGTAATCGAAATCGCTATCACTGGTACAGCTAGCAGTGCCAGTCAGACACGTTACACCGATGGTGGTCGATGTGTTTTAAATTATTTACGAGTACCTATACACTATACATGTTTTCTGTATCTAGTCAAGGTTTGAGCACAGCGTTAAAGCCACACAACACAGGGCAAAAATTGAAATGATATATTTTGTAATTATTCATTGTATTAATTAGCTAATTTATCTAAATTTCCATTATTAAAAATTCTTTACATAATCTTATAAAAACTTAACAAAGGATAATATTACTTTCATTTAATTCCCGATTGAGCAAAAAATATTTTTTTATTGGTTATACCCATATTAGTTAAAGTGATTATAATAATCAACATATTTCTACAATAATTTGACACAAACGACAACATGCAACTTTGTATGTCGTAGAAAAAAATCATAATATATAGTAAAGAAAAATAAAAACCAAACCAACGCTAGCCCCCGATGCCGAGCCTCGGTCGGCGCTAAACTGATTTTCTAATAAGCCATAAATAATTAATCAATCGTGTGAGTTCCTGACAGTATAATGAGATTGCGTGAAGACGGCAAAAAGCGTGGTCGAACTACGAGTGTAGAATCAATAAGGCTCGATCTACATTATTGTGCCGATCACGGTACTTTCTGGTTAAGCTCTCCTAAACCATTTGCTTAAAAAACTTTAATTAATCACGGGGTCTTAAACAGTGTGAAATATAAATACTCATTTTTTTACTTTTTATGCCAATAGTGCGGATAGAGCCTAAGACGCCAGTAAGTTTTTAGAGTTACTGCGGTAGGTGATGTTAGTTCTAGTTACCATATTCTAACTTCCTACCTTTTTACGGAGTTTCAGAAAAGAGGTGGCGGATCTTTGATAACGGCTTTCTTTGGCTTCCATTTATAATGAATAGATACATATTTGTTGACTTAGATTGATACGTGCTGGTATCGTTTATATAAATTTTCAAATATACTGGATATTCTATGGAAATTCATGTTAATTATGACTGCATGTTTATTATAACTGAGTCATACATCGTATGAGGGCACAGCAGTGCACTGGCCAAGGTCCTACAAATCGACCACATGTTCTCCGCGCAATACATTACATGCAATACAATACTTGAACAGTTTCGGGACACTTTTTATATATCAAAGGTCATAAAATCGCCCAATTAGGTACAACATCGTGCTTGAACACCGGAATCGAAGACTAGGGATCTGAGATGAAAGTGGGGGGAAGAAAGGAATAGTGGTAATAATTTTGACAATCAAATGGAGCCATAATTTATAAGGAATAAATGCAAATCCAAAGGTTAAAAGATTCGTCTTGAATTATTGATTATAAAGATTTAAAATTGATTTCGCAATGTTTCTATTAAACCATAATTCCCATAATTTTTCATATGATTATCTTTACCTCTATATACCTTGGAAACGTAATACTTTAAGACAACACACACAATTTTATATGTGTCCTCTATCCGTACACACTTTTAACGTGCGCAGGTTACATTGAATAAAAATAGCTTCCATATTGACTTTTCAAACAATTTTCTTACCCCTATTTACTTTCCTACCTTAAATAAAAAATACGACATCCTGTAACCAGTCTAGTACTTTCAATAAGCACAGAGCGCAAAATCAGCTATTTTTTTCTCCTTTTTGGCTTTGGCTAATTTTTATAAGTAAAAATGAAATCTAATATCATATTGAGATGTTGGATGGTAATTCATATTCTAATAAAAATATTTAAACATACTAGTTATTGCTCCTAGTTTTTGTTCTTATACCTAAGTAAATTGTACAATGGTCAATGTACATAATTATATACATAGGTGCTATTGAAAAAATTTAAGTTACATTATTCTTAATGTCTCGTAAGTTTAACGACAAAATTATAGCTACTGGTCTGGCAAGCCTAAATGATGTAGTGTTACGGTCAAGAAATTTTAAGAAGCTTCTTCTGCTTTTTCTGCGTTAAATCCAGTGCTTCAAAAAGCACGTAAAGCCGACGATCTTACGCCTGTGAGTTATTCTGTGAGAAATTCTATGTAACTCACTGAATCAGCTCATGTGTAAAACTTGAAAAAGTATATAAAAGAAAAGCTAAAATAGATCGGCTGCCGCCGCTATTTCTAATGAGAAAGGAAAAGCAAGAATACACTTGTATATAATTCTATCCTTATATTTGTATATAATAATATCCTTAAAATTGCTCTTTGTTTATGCACAGGCGTTAAAAATGTTAATAAAAAATGTACTAAGCACATTTTATAGATAGCACTCTACAGTAATGTAGCTTAGAAATGTAGATTAGTGAAAGCTATCAGTACTTTATGAGATTATTCCCGGTAGCTAAACTTACAAACTGTACCTCTGTATATATATATATTTTGGGACATTAACACAGCACCATCTAGTTCCGATGTAAGCTACAAGGCTTGTGTTATGGATCCCCCCCAACGTGCGTTCACCTTGTCGTGGTGGGGGGGCTCAGTAGTGCCCGGCAATCCAACCGGGCGCGAAGCTAAGAAACGCACAGGGAGGTTGCCCACTTCGGTGGGCGGTGGGAGGTGGCCCTCTTCGGGGGGCGGTGTACCATGACATTCTCTGATAGCAGAGTGGACCTTGGAGCAACCCCACGGTTGTGGTGGTCTGCTTCGGCAGACCTGCCGTCGGGGCGTCGTAGTTGAATGCGTAAGCGATCCTGCGACGCCCCATTAAGACGGAGGAAGGTTTTGTTGGGTTTTAGTGGGTAGTACTGGCTGTATTACGCCGGTGAGTCCCACACGTCGTGCGTAAATTCATTTCCCAACGTTAAAAAAAAGGCTTGTGTTATGGATACCAGATAGTTGATACAGTAACACTACACATATACATATAACTAACAATACATACATATTATAAATATAAACACCCATGAATGGAGTACAAGCATTCGTGCTGCTCACACAAATGAATGCCCCCAGCGGGACTCGAACCCGAACCGCAGGCACAGGAAGTAGGGTCACTACAGACTGAGCCAAACGTGTCGTCATAATATTATTAGTGTAGCTACCAGTAGTAGTTTCCTGAATTTCTATAATAAGGTAAGCCGATGGAAATTGACTTCTATTGGAATAAATATTTTATTGCCATTCAAACATTTAGGTTGTCAAAAATGGGTAAAGAGGTTAAAATAAAAAAACTATAGGTAATGTATAATAGGTATCGTTAATATTTATATCAATATACCTACATTTGAGAACGTATAAATCACTCTTTAACCAGGTCTATACTTAGATTAAACTGTCCTTTTTCCAGATCGCAGGCAACTTGATAGCTCCATTTATCTGATCCACTCACCATTTCAGAGTTTTTCTGTAACAAATTCAAAATATTTTAATCAGCATTTAATTTTTTTTTTTACTGAACACACTAAAAATTTAATTCAATTATTTCTATTATTAGGAAATCAAAAGAAATCATTTAAATAATACAAAAAGTGCAGAGATAGATAGAAAAATAAGCAAATTACATAAAAAAATATTGTTAGTGTTTTATTAGGAAGAACTAATATATTATGTATACTAGAAAAATAAAAACAATCCTATCCCTTATGTGTTATTCCAGACTATAATCTATCTCTGTGCCAAATTTAAGAAAGAGTAACAAACATCCATACTCACAAACTTTCACATTTATAATATTTATATATACAGACATACAGATTATGACAAAGTCGGGTTGACTAGACCATTTATAACTCAAGAACTGCCGGACCGATTTTTATGATATTTGATTTGTTGGTCGGAGACCGAATAGCAGAATAACTATCAAAACATCGAAAAAAAATATGAAAAATAAAAATTTACATGGCTAACGCTTGCTAAAAATTATCTATATCTATTTCAAACGTACCTAGGGACGCACCCGAGCGAAGCGAGGGTAAGAAAATACTTAATAAAAAAGGTTGACATAAATTGAACAAGTTATATCAAGATGTGCCTGTATGTAGGTGGTATGCGTAAATGCATTTCCCAACTTTAAGAAAAACTTCGCATTTAGTATAGAAGTAAAATAGTGTAAAATTAAAATTAACAGTTTTTCGATTTTTTCCAATCGTTTCGTTCATGAATAAAGAATTCAATTACTTTTACTAAGGGCAGATTAACATTTTATGATCTGTGAAAAATAATTTAATGTACTATTTATATACACCACAATCCACATATTTGTTGTTCTTTCTAATAGATCTATACATACTATAAATAAAATGGAATTTTTGACAGTGATTTCAAAATAACTATGTTTTCTCAAGTACATAAGAGTTATTTATATGACACAAGCACCTAACAATTACTCCTTTTAAATTTTTTGTCTATCTATCTAGATAGGTAATGTATAATAGGGTTTCGGTAACACAAAGATTTGTGTTACCGAAACCCTTAAAAATTACGCATAATTCGACTGCTAATAAATAAACACCACGTACCAATATTTTAACGGCCTGCCTAGTGTGCATGTCCCAATTAACAAAGTCCCCTACTGATGGATAATCTATGGGGCCAGCACTTATTTGCTTCCCTCCAACAACCCACACTGCCCATATCGCGAAACCGTTTACTGAGCTACTTTCTTCTGTGTCTATATCTCTGAAAATTGTGTAAAAAAGTATGGTCAAAATATATAGAAACTCATTGTATGACTAAAGCACTCGGAAACTGTCATGAACTCATAAACATCACATCTCGGATACTATTAAACCCTTAAAAATTACCAAATTTACTTAAAAATTACGCAAAATTAAACTAACGTTTTTAAACTGCTGAGTCGCTAGTTATAAATATTTATTGTTGAGATATTAACATATTATATTATTAGGTATACGTATGTTTAACTCCATATACCTGCTAAACTATATGGTATACGCAAAGTGTTGCTAGGCTCTAAAATTTTAATTTTATGCTGTACCTTAATAATACTAAAATAAAATATAGCCTGTATTGTTTATCAACAATAGGTAAATATATTCTAAAATAGTCAAAAAAATATAAACTCATCTTCTATAGTTTTAAAGTTAATAGATTACAAAGTATATTTTAATTCTAAAACAAAATAACTCTTACTTACACAATATTATTAACTCCATCACAAGCAAATGTCGCTTTTAGATCTCTCATATTGATCTCCAGCAGCTTGCGAGGCGCGCCGCGACTCCTGCACGGATATTCCCATAATGGCTGCGCTTCTATTTCCGAATCACTTATTACACGGGAATTCTAAAATATCCACATTGAGCTACTATTATAAATTAAAAAAGTTATTTGTATGAGTGTTCGTGTGTATGTGTGCACGTGTGTGAAGTGAGAGAAAATACTATATACTAGCTGGACCCCGCGGTTTCACTTGATTATAAACATCAGTTTTACAATAATGTATGGAAGTCTGCCCAATTGCTTGTCATTTATGATTACAACTCCGCTCCCTTGGGTAGTAGCTTAATGATATAACGCCTATAATAGCCTTTCTCAATAAACGGGCTATCTAATGCAAAAATAATTTTTAAATCCGATTAGTAGTTCCTGAGATTAGCGCGTTCAAACAAACACAAACAAACAAACAAACAAACAAACAAACAAACAAACAAACAAACAAACAAACAAACAAACAAACAAACAAACAAACAAACAAACAAACTGCCTCTTTGTAATATTAGTATAGATGTATTTTAAATTCTTTTATCAATATATGAAATTAAAAAAGTACAGCAATATATAGCCACACTCGTAACGCTTAACACGAATATAATTTTCCATTATTAAAATGTATTTTACTGGTGAAATCAATATATTATGTTGTATAGATCTGAGATTTAATGCGTTATTTCTAAAATGCAGAGTCGCTTCACGAATGCAACTTGCATTAACCAAAAATAAAATAGCACTTTCAAAAAGATAAAACCGTTAATACCACAGAAGTTTTACATATGAGTAATAATATGTATATAAATATACCTCAACAAGGTCATCAAATATAGACATATCTATTCCTTCACAGATGCCAAGAGGTATTCTTATTTTGTGCAAATCTTGAAAATCTACAGGCATTGCCCAAAATTCACAACTTTCAGGCATAACTATAACACTGTTTTTCAGTTTGCTTCCACATTTGTACAGTAAGTACGCCATTTTCAAATTCTCCCACGGCAATATGGCGCTACTAAAATTGGGATCACATATAACATTTGTTACACTTTCTAATACTTCATCTGTTAAATCTGGAATTATTTGGACATTCTGGATTCCATTTTCTTTTATATAATCGTTGAGAATTCCCAAATGTAACGATCTATTTTCCAATATATAAACGGATTTAGCACCCATTTTGGTCGCTGATAGTCCAAGAAAACTACTACCATTTAAGTCCAAAACGACCGCATTTTGTACTAAATCTTCCTTAATTTGAGCTAAAAACTTTTTGCTCCTTTTCCCATCGTTTAAATAAGACACATGAGTCCTTGATAACGTCATATGAACTCCACATTCACAAATCGGCCGTTTGTAATGTTTATGCTTAGTCTTTCCATCTTCTAAGTAGAACCATAGAGAATATTCGTCCTGACATGAGACCAAAGATACTTCGGTATCTTTTTTTATGGTTAATTCCTGTGGCAGATAGTAAACTGCCTGCATCCAATGATCACGCCATGGTATAGTGTTTTGAGGTCTTTCTGTTGATAGCTTTGCGTCTGGGTGAGACCACCATGGGGCGCAACTTAGACATATTTTACCTAAAAAAAATATGTATAGTACAAAAATAAAAACTATTTATCTAACAGTTATGGTTGTAAAGGTTTAAAAAACATATATTTTAATTACTTCAGTACATTCATACATACAGTCCTTCATACTGTCTCGTTCCTAGAAAAGATTCACCATCATTTGTTTATGTCTTACTTTAGACATAGTAATACTTATGTATGGATAAAGTTTTATCACAATTTTCGTCTGTATGTTTGTATTTGATACTTTAATAAAACATCTAGACGAATTTAAACAGAATTTTCTTTATTGTTCAATAAGTTGAACAATAAATACATTTATTTGGTACTAATTTTTCTTTAGTGTACCTTTTTAGTTAAAAATAAACAGAACGAAACACTATTCTAGTTAAATATATTATAACTAACGATGCACTTTGAAAGTTTACGCTTATCTTTTTAACGATAAAAAAAATGGTTTAAATCTACAACTATCCTTTTTTTATTTGTTTTAAAAGATTGGATCATAGAGATTAGAGACCATGGCACACTTATAGGAACATCAGAAAATCTCATCTATTCTACTTGTTTAATTTTAATTATACAATTTTATACAGCATCCTTGCTTGACTACAACTAACCTTCAGTGTCCATATTGAGCTCCCACCACATGAACACAATCTGTGCCTTCCCTGTATTTGTCACATTGAACTGCTGCTTTACAGTTTTCTTCATATCTATAGGTGTATTTCCAGACCAATCATAATAAAACACTGGAATTTGATCTGAAAGCTCCTTAAAAGCTTGACGAGGCAGTTGGGATAGTTGAATGTCGTGTACTGCAGCTGATCCTGCGCACATCTTCATCTGGAATTTTCAACATTAATATAACAATACCTTAATCCTCAAGGCAGTGGTAGCCACGCTCGCTAGTAATGTGCTCGCTCAAAAAACCAAGTGAAGCAGTATTTGATATTTTCCTGTCTATATCATTTCCAACATAATTACCATTTGTCTTACGGTGACAGAATCGTCATCATGAGGTAACATGTACGTATGAGAGAACCTAGCAAGTTTTCGAAAGACATGTGAAGTCCGCCCGCACTTGGCCAGCGTGGTGGACTACGGCCTGATATACCCAGCAGTGGTATATCAAAAAGAGCTGAATACTGTAATACTGAATCTTAACTACTAATTTACACCCATGGTGGCCAAAATGATGTCCATTTGACTTGCACAAATAACATAATTTATAGATGTTATGAGGAATACTTACATTACTAGGAACAATGTTTTTTGTGTTAGATGTCTATTGTTAATTTTGAATATATTTTCATGCGTTTTTCCTTATTAGATTATTCCCCAAGAATCATACAAAAATCAAAAAAGTGCTACAAGTTAAACAATAATTAAAGTAGTTTTGAGTTGGGTGCCTTTTTGGTAATAATGTCATTTAATTTCGATCTTTGATATGTTAATTATTTTCTTATTCGTTCTATTAATAATAGTGTAAAAATAAACCTATTGTTATTATTTTTCAAAATGCAGATTAAATTTTCTTCCTTATCTAATATCTAATATATTTAAACGAGCAATTCGGCGATAAATCGATCTAGATTAGTCTTTTTTTTTTTATTTATCCAAGTTTTTAGTATTTTTTAAAGAAAATTGCACTATTGATTCAAAAACTCCGAGCAAAGCTCGGTGGCCCAGGTACTAAAATATAAATAGAGAATATTTAGAAATTTGCTACACACAGCCAATAACTAAAAGTAAGTAAGAGATCCAAGCGCAGCAGGAAGCTAATTTCGAATGATGTCAAGATTGATCTTCGAAGACTACATATAGTATAAAAGGCATGACTAGATAGACAGAGAGATAGAAAGATAGCATCGACCAGCAGTCACTTAAGTAGTCAGTAGTCAATTAATTAATAATAATTTCTAGTTAATAAAGTATTTAAATTTGTATTTCTTTACATCCTGTGGTTGCACCCAATGTAATCAATTGAAGAGTGTAATGAACAATAATTGTTTTCATTCCAAATCAACAAAGAAATCTTAAGAGTCTATAATACAAGATAAAATAAGTCCGTTGACTTCATTTTTATTTCTTTATTTTTATTGAGTTTACTTTATTCCTATATACCAGTATTATTATATAATACAATTTGTGGAAAAAAAATGTAGGTCGGGAATGCCAAAAAGGTTAAACCAATATTTAACTTTAATTTACTAATACTATTAAAATTTCAAATAATTAAAATCACAAATAAATTAGTAAAACAGAAAATTCAAATGTACCTTTTCGGGAGTCCTTAATATAACTTCCAAGTCCTCATCAGCTAAGTCATTTAGTTTATTCCACTTTTGTAGAGTAGGGCATTCAACTACTTGGGCATAGATCACTGCAGAATCAGGAACTACTATACAGTCTTCTTCAAGCAAGAACTTGTGTGCATGGGAAAATGTAGATAAAGCACCTTTAAACAAAAAAAGTGTTTGCTAGACTGACAGCAGATGAAACAAAAATGTATTCTCTAGCAATGTAATATTTTTTTAAATAACATTCATATATATTTTTTAACATTATTTGCATTTTGCTGTAATTAATGTATGATGATACCTTCACCAATTAATTCAGTATCAAATACTTCAGTGACTAATATATTGGCTTTTTCCTTAAGGTCTCCATCTTCACCTACTGTCAAATCAGTAGATCTTTTAGGTATAACTGTTATTTTATCAGCAACACCATTTCTTTCTAATATCTTTATACAACATTCTGCCATAGGTTTGAATGCTTCACAGGCTGTTATGGTATCAGCACCACATCTTGCTGCCATTATTGAGAGCAAACCTGTTCCAGTACCTGATAAAATTGTGTTAAATACATCTAAATGTCATACAATATAAAAATTTATTTATTTATGTACCACAAAAAAAATATACATATAAAACATTATTTATGTATTGTATGTGTATTCAGCCCTTTTTATCGTCCCACTGCTGGGCACGGGCCTCCCTTCAGTGCGAGGGGAATCAGGCCATAGTCCACCATGCTGGCCAAGTGCGGGTTGGCGGACTTCACATGTCTTTAGAAAACTTGCTAAGTTCTCTCAGACATGCAGGTTTCCTCACGATGTTTTCCTTCACCGTAAGGCAAGTGGTAATCATGTTAGAAATGATTCGCACATGAAAATATCAGAGGTGCGAGACCCGGGATTTGAACCCGCTTCACTCGGTTTCTCAAGCGAGCGCGTTACCACTGGGCTACCACTGCCTTTTTTTTTTAACATTATTTATATGATAAATAAAATGTAAAAATTAATAATATGCACATTTTGTTACATTATGTTAATCATAAATATCATTTTGTTAATTTAGTTTATCCCAAAGGAATTATTTGCTCTGTTTTAGTTAAATATTTTTAATTTACAAGAATGTATTTACCTATATCCAGTACATTTGCTTTCTTTCCTGCATTGTGCATCTTTTCGATTGCTAATTCCAAAGCTCTATAGTATTTTTTATTTCTTTCTGTATCGTGAAGCATATCAGCGAATGCGGATCGTGCTATTTCCTGATGATAATCGTAGTCTTCATGTTGAACATCCCATTCAGTACTACCAGTAATAGGGTTCCTTTTTTGAGTAAATACTTGCATTTTGGATAGTTTAAAAGCAGTTTGTAACCTGAAAATTAGTTTGTAATTTTTAAATCCAATAGACACAAAAGATACTGTTTTCACAAATGAATTTGATAGGTATTTTATAAATTAAAACTACTACCTTGTAAATCCGGAAACTAATAAAACACTACAAATCTTTCTAGAAATTATAAGTTTCATCGGCAGTTAATAGATAATCATATTTTATTTTAAAATAATAGGTACTTAATTCTAAAACTAAACCAATTTTTACATGTGTAATATGTGACATGACAACTAAAAATTGAAATGACAATTGACAAGTGACAAATGACAATTGACATTTACATATTTTCAGGCCAGAGCTAATATGTAGATTTTTGTTTGTTGTCTGTTTGTTAACATAATACTAATTAATTCAAAGCTAATAAATGCTTTTAAGCTATAGAATAAAATGGAAATGATCATTGAGGTATCCTTAAAAGGGTTTACAAACGACATCTTTTTAACGCGCCGTCGCGTCGACGCGCGTTCGCGGCTCGACACGTGTCTGAATAGACCCTAAGTATTCTTGAATTCTTTGTTACACAGTATTTGATCTCACCCTAAAAACAATTTCTGTCCCAATCGTTTAAACTTTAAAGCGATCAAAATAATGTCACTACTATAGCAGATTAACGTATTGCGTTCATAAGCTTTAATCACCAAATTTAACTTAATTTTATTTTTAGTTAATGGATAAATATTTATCAAAAAGTTAGACGATTTATTTAATTCTTCGATTATGGGAAAAAAATATTATTTGAAAGTTAATTGTATATTTGTAACTTGAATGGATGAATGCTTATCAACCTTTGCATTGCAGTAAAAATATTTGATTTATTATGGCAATACTAATTTAGTCGAATATGTCAGTCGATTCGTCTTTCATTACGACGTTTTACTATCATGGCGGCCGCGGTAGGCAGGATTTGTGGGGCACGACTTTTGAAAAAAATTGGGATAGTTTCACCCCAGGTATTAAATATAAGAATAAAAACTTTTTTCGGTATCTGTAAAATTATTAACTACCTCTAAAGTGAATGTTGATTAAGAAAATTGTAGTATTAGTAAGTTGCAATCTTTGCGGAAAACTTGTGATATTCAATAAATTTATCAATTTTAGCAAGTAATAATGTGTTCTGTTAAAAAAGTGGGTGTTCTTTACGACTGGAAGAATGGTGGCCACTCTAGTGTTCTTGAAAATAATAGGGACGAAGTATAACCTTCTCAACATTATGTAATAAGTGCAAAGAAAATTAATGGTTAAACATCCCTTGCAGGTTTGTCAGCTGTCCACCAGTACTAAAGCATGGACAAATAATAGAAAATTGGTATGTATAAATGGCTTAAATTAAAAGCATAAAGTTTTCATAGCTATTTTTAAAGCCTAAATTTAATGAAGATAAAAAATTAATTACATACATAATTCTATGAACAACCTTTGATAATGAATGAAAAAAAAACAGGAATCCAAAGATTACTGTTAGAATTTAGCAAAAGTAATACTGTAATATTTTATTTTGACTTCTTTTCTTTTAAAAAAAAATACTGTTTGTTATTGAAAATAAATAACATTTATTATACAACTGGTATCAACTGCAATTATTATAAAAATAACAAGGAGTATATATTGAAACTATTATTTTTTTCATTTGATGTAAATATAATTCTAATTTATTTCAGTGGTTATCCACATTAGGTGTAGTGGGTGGTGGTGTTGGTGCCCTGTTGTTTGCCCTAGAGCAATCTGTCGAGGCATCAGATGATAAAGCTCATGCATTCCACCAGCCTTGGAGTCATGATGGCTGGTTCTCATCACTTGATCATGCCAGGTAATGCTTTCTTAGATTTATGAGAATATTTGACATTTTAAATAAAACTATCTTTTTGGATTATTATAGCAAATTTTGCTATATTTGATTATAAAACATTAAAAATATTTTAAAATGTTTAGAATCAAATATCACCAAATATTGTAAGGTACTTTGATGCCATTTTTGAATTTATTTAAAATAGTGGGTAGGCACTGTCTGTAACAAGTATATAAAGCCTGACCTTAGTCTCTCCCGTAATCATAATTGCTGTAAAGCATTCAAAAATCAAAATAAATCAGTGAAATAGGTACTTTCAATTTCATAGATTTCACTATGTCACAACTGGTGCTAATTAGAAAAATCTAACAAGAAAAATTATGAAATAAACATTTCTTCATGATAATCAAGACACACAATTCAGAGAGGAGCTAGTAATAGAAACTTAGTGAGAACTGGTTGGGAAAGTGGGTAGCTTTAGGCTGCAGATATATTAGATCTGGAATTTGAGTACCAGGTCATGCCAAAAACTTAATATCTTGACAGGAAACCTACTTAACTCTTAGTCGGTTTATTTGTTAAGAAATGCTCAGCTTCAAGTTAGTCTTAGAGATTACTTAAAGCCGATCCTGCGCCGGATCTATTGCTGATCTAGTTGAAGCTGTCTCGCAAAGCTATGACGATCTCAGTGAGCGGCTAAATAATTTCGTACTAATAATACAATATCTCCCACGAAAATAGCTAGTTTCAGTGAGATTGGCCGCCAAAGAAAATCAACTAAAAAGACATTATTATTATATTTCTATTAATTTTCCTTCCACCAGCGTTCGTCGTGGTTACGAAGTGTACAAGCAAGTGTGCAAGGCGTGCCACTCCCTGCAATACATCGCGTTCCGTAACTTGGTCAATGTAACTCATACTGAGGATGAGGCCAAAGCCGAAGCCGCCGAGGTAGGTTACGTAATATTTAAATACTATAGGAAATAGTCCTTTTTGTTACCTTTTTAAACTGCTGAACAGATTTTGATGAAGAAAAGGGGCATAAGTTGCATAAGAGATGGATACAGGGTAGCTTTTATTTATAAAGTTATTTTAAAGAGTCACAATATGCAAAAATATCATGTTATATCCATACTAATATTATAAATGTGAAAGTGTGCTTGGTTTTTGTCTTTCTCTCACGTCGAAACAGAGTACCGGATTGGTGTGAGAGAAGGACAAACAAACAACTTTGTCTTGTGTGGAGATAGATGGCTGGAGAGTGACATAGGTTACTTTTTATCGCAGGAGATTATTTCATTCCCACGACAGAGCATGTTATAATAAGCCCACAACAACTCAGCATGCCTATGTATATGTATAACTATCGAATAGTAATAATTAAAATGTACCTAGGAACAGACCCAAGCAAAGATTTTGTGAATTAGACCCACATCCTATTTTGAATTAGATTAATATTGGAATCAATTTAATTTTCTCGTTAATGGCTTCAAATAATATTTGAGTCAAAAGAATAATAAATGAAAGTATTGAAGTATTTATTGCATTAAATTTAAGGTATTATTTAAATATTTAACTTATATGTCACTTAGTAAATCTGAAAGACACAGTTAATGAGAAAGGATTTATAGATTTTTCACTTCGACAAAAGAACACAAAAATGGTTAAAAAATCTGATAGGAAAAGAAAATACTATATACTAGATATTTTTTACTGATACAACTATACATAATGTTGTATTACTGTGCATCAAATATAATTAGTTCTAAATAAATCTAATACTTAAGTAATGAAAATTTAATACTTTCTTAGATTTACACTAATATTTTACATTTTTAAATAAAACTATCTTTTCGGATTTTTACAAAAAAAAAACGAAAAAAGTTCTAAAAGATAGTTTTGTATAAATAAAAAATTTTAACCACTTAAGTTTACCTTTAATAGGTACCTTAAACTTCGCTTCTCTGTTTGCCTAGCATGAAATGATTTTTAATTATTAAAGGATCTTTTCGTTACAGGTGATGGTAAAAGACGGCCCTGATGATGAGGGCAACTACTTCGAGAGGCCTGGAAAGCTTTCTGACTACTTCCCATCGCCTTATCCTAATGAAAATGCTGCCAGAGCTGCTAATAACGGTATGAATATACCTTAAATTAATATTTATTATTTACATATATACTTAATAAATTTGTATATCTCACTATCATAAAATCTCATTTAAGTTTAATCAAGTCTTCTGATTCATAATCTTTGAAAAGATAAAAAAGGTTGATTTAAAAAAAATGATGGAACTTAAATTCACTTGAACAATACATGTCACTTTCAGTATTGTATTGTGTATGTCACATTAATATATTTAAAACATATTGAGTATTTAAATATATTCTATATTGCACAATATGAAAAAACCATAAAACACATTTCAGTTTTGTTGTATGTTAATATTATACACTTAATTCATTAAAGTGTACAAATAGGCTTCTCAATTTACTTTAATAATATGGGTAAATGTTAAAATGTCATTGCAGAATAAATAATGAAACTTATTAGATTATATTTTTGTACTAATATTATAAAGAGGCAGTTTGTTTGATTGTGCTAATCTCAGGAATTTCTAATCCGATTTGAAATTTTTTTGCATTAGATAGCTTGTTTATAGAGGAAGTCTATAGGCTATATATCATCATGCTACTACCCAAGCGAGCAGTAATCATAAATGTCAACAAATCGGGCAGACTTATTGTAACATTATTGTAAAACTGATGTTTGTAATCAAACAAATTTAACGAGGGTGAAAATTCTGGGCACAGCTAGTATATAACAAAACTCAATGAATATTTTCAATCACTACAGTCTTAGTAGGCTTCAAGCTTAAACAAAAATAATAAAAAAAATTGATTACTATATTGTCCTTTATTAATTAATCTATACTAATATTATAAAGAGGTAAAGTTTGTGAGTTTGTGACGTTGTAGGGGGTAATTTCTGGGTCTATTGAACCGATTTAGATGAAATTTGATAAGAAGATAGTTTGAGACCCTGTGAAAGACACAGGATATATTTGTTTAGGGATGAAAGTTTGCATATGGAAGCAAGCTAGGGTCGAACAAGAGCGAAGCAAAGGTGAGTCGCTATTGTCTAAATAAAAGTTATTATCATATGAGTATGGTATGGTATGTTCGGGCTATTTTCCGCAACTCGACGACTATGCGCCTATTTTGCGTGTGTTTATCATATGAGTAATAAAAAAAACAACATTTTGCCCACAGGTGCCTACCCACCGGATCTGTCCCTTATAGTGTCAGCACGCAAGGGCGGAGAGGACTACATCTTCGCACTTCTCACGGGCTACATGGAAGCGCCAGCCGGCGTGCCATTGAGAGAGGGACAGCACTACAACCCCTACTTCCCCGGTGGGGCTATATCCATGGCCCAAGCGTTGTTTGATGAGGTAATAGACCAATTTTATATGCTACCATCCCTACAGAAACAAAGCTTCATACAAATAAGCAATTATAAGTACACTGACTATGCGATCAAGCGTTAGTGACGCCTTATATTAGCGTTTCACGGATTCGCCAATTATCATTAGAGCTTTTATCAGAGGAAAGTCGTCGTTATTTAGTAGGTTATAAAAAGATATGGCTTATATAGCTCTCTACTGCAACTACCAAAGGCATGGAAATCACTTAGAATATTTCTACTTTATTCCCACATAATATTCAACTATAAGTAATAATCATAAAATTAATTATTAAAAAAAACCTCCCACCATCTTGGACCAATTTTTATCAAAAATCGGTTCATCGTACGATGCCACAGACAGACACACACAGAGGCACGTCCAACTTATAACACCCCGTCGTTTTTGCGTCAGGAGTTAAAAATACAATAAGAATATTAATATGTGATTATTTCACTTTTAAAATAATTCAAAATGATTTTCTAATCAAAACTTCCTTTGTTGTTCAAATGCAAATGTTTGAACTAACACACATACTATTTAATTGCCATCAATTTGTTTCATGATTTTAAAATCTTAATTACATAATAATTACAGTAGTACCTAATCATTATCTACTGGTGATATATGTACCTAAATAGATATACTGTGTTGCATAAGGAAACTACAGATATGTTCAAGGAAAAATGCTAATACTATATTTATATTGCTCTTTTAGTTAAATATATTCTATATATTATAAAGTTCATTACCTAGTACATTCTAAGTGAGAATAAGGTTTAAAAACTAAATATTAAAACTGTTTTGTATTTTATGTATCAATATAATATAGTAATTGTCCTTAATATGTACATATATTTTACTATTAAATGTGGCCCATCGAAAAAAGAACACATATTTAGCTCATTAACTGAAAAAGCATATTGAATGGTTTTTTGTAGTCTTTAGAGAGCTTCTAGTTTGAGCTACTCAGAATGTCCAAGTTTAAAGACAAAACCTGTGGAATAAATTCGTCTTTGTTACTTCATTATTTATATTAGTTCTTTGATAAGTAAAATATCATTAATCTTCCTTAACTTATTAAGTTTGGAATAGGAGCTGGAAATTATCTGTATTTAAGCAATGCAAAATTCCAAAAGAAAAGAGGCAAATTCTTCAAAGAAATTTTTAAGTTATTCTCTCTATCTACAAGCATTATTCAGAGAACAAATGGGGTCTATGGGGCCGACAAGTTAGGTATATTTATCCTCTATATGTTCCTAAGCCATTCATCTAAGAATGCATCCGAGTGAATAAAGTGTACGCCACTAGTAACAAATAAAATGTAATTCCAGGCGGCAGAGTACAGCGATGGCACCCCCGCTACAGTATCCCAGCTGGCTAAGGATGTGGCCACCTTCCTTCGGTGGTGCTCCGAACCAGAGCTGGACGACCGACGCCTCATGACCATCAAAGCTATAGGAATATTCTCCACCCTAGCCGCCATTGTATACTACTATAAACGGCACAAGTGGTCCTCGATCAAGTCTAGGAAACTAGCCTACAAACCTGTGTCTAAGAAATAAATGCATAGTAGTAAAGCATACAATTTAGAAAAAAATTTTCATTAGGTGATACTACACATGTTATTCGTTTATAACAAAAAAATAATTTATTTGTAATTTTTTTTCTTCCGATGATCGTGTTCACGCTTTTTGACCGCAGTTACCAAACCTAGCTAGGCGAGGTGGTATTTTAATGTTATTTATGTAATGTTAACTCGTATTAACGTTGTGCGGGAATGCAACACAGTTGTAAAAGATCGTACAATTGTAATCTGTGCTAGTGATGAAATTTTTATTATAAATCTGTGTACAGTTCAATAAATGAGTTATTGAAAATTGTGAAAATCTTCTTTTTAATGTCTTATCCCATACTTTTGTTATGAATTTCATTTAACGTAAATTTATTAGCTTTTTTACTACTTCATATTTCGTGTCACACTACTAGGAAAATTGACATTGGCAAATGAGGGGTACTATCCCTTATTTGTTAACGATTGTTAAGTTAGCGCAAATGAGTAACAGTTGGTCTAGAGAGCAGGGCTTGAAAACTAACACAGAAAAAATAACGGTAAATAACGGTATTTACATAGAGATACCTGCCATATCGTTATGATTTATTTGGTAGCGTTAAATAGTAACAATTAAAACGTTACACGTATTATAGTGTTAACGTCACAATTTCGGGTATTGTTAACGTTATTTTAAGCGACGTTGCCGTTTAGTTTTTTTCCATCTACCGGCTGCCGAGTCGTTTTTTTCGATACCTAACTTAAATAGTTTTATGTAAAATGTCAAATCTCCGCGTAAACCTCCTGTGGTAATAAGTAGCCTATGTCACTCTCCAGCCCTCCAACTATCCACACAAAATCACGCCAATCCGTCACTCTGTTTTGACGTGAAAGAAGGACAAACAAACACGCTTTATAATATGATTATTGTTTGTATTTAAAGTTATATATGTGTAGTGTATCAACTATCTGGTATCCATAAGACAAGCCTCAATTTAACAAATTCAACAAATCTAGTTCCATTGGTAAGCCAAGCTTAGATGGTGCTATGTGTTAATGTCCCAACTTAAAATAAATAAATAAATATCATTTATTTATTATTTCACATTTATAATATTATATGGATATAATAATATTTAAATTTATTTGAAAACTAAGCGCGAGTCAATAAGTAGGTACGCGCACTCATAACATCGATGAGGTTTGGCAACGTTTTCGATGCAATGAAAGCGACGGTAACAAAACTTACATATGACGTTAAAATTATCGTTAAAACAGGCATTAACGTTATTTATTTTTAACGGTAAAATGGTCAAGAATTAACGGTAAATTCTTAACTTTATTTATTTCTTAACGATATCTGCCTCTAGGAACTTTAACGATACCATTTGTAACGGTAGGTATTTCAAGCCTTGCTAGAGAGACAGGCGAATAATATACGTCGACATTACATCGTTTCACTATTCTATAAAGTCACTACCTATTTCATTTGTGGATAATATTCGGTTCAATTGATTCTAGAAAGTTATGTTGGATACTGTCTTTAAAGTAATTGTACATACTTTAACTAGCGACTTATTCACGCTTCGCTCGAATGTCCCAAACTACTCCAGGTTACAGATTTCCACCAAATCAATCCAACTGTTTAAGCGTGAAAAGTAACAATAATATATCACAGCTGAAAATTCCGAACCTGAGTCGTTCTAGAATCTAGTGAAAATCCAATAACACTGCCATTTACCAAAAGATCAAATAAATATGTAACCTGTTACACAATATGACAGCTGAGGATGTCTTGATAGTTGACAGTTGACACTGACGTTTTCAATAACATTGAAAAGTGAAGATGTAGATTTTGTTTTTAAATTAATAACAATTCTATTAAATTATATATATAAAAATGATCTAACCATCCCATTGATTTCATTTGAGTTAATGCGTATATAAATAGTTTTTGGCTAGTGTCGATAGATATTTAAGGTTTAAAATTTCATTAAAATAAAACTACTTTTACTAATACTCCAAAATATTTTAATATAAAATGAATGCTATTATTGGTTTATGTCATTTTTGTGAGGCTCATGGTCCACGTCCCTTATTCTGTACGTTCACAACAGACGACGAGGATCACACAACAGAACCTTCAAAATGTGCCGTACAATGCAGTGGGTGTACATCTATAGGTTCTGAAACTGTTTTGATATCGAGAGAAGATGATGGGACAATATTTTGTAGCAGGGAGTCCGTTCCTAGCACCGATGTGACTGCTTTTCTTAGACAAGCAGCTCTACGTAGTATTACTTGTGAAGTAAGTTGTATTGATATCCCATTTCAAAAAAGCAAACAGCCCGATAATATAGATTTTATCTTAACTTATAATGAATGTCTCTAATTTACATGATAAAATTATATTTAATATCCAGTCTTAAGATCATGTTATAAATAAAAATTCACCATCTAATCATCATTTCAGGGGGTATTATAAGTTACAAAACAAATTAGTTTTATTATGATTTATCTAGACTTGGCTTTAAGTGGAATCTAAATTTGTATTGATATCAGATAAAATTTTAGGTAAATTGGAGTAAGGAGGGTGGTGTGGTGTATTTTAGTGATACCCAAGGTCATGTTCTCAGTCTAATGTTCCATTTAAAAGACACGAGGGCGAGAGGTCTTAAGAGATTATTCTCGGTAGTAGTCCTCATGAAAGATAAGATGTTGCTCCTGAATATTACACCCATGCTTTCAGAACATATGCAGGTATTGTTTATATTACATACTTTTATTATTTATAAATACAAACATAAATTTGTATTAAACTAAATTTTGTAGTAATAAGGTACAACAAGTGTTTTAACTTATTACTACATGCAAAAATAATTGCTGAAAATGTGAAACTTGATGAAAGTGAATAATAAAGATTAAAATTTTATATTCCATAATAGAAAATAGCAAAAGAGCTGCAACAGTTAGCAGAAGTGGTGTATGATAATGAGCAAAGTATCTGTTCTCAAAGAGCATTGCGACTTAACACTGGAAGAAATGACTATGGTCAATCAAGATCTCTTATACAATTAACAGGTATTAATACTTTCTAATAATACAAACTCAAAATAATATTTGTTGGTTTTCTTGTCCTCAATAAATCTATATAGATAAATAAAAATGAACTGTCTGTTTGTAATATCAAAATAACAGCTTTTTACTAAATGCAGATGCAATTATATACAATACTTGAAAAACACGATTTTTAAAAATTTTGTCTGTCTCATCTGTTTTTTCCAAACTAATCCCCGAAATGGCTGGACTGATTTTGGCAGGACTTTCACTAGTAGATATAAGATAGCTGATGTTAAAAGGAGTAACTTGGGCTACTTTTATTTAAGAAAAAAAAATATCTTAAACATTTTAATATAATGTACTGAAATATTTTTAGGTGATAAGGAAGTTTACAAAAAACTCCATTCTCACTTCACCTGGATGCTAAGAATAGGTGCTATCACATATTCAGAAACTTTATATACAAGTCAGGATTTACTTACAAAGTTAAACCCACAAATACTTAAAGGCACAATATTTGAAGATAATGCATGTTCAGTACAAAGTAATGAAGATTGTATGTCACTAAGGGAATTAGAAAATTTATTAACAAATACTTTATTTAGAATACTTTTGTATTGTACATTAACTGGCATCAATGTAAGTATTTTTTCATATCAATAGGAAATAGGAATATTTTCAATAAACTATCTCCCTGGCCCTGTAAAGTTTCACACAAATCTGTCTAGCCATACAAGCAAACAAGATTTTAGTTGTCATAAAGAGAAATAAATTGAAGTGTTAAAGTAAATGAATCACAGTCAAACATCTGCAAATATTTAAATCTTCTAATTATATGGTCCTTTCAGATTTTAATCAAATCTAAGCAAGTAAAAGCAACAAAAATAATCAATAGCTTGTCAATATTATTACCCAATACAAATAATGCAAATATACATATACAAGAAACAAATTCTGCAGTTTTACCTTCACATAACATATGCATGTTGGAAGAAACAGAAAACTGCAATTTTGACTGCAAGTGGAGTGGAACAATACCAACCAAATGTAAATAGAATCTAAAAAAATAATATAAACTGCAATATGTGTTAAATTAAATGTACTTAGGTATTTAACTCAGGTTATAAAATAACAATGACATTGCAGGTCCTACATTGATGAATAAAATTGAAAATGCAATGAAAAATACCAAATTCAATGATACAGTATTGCTCCAACATTTGAAAACTTTACAACTGGAGTGGTTGGGGTAAGAATATTTTTCTTTTAGTGGTAATTATTTCAAATTACTTCTTGATAGTGAAATTGTTTTAATTTGGATTTTCATATTTTTTTTAATTTTAATGAATAGCATTTATGTAGTACATATAGTAAAATTATTATGTTAAAAGTATATTGTCATTACACCAGCCTAAAAAAATAGAAACAGTTCATTGTTTTAATCTCGTGCTTATGCATATATATATCAATTTGTATATTTGCTGATATTAAACTAGATTTAGGCTATTGTAAGACATTTCAAAGCCAGTATTGGGATAGTAAAATAAATAGTGTCTTTTACAGAACTGTGAAAGCAATTAAAATGGCAATACAATCTTCAGGGAAACCAGATGCAGTGAATAAGCTGAAGCAAATACTGGGTGTGACTCAGCAAGATGAACCTTTAGTTAACTATTGGTCACAAGTTTTCTGTGATTGAATATGTGATAATAAGTTAGAATAAAAATATTCTTTATTTATATTATCGGTAATAAATTAATTTTTAAAAATTGTTTTTTTTTATTATGTTTGCATGTTCTAGCAATAAAAGCTTGTGTTCATTTGTTATTTACTATTTGTCAATTACTATAAAAAAGAGTGATATTGTAAATTATTGATAACTAAAAAGCTTTATTAAAACTTATGGTTTAACTTTGGAATAATGAAAATAAAACTCCAAAGTAGATAGTACTCCTTATATTTAAAAGATTACACATTAGCACGACGGCTAGGTCTTGCACGCTCATGGCCCTTAGTGCGGACATAGGGCTTTGTGTGTGAGCGTGGAGCACCTGGTGCGGGTCCAAAGTGGCGCACTGCCTCACGAGCGTTCCTGCGGCCTTGGACGAGCACTGTCTTGCGGCCAGTAGGGGCACGGAGCGCAAGCTGATCGAAGGTTAAAATCTCACCTGGAATATAAACATTGTATAAGCAACATTTGGATCCCTCCTAATTACAAGATTTAGATGCCTTTTAAATTTGATATGTATTTATATTTTGCTGATGACTATTCACAATTTTTTTTTGATAACAGGATGATACACATCTATACATATAATAAAATTCTAACTGAGCCGAATCTGTACATCAAAATTTTTTAGGAAAATCTGATATGATGATAGCTGGTTATTTGGGTCAATATATAAGATACTTTAAACTGCGGGAAAATATCTCATCTCCAAGAAATCGATATTAAACTTTAAAACATAAGCAGGGACGAACGTGAGCGAAGCGAGTGCGAGTCTCTAGTTATTTATGAAAATTAATATACATTGTAAATTTTTATTCGCTTTTGAGTTTATTATAGCCATTTTTTACTTTTTAATATGAAAAATTAAATGTTTTAAAAAACCATAATTTAGTATTAGAAGTCGATTATCAAAATCAGACTATTGAAGTTAAAATGTAAAAAAAAGTACTAAATTATATGATATTTCACTATAATAATAAATAATGACTAGAATTAAATAAATGTTCCTAAATGGGAAATTAAACATACGTTTGTCTTTTATATACAGGACCCACAGTACTTTTGAATTATTTTTTTTTGGCAAAGTACTTATTATCTTGAGCAATGTCACGAAGTTTTATGTTTAGGAAATACTTTCGGAAATAAAAAACATCAAATGTTGATGAATGTAACCTCAACTTTTGGGCTGTAGACCAATGGTTACACTGTTTTTACACTGGTATAACTACTGATCATATCTATAACCTATGGTTACCAGAAAACAATAGCCTTTCCTAAACTTATATTTTCATGTGTCTATATTATATTATTTTAGTACACTCTTCCTATTCATTTTTTATATTAGGTATATATTTATTATATATTTAACAATGTGCATCTGTTTTTATATGACATATTTTTTTTATTTACACACTACTTATTCAAAAAATATCTACTTACCTATTTTGAACTTTTAACTATATGATTTATTCAATTATTTGTCATCTTTTAGTGAAAGTAAATCTTAAAAACTTGTCAAAATATTAAAATGTATAGATAATGTTACACATTTCTTCAGCACTTCTTAAGAACTATGATATCATTGTATTCCTGTAATCTGTATGCAAGCACTTCACTGCATGGCACATAACCTAACTCACTTTTGTTTATATAAATATTCTTACCTCCAGCAGCCAAGATGCGGGCACGAGCTTTCTCAGTAACATGAAGAGCAGCAACGGTTATTTTGGGAACCTTGTACAGCCTCACATCGTTGGTAATGGTTCCAACCACAACAGCGATTAGACCTTCACGAGTGGGCTTCTTCATGTGACGAGCCAACCGAGACAAGGAGATAGGCGCTCGGTTAATGCGGCTCATAAAGAGACGGCGCAGGATAATCTGATTGAACTTGGCATTTGTACGTCTGGCCAAGTATCTGTATAACTGTGTCAACAATGAAATAGGTTAGAATCTCAACCTACGATACTATGAAAACAATGCTATTTTTGTAAATGGTAATTGAATATTTACTGCATTCACTTACTTTGACGAGCAATCTCAGGTATACATCCTGAGATTTAACTTCAGTACGCCTGACTTTCCTGTCGTGTTTATGGTTGATGTCGACACCCTGAAATAAATATAGCAACACATTTTAACTTCACTGGTTTAACTGAAAACCACTTCATTCTTTCACATCACATTGATATCACTTAGATTTTTATGGATTTATTTTATTTACCACTGAGCGAAACTCACCATATTGACAACCGGAAGAAAAAGAGAGTCTATAGACAATAACAATATTTGACAGCAACTTCGGTGTTACCAGTGTTCACTTTTTAATGTAACATAGACAATTTAATATTTATCACTGGCACATTGAAGTATTTTATCGAATTGTAAATATTTTAAAATATAAAACAAATGAAAACTTTTGTCTTAAAATCTGTCGTCGCGACAGATAACAAATTTCGACCACAATTTTTTCTAAAGGGATGGAATTTAATACGAAACATCGAAAATTATCAAAAAACAAAAATTCTATTCGTACAACTGCATCTGCTAAATCCCGGTTAACAAAGAAACGAACTGTTACACGAAAAAGGAAATGCGTATGTCTTCCTGAAAATTATTCAGTAGTAGAATTTCCTGCAATATGGAACGAATTAAGATTAAACGGTCAACTTTGTGACGGTACAATCGTATGCAGAGATAAAAAATCTATACAAGTTCATCGAGCAATACTTTCAGCAGTTAGTCCTTATTTTAAAGCTATATTCATTAACTCCCTGAAGAAAGGCAAATCAGAAGAAACTGAAATAGTGGTCGATGTACCATCTTATTACATGAGCTTAATACTTGATTACGCTTATACAGGAACATGCATGGTCACTGCTGATAATGTTGAAAATTTGTTACCATATGCTGATCAATTTGATGTTGTTGGCGTAATTCAACTATGTTGTCAATTTCTTTTACAAGAACTTCAACCACATAATTGTCTCGGCATATTTAAATTTGCTAGATGCTATTTTTGTAGCGACTTAGAAAAGAAAGGGAAATTGTATATAAGACAGAACTTCGCTAGAATATTAAAAGAATGCAATGAATTTAAATTATTATCATTCGAAGAACTAGAAGATATCTTGAGAGATGATGAATTAAATGTTAAAAATGAAGAAATAGTATTCCAAGCAATAAAAATATGGGTGGAGCATGATTTACTGAATAGGAAAATGTATATTCCATCGTTATTAACCTGTATACGATATGGTCATATAAGTTATAAGTACTTTAAGTCAAAAATTTTACAATGGCAGCCAGTCATCGATGATGAAGTAAGTTGGATTAGATAAATATAGTATTTTATAAGAATAAAATCCGACTAGTTCCATTTTCCTGTTTCTTTTTAGAAATGTCAAGAAGCATTATATCCCGCAGTACTGTTTCTCACTGTTTTGGATTCAAGACCAGATACGGAAGCAGATCTCAACGAGCCGCTAGCAAGACCTCGAATACCATATGAAATTCTTTTTGCCGTAGGTGGCTGGAGTGCTGGGAGTCCTACTAGTTTTGTTGAAACTTATGATACACGGTAAATATAATATTTTTCAAATTATATGTTTTAGTAATTATATATCTTTCCTTTCTGTATACATAATTTAAAAAAAAACCTAAGGTTAAATGACAGATTCGGCCTTTGCGTGAATCCGATTCGCACTTGACCATTTTGTTTATATATATACATAAAATAAAATTCTGAGTCGAATCTGTACATTAAATATTTTTTGGAAAATCGTATTGAAATAGTCATTATTATCAGTACAGAGGTCGAATCTATAGTTTTTAGAATTTCTGTCTGTCTCTCTGGGAATGCACCACGAGAAAACCACTGGACAAATTTTGATGAAACTTGGTATGATGATAGATCCGGGTCAACATAAAGAATATCTTTACTGCGGGAAAATATCTCATCTCTGAGAAATTGATACTAATCGTTTAAACGTACCAAGAGATATACTCGAGCGGAGCGAGGCAGAGTCGCTAGTTTAAAAATAATCAACAAAATAAAAAAATAACAGATTAATTCTTCTATTTAAAATTAAGAGTAAATATATAGTAGCTATAAACAAATAATGTTGTTTATAGTGCGGACCGCTGGTTTCTTTCCATCCATATGGATTTATCACCGCGCGCGTACCACGGACTGTGTACTTTAAATAATCTAATCTACATGATCGGCGGGTTCGATGGAAGCGATCACTTCAACACAGTGCGGTGTTACGACCCCGTAACAAATACTTGGCACGAGCGAGCCTGCATGTATCAGGCAAGGTGCTACGTCAGTGTCGTTGTCCACGGTACGTGCCTGTTACGTTGTAACTTAGTGCCTGTTTGGTAGGGTGACCAAAATGTTCGATATTTTAGATACAATTTTTTGTTACTCAATTAAGTCCTGAAACTGTGTATTGAATATTTTAATTAGATATTTTTTTTTGCTTTTAACACGATTTTAATAGTTAATTACGTATCTATTAATTTCATACCGATGATAACAAAATAATTATACTTAGATGGTTTGATATATGCACTGGGTGGTTATAATGGTCGCACGCGAATGTCTTCAGTGGAAAGATATCACCCCGATAAAAATCAATGGGAGATGATAACGCCTATGAACAAGCAACGGTCCGACGCAAGTGCAGCTTCACTTGGGGGAAAGGCTAGTATATTTTTTTTTTAAATAACTATTTAATATTTATATAATAAGCTTTAACTATGATTGTAAGACTTTGTATTTTATTTTGATAATAACGTTATTATCAATGATTTTGGTTATTTAAAATTTAAATGATTGTCGAATTAATTTACAGATCTATATAGTCGGTGGTTTTAATGGCCAAGAAGTTTTGAGTTCTGCTGAGATTTTTGACCCAGACACGAAACAGTGGAGTTTTATTCGATCAATGCTAAGTCCGCGTTCAGGAGTTAGTCTGATCGCGTATCGAGAATCTTTATATGCATTGGGTGGATTCAATGGCTATAGTCGTCTTAATACCGGTTACTATTTATTTTTATATTCTTTCATAAGTTCAAAAAAACTATTTACTGTAAAGCCTTCTTTTGATTTTATAACTAATTTTATTATACTAATTTTAAGTATTTATTTGAATTTGTGTTATTGATGGCTTAAGAATACATGAAATAAGTTTCATATCCTTTATATTACTTTAGCTTTACCTTACTGCTATATCAAATTATAATAACTTTAGTTCAAGTAAAGCTATGACTAAACCAAGAAAGTAGGATTGTCCCCTTCACGGGTATCTATTTTTAGGGGAGCGGTTCTGTCCGCAGCGTGGTGAGTGGCAGGAAGTGACTGAAATGTTTAGCGTCAGAAGTAACTTTGCCACTGTTTTGCTAGACGATATGATTTTTGTTATTGGCGGATTTAATGGTTAGTATATATAGTTATTCTATAAAATAAAATAACATTTTCAAATTAATACACTGTTTTATATATAACTCATAGAGACGAAATTATCTGAGAATGGTTGAACGTATGTCCACGGGCTTTTAAATAGCGTACTTATCTAAATTAATTGCATGAATAATAACTTTTATTTCCATCTGACGATTCTACATGTATTGATACAACTTTTATTTTTTGTGGTAATTTTTAACTTGAATTCTGTTAAATATCTATACACTTTCGTGTGACAATGAGAAATAAAAATAAAATATATTTTTTTAATAACCAATATCTACCAATATATCTCAGGTAACACCACAATACCTCATGTAGAATGTTACGATGGTGACACTCTAGAATGGTACGACGCAGCTCCCATGAATTTAACTCGTTCCGCCTTAAGTGCGTGTGTTCTCGCCGGCCTTCCAAATGCAAGATCTTTCTCCTATTTAGCAAAAGCTGTCCCTGCAGCTGGGGCGGACCAGGCTCATCACTCGTAAACTTGCAAAAATACTAAAATTGCTATCCGTTTATATCAAATTTTAAGTGACTTTTGTTAAATAAAAAAAAAATACTTTTTTTAATAGTTATATAAATATAATTATATAATAACAACCAGTCTAAAATGTACCAAAATTTCCATTTATAAATATCCAATCCATCGACTTATTGATGTGCTGTCTATCCCTTCTGTGATATATTTTTAATTATACCTAATTAATAATTATTGTACATAGTATTTTGTCTATTTTTATCTTACTGAAATCATGGTTACTTTATTTAAATCAAGTTATTATGATTATTTGTATGACTTTTATGTAATTAGAAATCATTAAAATAAAATATGTACTTCTATTTTATTTAGCAACGTTTTGGAAAATTTTAAATTAACGAGTCTTGTTATATTTTGAGGTTTATAATAAATTTATTTTGGTATTTTTGTGTACAATTCGCGATCGTTTTAATCAAGTATGTCGCATTTTAATATACATATTTTTGTGTATAAATTCGATGCGACGGTAAAGAAAGCCATCGTGTCGCTCTATCTGTGATATTTTCAGTAGTCAATTTAAAAATTAATAAAAATTGCTTATTATTATTTAGAAAAATTTATTGTACCAAAGAGAAATGAAGAGAAATTGACAAATAAAGTAAAACTTATTAATGACATGTTTTATTTCTGTATCGGAAACCCTCATACTGCATAGCGCATTGGTTTACGCATTCATACCACAAACATATGATGCCGTACTACGGAGCCTATTTATAGCGGTGTTCGAAGTGTCCTATGAACCGTCCACACGCGACTGAATCGACGTAGGATAGCGAGAGTGGCGTGCAATAGTGCGTATATTTACTACGGGAGGGGCATGGGGAGGATCGGGACTACGCCCCCCTACCTCCCCTTTCAACCCGAGACTCCGTCGCGATCGAAGCGCACCCACATCGAGCGTAGTGGTTGCCGCATTCGGGCGCAGTCCTCTTGGAATAGAAAATATCGAAATGGAGTTAAAAGGAAAGGTCGCTTTGATAACGGGCGCGGCGGCTGGCATCGGACTCGCGTACAGCGAAGAGTTGCTCAAGCAAGGAGCCAAGGTAAGCCTTCCAACTCACCGTATCGCATTACTAATCTTAAGTTCAAGGTAAAAGGTTAAAGTGGGCTGGACAGTAGCCAAATGATTTGCATACACCACATAAATAATTTACGCGTAAAATACGCAAATACCAAATATGTAAGAAAAGATGTCAAGTGTCTTCAATTGCCGGCACCTATTATTTGTATTGATTTTTGCGGCGCCTCTGTCGTTGATTCTTTTCATTTACTTATGTTTACCTATTTTTATAAGATATTGTAATTTATCGTACTTTGCGCATTAGGGCTTGTACACGTATAATAGTGATTTTGCCAAGTTTTCATAAGAAAATCTAAGTCTTAGTTTTAACTAAACTACTGTTTGAGTTTTGGGAAGATGGTTATACTATATTTAGATGCCTTGTTTAGAATATGGACATCTTAAATTAAACTATAAAGGCAGACTGTTTTTTTCATAGTTTATTAGATTTTATAGATACAGCACATGTATAAGTACCTGTAATATCATAATTAAGTTTGCGACCTAAATACCTGTAATAGTTCATTGTATCTTTATTTGTTCTTTAATTTTTATTATTACTTTATTTAAATATTTTTATGTAAAGTCAATCCTGAATATGTAGAAACAAAAAAAAATCACGTTTTCTTTTATTTTCGAAATATGTAGGAAATATAAGTTAAGTATTTTACTTAAATGTAAAACTTGCATTCAAATTATTTAAATTTTTCGGCAATGCGTACGTTTTAAATGTAAAAGAGTAAAAGCCATTCCCACATCAATACTAATATAAATCCTTTTTTGAAGTGAACAAATTGCGACGCGACGGTTAAATGTGCAAACACAATTACTACACCATACCATTCTTTTAATTTTAAATCAAAATAACATTGATGCAGTCGTAAAAGTTTTCGTATAAATAATACTAGTCTAAAGGGTTACCATAATTTAAAAAATTGTTAGGACAAAAATAAATGTCAAATTTAAATAAAATGCATTTAAATGTATTTTTTTTTAATTTATTAACAATATCGTATTTTATATTATGCGTATTTACACAGGTTTCGTTATGCGACATTGATTCTGAAATCGGAGAACAAGTAGCCGACGAGTTGGGCGCGAAGTATGGCCGGAAGAATGTGTTGTTTTGTCAATGTGACGTTACTGATTACCCGCAATACGAAGGTATCAACTTACTATATAATTGAATGCACTTTGATACTAATTCTTGGAATCCTTTACATTACAATAGATATAGTTTATCAATGTTCATTTATAGTTATTATTTATTTATAACGCATGGGTTATCGGCTGCTTTAAGCTGGCCAATAGCTACATTTAATCAACTATGGTCTTAACTAACTGCCAAAAAGATGTTTTAGCGATACTTATACATATATAGCCTATTAATAGGATGACTAACAGAAATACTCGAAATTCACAATTAGGAATAATCTGTGTTACAGGTCGTAGTATATCTGTGTACTAAATTTTTATCCTAATCCGTCCAGCCGTTTTGGTGCGAAGAAGTAACAAACATACACACAGACTCTTTCACATGTATTTATAATAGTAGTCCGATTATGTAATGATAGGTTTTGAGAAAAAAAAATATACTTATTTACTAGCAGAACTCGCGGCTATGCCCGCGTTCAATCTACAAAAAAAAATCTTTGGCTTTATGTTATACTTAAAGTGACTCATACTCGTTACGCTCGGGTTCGTCGCTATGTGTTTTTATAATATTGTTCATACAAAAATACTAAAATCACGATTAAAAAATGGGGGGTGGGGGTAGGAGGGTGAAAAATACTTTACGGCCTATTCTTAGACCTACCAAATATACCTACAAAAAAAATATCATTAAAATCGGTCGAGCCGTTTCGGAGGAGTGTGACCACAAATTTCACCGTGACACGAGATATTATTTATATTTATTATTAAATTTATATTTATGATTAATTTGAATTTAAAATAATTTTGTTTTATTACAGAGGCTTTTGAAATGACAATTAAAGTTTTTAATCGCTTGGACATAGTGATCAACAACGCTGGTGTGATGAACGACAGATTTTGGGAATTAGAAGTTGACGTTAATTTGGTAATTATTATCACTAGATTTTACCGCGTCATCTTTGTAATAATTGTCATCTCCACTAAGGGTTCATGATTCGATGTCAGATTTATAAATGATCTTTAAAATACTAAAAAGTACTCAATCAAAATGGCAGATTAACATTCAGAAACATACATTTCAAGTTTTATAATATCAAATAAATCTAGATTTGTAGCTGCGATCCTTTTGAAGTACCTACCTAATTATTTCAACGTTAAGGCTAACGTTATAATGAATGCCTTACTTTGAGTTCAAATTGGCAAAAAGAGCAAGAAGAATGATTAAATCTCAAAATTGTATTTTATTTGATTGCTAAGAACATCGATCCAAAAAGTACTATAGATACACAATCAGCGGAATAAAATGTCCTCACCGAATGAGCGCTCAATTGAGCGCACGTTTATTTTTTTTATGAAAACTACTTTAAGTATTACATTTTATTTCGTTTTGTTTTGGGTTCTTTATTTCTAAGGCTTTATTAATTGAAACTAGGAACTTACAGGATCGACCATCTTTATTGCAGACCAGAGACAAGAGAGAGCTATCTTACAGACAATTCTTCATATCAAGTTGACCATAAATTATAGACAAATTTACAGATACACAATATGTAACATGCCCCTTTTTTAAAAAGAAAATTTTGACACATGACTTTGACATTAATGACATTTACAATTTGAAGTTGACAGTGACAATTGGGCATAACCTTAAAATTGGAAATACAATGGAGTTACAAATTTTATTTTACATTTAGGTATCTTAGATATAAATTTATAATTAAATTACAATAGTGAATTAGACAAAAATTAATAAATGACTTAACTAGTGCAATCCTGAATTAGTTAATTATACTTACAATATTTACAATAATTTATTTTAATTATGAATTTGTTAAACATTTTATTATTAAAATTATTACAAATTCAGTCTTTGGAGTCTTTTTTATTCGTCTACCTCTAGAACTATATTGATATTCATTATCAGGTACATTGTTGCCATCGTTAGGAGATATTACAATATTAGACATTTCCTGCAAACATGATTCAGGAGGACTAGGTAAATGAATTTCCTCTTCATAATCGTTATGATCATGTAAGCTTTCATCTGACATATTATTATCTACATTGACGAATTCAGGAGATTGTACAGATTGACACGACTTCGAACTAGATACAGATTCATTTAACTCTGAACCAATTGACCTATAAGTATCCGACTCACTTTGACTTAAAATATAGTTATCTACTTGTTTTTGTATTGGACTTGACAATAGACTTTGAGTATAAGATAAATTTAATTTCTTTTGAGTAATTATGAAAGAACAATCATCATCATCCTTTTCCTTTTGAAAAAATGTTTGTGACTTATTTGTTTGACTATTATAATGATTCTCAAATCTAATTGATTTTTTGTTATTTACAGACTGTTTATTATTTAGACTATAATCAGGTCGAATATGTTGAGAATTACGCCTGTATGTACTACCTAAATTGTCCTTGACTATAAATGATCTAGGAAATTTAGTTTTTGATATGATTGAACCTTTTGTCCATATTATATCTTTTGGATTTTTCTTAAAATATACCTTATCATTGACTTGAAATTCTTCATATTTTTTACAATTTTTATTATAATAACATTTAGTTTTTTGTAAATTTTTGTCTTTGACTGAAGAATATTCTGAGAATTTTACAACTTTAGGTCTCAATTGACTAATTTTAGTAGGTAATTTAGTCCTTAACTGTCTCGACATGAGTAATTGAGAAGGTGAATGCATATTACCTCTCGGTGTAGTCCTATGTTGTAATAGTCCTATGTGTGGATCTGTGCCAGATTCCTCACATTTTCTAAAAATATTTTTGACTGTTTTGACAGATACTTCGGCTAAGCCGTTGGATCTAGACAAATATGGGCTTGTAACTATATGTTCAATGTCCCAATCTTGAAGAAATTGTTTAAATTCTTTTGAATTATATGGAGGACCACCATCGCTGACTAATTGCAATGGGATTCCGTGCCTTGAAAAAATTGACTTTAAATTATTTATTACTGAAGAACTTCTACTGTCATTTTTTAAATTAGCTATTTCAATGAAGTTAGAATAATAGTCTACTACTAGCAAATATTTCTGATTTTTATAATCAAATAAATCAGTTGCCAGTCTTTGCCAAGGAAATATAGATTTTTCATGAGGCAAAAGTGATTCTTTTGACTTATTTGAACTGTACATAGCACATGTTTCACATTGCTTTATTTTATTTTCTATGTCATGATTCATACTAGGCCAATAAACTGTACCACGGGCTAAATTTTTAGTTTTTTCAATGCCTAAATGTCCTTCATGTAGAATATTCAGAATTTCTGATCTCATGGAAATTGGAATTATAACAGAATTATTTTTGAAAAGTAAATTATCTATTACATGAATTTCTTCTTTTATATTCCAATATGGAAGAACTAAATTATTACAATGATTTTTACTTTTAGGCCATCCGTTGATAAAATATTCTTTAAGTTTTTGTAATGTTAAATCTTGGTTTGAATGCTTAGAAATTTTTTCTAATTTTTCTTGAGAAATTGCTAAATTCGATGTTAATAGATTAATATGAATATTTAAATTTTGCTCAAAATCTATTAAACTATTTAAAGAGTTGTTACAATCATCTACTGGTGCTCTAGAAAGAGTGTCTGAAATGTACATTTCTGAACCTTTTGTGTATGACACAATTAAATGATAAGCCTGTAATGTTATCATCATTCTTTGAAGTCTTGTAGGTACTTCACACAATGATTTTTTGAAAAGAGTCACCAAGGGTTGATGGTCTGTTTCTACATTAATAGGTTTTCCATAAACATATTGATGGAATTTTTTACAACCGAAGACTATTGCGAAAAGTTCTTTTTCAATTTGTGCATACTGTTCCTGACATTTTGTTAAGGATTTTGATGCATATGCAATTGGATTATCACCATGAAATATTACAGCACCTACTGCATTTTTAGAAGCATCAACAGACATTCTGACAGGTTTATTGACATCATAATGAATCAGTACTGGTGACTTGCAAATAATAGATTTTAATTTATTGAACTGATTTTCATGATTTTCAGTCCAGTGGAAAATATTTTGCTTTTTCAGTAATTCACGAAGAATATTGGTTTCTTCTGCTAAGTTTGGAATGAATGAACCTAAATAATTTATCATGCCAAGGAATCTTTGCAATTCTTTAACATTTTTTGGACTAGCCATTTTAATTATAGCCTCAATTTTTGATTTATCAGGAGATATTCCATTTTTATTGAAAATGTGACCAACATAACAGATTTCTGAAAGACCAAATTTACATTTTTCTCTATTGAATTTTAAATTTACTTCAGAAGCACGCTTGAATACAGCTTCAAGTCTTTGATTGTGCTCTGATTGATTTTTTCCATGAACTAATATATCATCAACGAAAATTATAATACCAGGTAAATCACCAAAAATATCATTCATTATTCTATGAAAAATTTCTCCACTGCAATTTATTCCATAGGGAAGTCTTAAGAATTTATATCTTCCGAATGGTGTGTTGAATGTACACAAATCACTACTTTCTTCGTCTAATTTAATTGTCCAGTAACCAGAACTAGCATCAAGTTTAGAAAAAATTGTACTACCAGCTACTTGTGATCGAAGATCATTAAATGTAGGGTATGGAAAATGAGGTCTTTTTATTGCTACATTGAGGTTTCTTGGATCAAGACATACGCGTAATGAACCATTGGGCTTTTCAACAAGAACTATAGAGTTGACCCATTTAGTTGGTTTTGTGACTTTAGCAATAATATTTATTTTTTCCATATTTTCTAATTCATTTTTTAAACGATTTTGTAAAGTAAATGGAATCCTACGTACTGGGCAAATTTTAGGTGTAACACTTTCATCAATATCTAAATGAACTTCATTTGGAAGACATCCTATTCCCTCAAATGTTTGTGAATAGTTAGAAACAATATCTTGTACTGACCTTTCCGAATCCAAGTCCTTTTGCAAATCCTTTTGAATTTTAAAAATTCTTTTGACAATACCTAGTTTTTCACAGGTTTTCCATCCTAAAATAGTTTGACATTTACAATTGACTACAATAAAATATATGCTAGCTGTAAGACTATTTTCAAATTCACATTTTAGTATACAGCTGCCTATATTTGGTACTACTTGGCCTGAAAATGAGAAAATTTTATTATTTGTTCTCTGAATAGGTATTTTCTTATTAGTGTGAGTCATCATTTTATCAAGTGTGTCTTTTGATATGACATTCGCGTCAGCTCCTGTATCAATTTGACATTTTATTAAATAATTATTCAATTTTACATTTATTTTCCATTCCTCATTATTACAATTATTATTATTATTTTCAATGTCAGTCAAATTACTAATTATAAAATAGTTATTGTCAGAGTTAGAATTCTTATTACTACTTACACTACTAATATGTCTCTTGTCCGACTTGTTATTTTTGTTGAAAAAACAGTAATTGGCAAAATGGTTTGTCTTCTTGCAAATGTTGCATGTTTTTCCTTCCGCTGGGCATTTATATATATGCACTTGACCACATCGCCTACAAGTTTTGTTTTGTGATGGAGACCTTTTTCTTGATGAACTTTGACTTGAATTTCTGTTTTTCTTGTTTCTTGTTTTTGAGATCGATCTACTTCTATGATTGTTAATGTTTTTCAGCGCTTGAATATTGTTGGATAATTCCTTGGGTGTATGCGACTGTGTGATTCTTGACGAACGCTCCTGGGACAGTTCCATGCTTTTAGCAATTTTTAATGCATCTTCCAGTGTTAATTTTTCCTGCTGAAGCAAACTTTCACGAATTTTTGAATTTTGAATGCCAATAACAAACATATCTCTAACCAAAGAATCTTTCAATGTATTAAATTCACAAGACATAGCCAAATTGTTTAATACTGTTACATAGTTGTCTAAAGATTCATCTATTTGTTGAGTCCTTGTGAAGAAATTGTATCTTTCTACTGTGATATTACTTTGAGGATTAAATTTCTCATCAAACGCTTTTATCAGATTTTCCAAAGAAATATTTTTTCTGTCGATGTTGAAGGAATTATATATTTCAATGCCATAATCACCAATTGTGTTCAAAAAAATAGCCACTTGCTTTGTCTCATCTTGTTTTTTAATATCATTAGCGTCACAAAAAATTTCGAATTTTTGCTTCCATCGACGCCATTGTTCCGACACGTTGCCATTGTTCACAGCTAACGGTTTTATCCCAGACATGAATATTTGTTCAGACATTTTAACTTTTTCCTTTTTTGACTTTTAATCCCATTTATGACACCATATTTCGTTTTGTTTTGGGTTCTTTATTTCTAAGGCTTTATTAATTGAAACTAGGAACTTACAGGATCGACCATCTTTATTGCAGACCAGAGACAAGAGAGAGCTATCTTACAGACAATTCTTCATATCAAGTTGACCATAAATTATAGACAAATTTACAGATACACAATATGTAACACATTTAAGGTTCAATTTACATTCTTGTATAATTGTTTCAACTAGAATAATTACCTAAACACAATTGGAGACAGTTTTAAGAGAACTTTTGCATGGCATCGAGTACTTTTTTGATCGATGGCTATGAATACGGTTTCTCCCTCATGTAGATATCTTAAGAAGGCATTGGGAGTTTGACTTATTTCTTACTGTAAATTACCCTCAGATTCTCTCATTTTAAGCTTAAAATATTTTAGCTTTATGTTTATAAAAATCTGCAGGATCGAACCCGCTACTCCCAACATTTCACTTGAGTTAAGTAATTAATAAATTATGTTATAATCTAGTATTATTTCTTTTCTAATATAAAAATACTCTTAACATCTAGAATGGGGTCATCCGAGGAACTCTTCTAGCTTACCGGTTCATGGGCAAAGACCGCGGGGGTCAAGGAGGCACCATTGTCAATACGGCATCCACTGCGTTCGTTCGGCCACAAGTGTCGACTCCCATTTACACTGCCACTAACTACGCTGTAGTTGGACTCACTAGGTCATATGGGGTAAATGAAAGATTTCTATTTAATTATTCTCATTATTTTGCTTGGACGTAGAATTTAATGTTGGTTTTTATGATAGTTTTAATTAAAAAAATTTTTTTATAAATCTATTTTTTTTTTTAAATAAAACTATTTTTTTGGATTATTTCACGTATTTATCTTGAGATCCTTTTTTGAAATTAGTAAAACATTTTAAATGAACAACTTCGACATTTTTTTTTTCTAGGATCAATATCACGTAAATTTGACTGGTGTCCGGAGTATAGCTCTGTGCCCGGGACTGACAGACACAGGACTTGTAAAGGAAATACGCAAACAGCTCATGTCGTCTGAATACGAGGCCGCCTGGCAACGAGATAATGCTAACAGCAAGGCTCAAAGGTAATAACTGCGTTACTGCACTGCAGTCTGCAGTGCACTACGTCTAATCCATTTAATATTTACTGTAATTAGTTACTGAAATTAAGAAATAATATACCTTCAGTTTACATTTCATAATGATACTAGCGACTTACCCTCACTTCGTCAGACATGCAGGTGTGTGTCCAATCTATACAGGTAAGTCACCTATGGGTATTTTACGTAAAGCAGACAACAAAGAAAGAGGTTCTGAAATTCGTTCATATTAGACATATTTGAACCTCTGATAATTTAAGCGTGAACGAGTAAACAAACATACATTCACAAACTAACATTTATACGATAGAACAAACCACTAAGTTACAGTCTGTAAATGAAGGGTTAAAATTGTGACAGCTAATTCTTTTTATTAGCAACCCCTAAAATTTATTCTCTTTGTTAAAATTGAAATGAAACGTATAGTTTATGCGTATCAGCGTTTTTCAAAATTTACCCACATTTCATTCACTCAAGTTCAATTTGAGGGTATACTAACAATATTTTTTTAATTCAGTATTTCCTAGCTAATTATGAAATCTTCAATGCATATTTAACCATGAATGATTAAATATTAAAATCTATCAAATTAAAAAAAAACCTCGACATTCTGGGGAACATTTTCTAATAGTTTGTTTGAATTTCCAGTCCTGAGCACGTGGGCAGGACATTGGTAGAAGTGTTGATGAAAGCCCAAAGCGGGACTGTCTGGATTGTAGAAAATGGACAACCGGCCAGGGAGTGGCGTGGGTAATTTGATACCTTGATATATTTCAACATTTTAATTGGGAATTTGATGCCACATGCACATTTACTTGATGTTTTAAATATCATGTTTGTATTTAATATGACCAGCACAGATTTTTTGTGTTTATTATATTTAAAAAGAAAAGTACTTTTAAAATTTTGGCTATAAATCCTTTCTTAGTCTTAGTTCTAAATTGGAGGAATTTTGATCGGATTTCGATATTTTAATAGAATGCCTCATCAGGATTACATTTGAATAAATTATAACATATCTGATAAATATACTAACATATGATTTTTTAAAACTAATCATGATATTTTGCTAAAATAACATTAAAAACTCTAAAAGTAGAACATTTACACGATGTTATCCTAAAACCTTGTAATGAATTTAAAATAAAAATTTAAGGCTCAATAGCTAAGTACTTTATGCTTATAGCATTAAAAAAACATATAACTAACTGTCAATAATTTTCTTATTAAAAATAAACATTAACGTAAAAGTACACGCTGTGTACATATATAAATATTCTTTCAAAGTAATTAATTCATGTTTAGAAGCCATTTTAATAATTTTAATCAAATTATTGACAATATGTTGTATGATTGATACTATGAGAGGTGGTTGTGTAAATATTTTCTTCTCGTAGGAATAGTGTTAAGAGCGGTATTTATATTTTTTAAAAGTGTTTTATAAAGTGTAAAGTAACTTAGACTAAGCTCATGTATCGTCTCACTCGAGTGTGTAATTATTGAAATTTCTCAACACTAAATTACGATAGTATTATTCATGTATTGGTATTGATAGTTAAGTTTGCTTTTTAATGTTACGAATGTGAGACATGGTGTGTATGTTACATAATAATGATTTTATGGCGTTGATATATAAAAACAGATACACATTTCCTACAAATAAGTATCTCTTCAAAAAGTGGCGTCAACATGTGTCGTTAAGTCAAACCAAAGAATGAAATTTAAAAATCGAAAGCTCTGTCTAAACACAAATTCGAACTTACGAAAACCACTTATAATACTTTTTTTTAATTAAACAACGTGGTTTTATTTTGTCATTCAAAAAACAATGAACAAGAGATTAGAAAAAAGCGCACAATTTCGAATTGTGCGCTTTTCAGGATACCTTTGAGATGCTAATTGTGTACCTATGTTGAGTTTTTGTATATCAATGTTTTATGGTAACCAACGTCACTGTAAACAACTTTGTTAGTTAGCTTGAATAATATTGAATATTTTGCAATATATTAGATACTGAAAATTTTATACTAAGTCTTCAAAGTTTATTAGTATGATATTGTTTCAGTAGTAGAGTAGTTAATTGCGCTTTTTAATAAGTATTTGCGATATTAATATTAAGCAATTGTTGTATATGTGTGATATGTACCCATTACCTGTCGAGTGTCGAGCGAGACTCGGATCACTTCATTCTCCACGACACGATAATTGACCCATTATTTTATTATTGAGGATATTTTATATGTTTTGTATACTTTTGTACCTTTGTTGATATTAAGTGATATTTAAAACTGTTGCTGAGTACGTTTGTACAAGCTTAAGTTTTAATTTGCAATAAAAAGAATATAAAAAAATAAAATAAAGGTGTTTTAATCAAATAGCCATCTGGAAGATTTGTAGTAAATGTATATTTCCGTATTAATACAATCACCAGGTACAGTTTTTGAGTCAGTTACAGATTTACAAATATATCTTATTTGTCAAAAATTTATTTCAAACAACCGCATCATACGGAACTCTCGCCAATCGACTTTAAAATGTACAATATGACAGCAATTTGATATGAGAAACTAAATAACTTTTTCCGACTAAACATTTGTGTGATAAACACTCAAATCTGGCTTCATCCTTGGCAGGCACAACTATACAATATTAACAAATCTTCATCTACTATTGAACTACCCTGCCGAGTCTGCCACAGGATCACGCCAGCAGTCCCACTACATTATACATTTAATTTAAATCTAAAACTAACAATAAAAAATGACAGCCAAATCACATCGAGTCATTGCAATATTTAACGAAGCCGAAAAACCTCGAGTGGTTTACAAATTCTACGCCTGGCCAGCAGCAAGACTCACTCTGAGGTAAATATAAGCTCGTATAACTACACTAGCGGGACTGCGGCCGTCATCGCATCATTGCTCACGTTAAGAAACAAAAAGGTGCAACGACACGTTGGAAAATAATAAAACACATACATATAATCTATCATTACAACTCTTAGTAGGCACAAATGCGTAAGGTGATAAGCTAGGAAAATATATTTAGGCGTAACGTAAACAAACCAGGGAGGCGAGCCTCACTTATACAGATTTACGCTGACGCCTGGACGAAGACATTTTCGCTTGAACGGGAACCCATCAACACCTTCCATTTATTGGATACAACACTATCACACCAGAACAATGTCCTTCACTTCCACTATAACACCCCATCTGCCCCCTTACTATAGATAACATAATTAGACACTTCGATCACCCACATATACTTTTCCGTTACATTTGTGATTAGTCCTCGCGATAATAAATTAAGATTCAGTATACTCTGCATGTTCCACCTCTCCTACTTGGCTGAAAGAGAATAAAAGAAATTATTAATACTTACAAAAACACTGTATAATGCACTAGTACAATACAGTTAAATACTTTTTCATTTTACTTATATTAAATTACATTACTTAAAAAAACAACTGGATAAAACTGCATCAAAAAAATGGTATTTTTGTATAGACCTTTACTTTGTGTAGCAAATATAGCTACAGATTCAAAATCTTGTGTTCGATTCCTAGATCTGGTCAATTTTAGTTACTGAGTTTTTATATCAAGAAGTTTTTAGTAACAGAGCAGTGTTAAGAAGTTGAAGTTGGTTATATTTCACCCCGGTGATCTCTCTGGTCGTGTCAAATTAACGTCTGATGAAAGAAGACATTAATGTAACAGTACTATACTCTATTCACGGAATAAACGATGCAAGCGCTTTCTCTGTCATACATTAGCATACAAACTGACCAAGACAAAAAACTGTCTAGCTCCGCCCACTATCATATTCAACTAAAATGAAATCAATCATGCTGCTAATGTTTTAGTGTTTATTATATTATTAATTTGTAATAAAATAAAATCAATATATAAATAAAATCTAAATTAAAGTAAAATTAACTATAGTTTTAAATATTTATATACATTATTTATTAATTTTCGTATTCCGACGTATTACTGTCATCTCCTACATTGATAATAAATCAGGTAATTAAACTAGAGACGTCTGAATTATGAGTTGCATTGTAATCGCGGCCTAAGCGTATTATCTGCAACTAATCACGTGGAAGAGCAAAATCTGAGTACTTGGTTAATTCGGCGAATACAGTATAGCGACTTATTCTCGCTTCACTTTGATACATCTTAGGTACCTAACAGCAAACTATATGTTAATTTTAACCAAATCCGTTGCACCTTATGATCGTGAAGCGAAGGATTAACAAACAAGCAGACACTCACCAGCGGCGGAGGCGGGCTGCGGCGGCGCGGGCGGCGCGGGCGGCGCGGGCGCGGCGGGGCGGCGCGGCGCGGGGCGGCCGCGGCCTCGCATCGGCCTCCAGCTCGGGAAGTACGACATGCTGTGGACACATGTCGTTACCGTTAATATATCATATTAGCGAAGGAAAACAGAAACAAACCTATCCTACGGGAACCATACTACCCGTTTTCCGGGATAAAAAGTAGCCTATGTGTTATTCTAGACTATAATCTATCCCTGTGCCAAATTTCATTTAGATCCGTTCAGCCGTTCTGCCGCGAAAGAGTAACAAACATCATCCATACATACATACTCACAATCTTTCACATTTATAATATTATTATAGATTAATTAATATATTTAAATTAATAAGGATAATACAGTAGATAAATGGTCAATGATCATTATTTATTGCATGTCGCATTGAGGGAATTCGAAATTAGGCTTTACGATTATCTGTTGAAGAAACATCATTCTAAGTACAGCTTATTACTTATTGTCGCTTTTCATTGCTTATGACATTTGTTTTGTATATAGGTTATATACAAAACAAAAAAATATTTAAAAGAATATATTGACAAATAGTATCAATAATATACAAATAAAATCAAAATTATATAGATCTTTAAAAATAGGTATTTGTATTACGACCAAAATATTTTGCAATCATTTTGAATAGCCCTTTCTACATTATATAATATTCCAAATTGACACATTAATTACACTTTAATTAATCTACACGAAATTGCAACACTTTGATTAGAAAAAAAATCTTTTGTTAGTTATTTTTGAAGTTATACTTCTTTTGGCACGTTTGGAAAAAAATATGTGAGTAAAATTTTTACGATGCGCGCGCAACCGACAGCCAAAAAGCGACATGATGAAGTTAGCTACACTATTTTTACAAACAAAGAATTGTGACATTCGGGATGAAATCTTTAGCAATTTTTGTTCTGTTACGCCAAAAAAGTATAATTTCTTACGTGCGTACATAGTTCACACACACATCTTTTTTTTCGCCATGGAAACATAGCTTATGATATTTAACAGTTAGTATGAAATACAAATCTTTGAATTTCTCGGCTTTTCTACTATATAAACCTTCCTTTTGAATCACTATCTATTAAAAAAACCTGCATCAAAATCCATTGTATAGTTTTACAGATCTAAGCATACATATGGACAGACAGACAGCGGGAAGCGACTTTATGTGTGAGTATGTAGTGATGTACGTATGTAATAAGGTGCAACTCACGGGTGCATGTTATGCGGGTGCGCGTGCGGGTGCGGCGGGTGCGGGCGCCACGCCGCCCGCGGCCGCCACGCGCCGCGCCGCGCCGACGCCACGCCGAACGTCTCAGAGTTCAGCTTGCGCTCCGTCCGCCAGTCCGTGCGTTGGCTGCGACCTTTTGATCTGTCACAAATTACAATTTAGCTTTATATTATTTACAGTAGTTATAAATAAATGTAATGTGTAAAAACCGGGAACTTTATGGTTATAAAATTTCGAATCTGGATATGGGTATATGAATAACGTTATACCGGTTTCAGATACGATTATGGATATGGAATTTTTTTTTTATAGTTTCAGTTACTAATATTATATTTTTAAGGAATTATAAAACGAAAATACAAATGGGTAATGATTTGCCTTTATTTGTAGGTTATCATTTAGTACTACAATATGACTGACTAATATAGCTAAGCAACATAAATAACATCTATCTAAGCAATGCAAAGGACGCGCGTGGCTAGTGTATCGGTTCGGCCGAATGAAAGCCGTTAATAATACTTTCAATATTACTACCAAAGCAGCATTTTAATCATGTGATTGGCACATTTCAAAGTGACAATAATTAAATGTATTTAATATTAATTCCTTAACTTATCAACATTAATTGTATTGTAAAAAAAAGTCTAAAGGAACAAAATAATTTACTGAATCATGTACTAAAATATTTTTTGCCCTCTTTCACTCACCTTTCAACTGCTTCACAAGAGATATTGTCAAAGAAACTCTTCTTCTTATCATATCCAGTGAAACCATCATCTTCTAATTCGGCTTCCCCGGCACCAGTCTCATTACCAGAGTCATCTTTCTTGTCAACTTCACCCTAAAACAATTTGCAAAAATTAAAAAAAAGTAACATCAATTTATACACAAAAATCTTAAAATCCTACACCATTAATACAGCTAAAATAATAATTATTTTGCCAATAATAATAAAAAAATGTATCAATTCAATTATTTACATTAAAATAACATATAAAAATGGGTGGTGAAGACTAAACAAAAATGCATCCATGGATGCCACAGAACTTTAAATTTCTCACTACACTATAAATATTATAATATAGTGATTTCTTCATTGAATTATAAGTAGATAGTTCGAATACAAATTTCCATGTTACATAAATAAATTATTATTGTTGTATACAAGGTAGTTTTGGTGTCATTTACAAATAGTACATACAATTCTCAAAATAAAGTCTATTGAGCATACATTAAAAATTGTTATATTTATATATTCAATAATTAATATGAATATTCAACAAAACAATCGACAAATCTACAATTGTAAGTAAATATTTGAACGGATTAAAATGAGGCACGGAATTCATGTCATTGTTTTAGTAATACATACAAGTTATTTCATTAACACCTTAGTTCCCAATTTAATCAATAGACGGCACTGTCCAACATTAAAAACAAAAATCACTATACAAACACTTACTTCAACTTTAACCACCTCTCCGTCAGATATCTTAGCCTTAGCCAGCTGACTCCTCAACTCCTCAAACTCAGTATTAGCCTGTTCAAAGTCATAATCATTGTCAAACTTGAGCGTATTCTTGTTGCGTGGGACAAAGCCACGGCCGCGCCCACGTGACCTGCCTCGCCAGCCGCCACGGTTGTAGTTCTGAATTGGGTGTTGCTGTTGGAGAGCTGTAAAGATTATATCTGTTCATATACTGTTTTCTTATGTTTTGATTGACATATTTTTGGTCTACCACCAACACAACTAAATTTATATATTTTATAAATTAAAGTCTCCGTCACCTTGAAATTCGTCTTAATTGTTTGTTCGGTCTAATATCAGAAATTACTGTATGGATTTTCATAGTTTTGTTAAACATAATATTTTTGTGTTGTGTAAAAGTTAAATACTGAATAATATGTTATTATGTAATATATGTTAACATTTGTAATTTTAGGTATATATTAATTATTGAAATATTGCATGCTGTATCATAAAATATACATATATATTATATATATATATATATATATATTATTTAATATATATATTATTATCAAAATCTAAATGTATGTACTAACCCAAGTTCACAATAAAGTGGTTGATTTGATTTGTTAGCACACAGAGGAATTATCTAGGGAAGGGCATATATATAATTATGGAACTATGCTTTCTAAACATATTGCATTAAAACGCATTGTTAAGGGCAATCCAGCGTAACGCCACTAGTCACCAGAAATAATTAAAATCCAATACAAAAATTAAAAATATATACTTATTATACATTATAAACAACAGAAACATAACATCCCCAGCATAAAAAATTAACCACTCACACTTAAAAAACAAAAAAAAAACAAAACAAAAACCCGACATCCTTACATTCCGCATGCTCACCGGGCTGGTGATTGTGCTGAGAGCCGCTGGGCTGTCGCTGGCGGGTGCGGGACGTGGGGCGTGCGCGGGGAGCAGCCCCCGGCTTGGCAGCCTGGCTGCTGGGAGCGCCGGTGCTGGTGCGCCTACTGTCACGCTGGCCCGAGCCGCTGGCACCTGAACCAGCCTGGTTACATAACGAATATTATATATTAATTACAAGTTACTATAATTTTTTAAGTATCCCTCTCTTAATTTATCGGGATAAAAAGTATCTAAGATGTTGCCCGGGGATATAAGGTACCACCATGCAAAATGTCATTTAAATCGGTCCAAAAGTTTCAAAGATTATCCCGTACAAACAGACGAACATCCTGACTAGGTTTTTAGCATTTTTTTTCTATGTACAGACATTCGACCTCTACAGTTTTATTATATGTATAGATCTCCTCCTAAAATGTATGGCAAAATGGATAGCAGGTACGGCTGAGGCTCAGAGATTAGGTTAGAAGGCTAGATTGGAGTCCCGGCTCAGAGCGAATGCGGTTATTAAGTTTTTCTGGCAAGAAATTCTGTGGCAGTCTGAATTAGGGATTGCCCGTGCCAGGGCAGTGTACTAAGGCCGCCGGTTTAGAGCTTGATATCACTGCGAGTGTCGAATTGTCATCCCACCAGCATGAAAGTAACAGGAATGGAGAGAGTACATGTCTTGCGCTGGCGTGAATACTTGTGTACTGTACCTTCCAGTAATAACATAACATGGCTAGTTTCAATAGGATTGTCATGAGGACACTATTATTAGTGATGCATCCGATAATGATATCGTTGGATTTCTGATACGTTTTGAATTCTGCTATAACAATCCATAGTGTAAACACGCTATCTCCGCTTTTAGTGTGTTCATATAAAACGCTACACAATTTATCTACGCTCGGAGAATCCCCGCGTATTATAATTTCATTCCACTACTTGCTTAAAAATGGCACAAAAATATTTCAATTTCCAAATGAGTTGTCGCATCTAAAAAGCTACCAACGACAGGTACCATCCAAAGTTACGAAATTGGCTTTCATCTGTATAAAAACGAAAAGACGATAAGTCGAGGGAAACCTCGTCAGCTGATGCATTTAAATAGGCGATAGATGCTTCCGCCTAACTCCTGCGTTATGACTTTCAAATTGTCAGCTGACGGTCTTTCCACCGAGATAGAGCCAGCTGACATATATATTTATCTATATTTGCATATATAAGCTACCATCAGGTAAATTTTCAGTTGAGAGGAAATCATTGAAAATATAAATATTTTTTTCATGGTCGAGCTACCAGCTGACGCATAATCCACCATATTATAGTCAGCTGATTGTTTTTTTTTCTCAAGATATTGGATTAGCAACAATTTAACAAATTTTGAGGTAAGAGGAAATGTTTTTATTTTTCGAGCGTGGGAGGCTACTGCCGCTCATCCAGCCCACGGAGCCGCAGCTGAGGTTCACGAAACTTTACGACACAACTCTGAGGCATTCTACTAATTATCGCTTGAGAGAAAATAATCGACCAAATTTATACCTGGTTCCCGGACCAATAAAAGATTATGCACAGGACTGATAGCTTTACATGCCTTCTGTGGCATGGGGTTGTAACACCGCCAATACACCTTCATTAGTACTTAAATGTACAAATTATGTACTATACAGCTTAAACCTCTTTTCTAGCATTTAAATTTTAAAATGTCAGTCATCAATCTCCTTATTAATAATAACTAAAAATAAGAGGTAATCTAGATCAATGAGACTTTTTTTATATTATAAATTATTACATAATGCATGGTTTTTATCTAATTAATAATTTGAAACATTAATATATATATATATATATATTACAGAAAAATAACATTATAAACAATTTATTACCTGAGTGCCTTGATCTGCTGTGGGGCTCTTTCTATGTCCCACAGTAGCAGGGGTTCCAGACCTTGAAGCACTTTGTTGAGAGCCTCCCCCAATAAGATCCAGCATAGAGCCTGCAATTTTTCTTACATTTAGTAACAATATTTAATAATAAGGATCTAGAAAGCTACTGAAGCATTATAGTGTAAAAGATGATTTGGGCATATCAACGATATTCTATAGTAGCAGTTCCCAAATGGTATTACACAAAACCCTAAGGTTCCATGGAAGGGTAGTTAGAAGGGTGGAATAAGACATTGTCAGACATAAAGCCTAATTTTAGTGCTATTATAAATAAATATGTATGTATAATGTATGTGAAAAAACACAATTCATCACACTAAATAGTTAAGGTTATATTTATGGTACAATAAATATTTTTATAATTATGATATGTTCTTTCTAATTAAACAAAAAAGTATACTAACTACACAATCAATTTAATTATTAAAAGGGGGAACCACTGGTTCTATAGAATAATGTGCTAAAGCTATCTAAATAAGCAAATGTATTCTAGTGAATAGAAACGATGAATACATATTTAAAAATTCATTTCGGATATAATTGAAAAGAAATATTCCCTTTACAAAAAATATGATTTTGTTTATCAAAATTGCCTTAGGGCATGACATACATAATTATGCGCAGTAAAGTAAATTAATAATGTAAATAAAATATTAATAAAGTAGATAACAATAATGCAATAAAACAACAGTATGCTTCTTTTTACAATAAAAAAAATGAAATTTCATCTTCATCTGTTTTCAAGCAACAGACCAAGGAAATATGCAGATTGCGATTTTGGGCAGTTAGTTAATATTGGTTAGTATGAATAAATGCAATTTACTTTATGTAAAGCATTTCTTCAAATATCAGCAGTACAATAGTTTTAAATTACTCTGTAAAAAATGTTTTAATAGCAACTTTGTTACTTTGTTATTGTTTTAATTATAATAAAAAGTATCTTTAAAATTTATCATTCAATGAACACAATAATGAAAATCTACATGTTTTGTATGGAAATGTGAAACAGTACATATAGAAAAATATATAATATTGATGAATATGCTAAAGCATGTTAGTAGTGCAATGAAAATCGCAAGCACAGCATTTGTACAAGCCAAAAGTGAACTGTTTCAAGAAAAACCTTGGTCTTTCACTTGGTTGTTGTGAAGCACCCCCGATCCTATTGGCGCAGTCACAGGTTGAGGTTGTGGTGTCAAATCCACAGAAGTTTGTGGGGATAACTCACTGGTTTTATTAAGTTGAGGGTGAACACTCGCAGGAAAACCAGCCATGGGATGATATTGGGGATATTGTGTCTGTCCCACAACAGGGTGGTTGTATTGTCCAGTGTATTGCCCCTGTCCACCACTGCCGAGAGATGGAGGCACTGACATCTGCACAATGGCTGGATCATTTGGTAAGGACGGCACATTGTTAAGCACTCTTATATCCTTGATGTCAGAACCTCTGAATAAGATATAATCATACACTTGGCTCTGAGGCGCCACAGGATATTGAGTCTCACGATCCTCAGTACCAAAAGATCGCACTGAAAATAAATGACATATTAATATTAACAAATAAGCCATAAAATATTTATCTTATTTAAGATACAATTCAATATTCCTGTTCAGTGGCTCTAGGAGTGCCTTAAAATATTATAAAAGTAAAAAGAATATTTAAATGACTTAATTAACTATAAAAGACATTACTAGGGACATTTTCAATTTTTGGTACTATACAACAGATCTGATTTTTATAAAAATAGTTTCTCTATATTTCAAAAGACTGCGCTTTAAAAACTGTAACTTTTCCACCATATTAGAAAACTCCTTTTGTGTCAATGCCCGCCAGATGTTAAATGTAATACATAACAAACCTACCAAACAAAAAAGAAACTAAAAGTAATGTTAGATTTAGATATATTTTTTTATCAACTAGTTAATTTACAACAAATAATATTTTCCTAACAACAGCCTTATTGTTTACAAGAATAAACTATTATCAACGTCATCAATGTGAAACCGCGGTCACAAAAGTATAATACTTCCAATATAAAAATTGGAGGGTAGGATCAAAAGAATGTGGTGTAAGAATATGTTATATTGCTATAACCTTATTTAACAGTACAAACAAACAACTTTATAGAAATTATTAGTCTAACTCATCAGTCAAACAGATATTCGAATACAAAGTATTCGATATTGCGAGGGAAAACAAACTAACTGTTTCCAGTAATTAAGAATATAGTAAACATAAAATTCAATATATTTGGAAGACCCATTTAAAATAATAACTTCTTGAATGTTATTGGTGGAAAATAACACCCAAAAAGATAACAGCATCCATTTGTCAACTTACCGCTAGCTAAAGCGATGGTACATTCCTGAGGATCAACGGTAAAGAGTCGGCCTTCGTATCGAATATCTGCTTTAGATATTAGGCTTATCTTGGAGCCCAATTCAGGCATTCCAGAACTCATAGTGTCACTTTGGAAATTAACTGCCGATGACAAAGATTTTTAACGATATCGTCGACCGTAAACCAACAGCCAGCTATTAAAATGACTGACGGGAAGTTGGCAACAAGCGGGGCGTTTACAAACAGCTGAGGACATAGATAAAAAAGAATCTACAATAAACAATTTTATACGATTTTATCTTTTATTAATCTAAAATAAATAGAAGTATCTCTATTACATTATTGTTTCATTTTTCAATAAAAAATATATATTTTAAGATACATGATTTTCAATCAATGTTTTGGTAAAAATATTTTTCCAAAAAATTCGAACCAAAACTTATAAAATATTAAAAAATTAAATGCTGTTACACCATAGATATAAAAAAATAATTTTGTACCTAATTTTTCAATCAGGTATTACTTATTTGAAGTAATATTTTACGGTTGGAGCTAAAATTAAGGTTGTACAGTTAACCGTTAAAAGTGAGATTACAAATTACTACGATTTTTTTAAAAAAAACCCAACTGCATAAAACGCAAATTAAAAACATGAGCAAGAACATAGTATTATGCAGTTGGAAACATATATTATGTTTTATCCTTGCTTTGCAAGCCTTACTACGTATATAATACAATATGTTTTCAGCCGTATAATAATATTTTCCTTCGTCAACTTGTTCTCATTCTCTCTTGTTTTTTTTATAATTTTTCAAATATTTTTTTATCTTATTTTTATTTGCTGACTTTTTAGTTTTGGTCAGTTACATATTTTTAGTTTTATTTAACAACTAGCGACTCACCCTCGCTCCGCTCGGTTTCGTCCATACTTACGTTAAATAACGTTCAGTATAGATCTCTCACAGATGAGATATTTTCCCGCAGTAAAAAGTATACTATATGTTGATCTGGATACCGGATACCTATCATCATAACAAATTTCATCAAAATCCCTCCAGTGGTTTTTTCGTGGTGCGGTAACAGACAGACAAAAATTCCAAAAACTATAGATTCGGCCTCTGTATCGATAATAATGTCTATTTCAATAAGATTTACAAAAAAAAAAATTAATGTACAGATTCGGCTTAGTTACAATTTTATTATATGTATAGATGTTTCACCCTAAATAATTTTTATAAATATAAGTTATATATGTTTTTTTAATTGCCTCTTAACCAACAGACAAGGACAAATGTGATCAAACCTCATGAAGACACCATGATGGCATGATGTAATAGTGCTCTATGGACTTTATAGTTATATGTATAATAATAGTTCTCTATGGCTTCATGTTATCTGTATTAAGTGTCCGTTGAGCTCGTTGAGTTTTAATTTTATAAACATTGAATTTGAGTGTTTGTCGTTTGATAAAAATTGGAATAGTGAACTACAAAAGTACTTAGCAAATTTACATGTTCTCCAAGTGATAACTTTATATATCTAAAGGTTTTTTAGCTTATGTGCGATGATGATAGAAAGTCCAATAATATCAACTCCCGCAAGTTTATCAAGTCTAAGTGTTGGCGGGAGCAACACTTCTATACGAAGACGTAGCTTGGTACCACAAAGCCGAGCACATAAATTAAAAGATGAGGTATATCGTTATTTATATTGCCATTATGTAGTTAACTAAATCAACAGAACATTAACCCATTATTTATAGACTTGTCATAAGTTTTACTGACTGCTCAGCAGTGTATCTGTTTCTAAGCATATAAGTATATTTTTTTACAAATAAAAAATATTATATATTTATAGGAGCGTAATGATGACGATGCGGAGCGGTCATTATTGGTGGCTTCGGAGAGGATGGCGGCGACATCGACTCCACAAGAATCTCCTCGTCGGGGGAGGGACACCATGTCATCATCACCTCAAAAAGAACATTTTCAAGGATGCTTAAAACTTTATGCAGAAAATGTAAACATGATTTATGTATAACATAACATTATAAATATGATCCTGCAGAATAATTGACCATGCAAAGTTGTTAAATGTTCATTACTTATTTATAACAATTAACGACATACATAATTGTTATAAATTATTAAAAAAAATGTATTAATATATTTAAAATCTATCACTTTAGAAAATCAACAAAGACAATGCTTGGAACCTGCAACTTATTGACTTTATGACATCAATGCTAAGAAGACATGATGCTAGAATGGATAATTTACAAACAGCATCTACAGTGGTAGATGCATCAGCCAGGATCTACTCTTTTAGAGTGGATGCTGTCCATTATGATGTACTTAAAATGGCTGGAGGATTGACTAAAGCTGCTCAGGTAAGCATCATATTTTTTAATAATTCTTATTATCAAGATCATTGATTATATTGGGAATTATTATTGATGTAATTTTAAGCATTGCTTGTTATACATTTATTAAATATTAATTTGTTATGCAATAAAATAAGGAAGAAATTTTAAATGGATACAATTAAAATTTTTACATTGTTGTTCTTAAAAATACCTTCTTAGTCAAAAAGAGGTAAAAAAGATGATGACAATGGCAGTCAAGATGAAGGAGCAGTAGATGGTGATACTGCAGCTCCTAAAAAGAAAAAGAAAAGAACAAAAGGAGCAGTAGCTGCTAACCCTGAAGTTTTTAATGGAGATTTTGATGCTGTTGACTGTATTGGTAAGTTAAACAGGATAAATTGAGTGCTATTGTTATAATACATCTATTAAAAAATTGTAAAAAAAATACTGGCCTTACATCCTGCCTATAGTCTAGATTACATCCTGGAGTAGCATTTGGGCTTTGGTTAGGCACTTAGAGAGGCTAAACGAGGGTAGTATCTTATAAATAGTCAATAATCTGCAGCAGAATATTTCATTTTATTAATAATATGAATATAATCTGACAATATTTCTCACTATTATTCATAAGTTGTATAAGTATTTCATTTTTAAGATAATGCTAATTAAATTTTATTACAAAATTGCAGATCCATTCTTTGAAAGGCTTGCAGCTACAACTGGAGATGTGACATCATCAAACAGAGCATTTAATGCAACTTTACCCATACATGATGAAAGTTTGGCATTAATATTGAGGTTTGATATATTAATATTATATTGATGTGCCTCCGGAAAACATACAGCATTGTATATGAAGAAGCAGTGTATACTTTGCCATTTATTTGCGGTCTGTGGAATATGTCATCTACTTTTCAACTACCCTATACTAATTGTTAAATTGACGGTAGTAGAAAATCCAGCTAGGACACGGCTAACCGTTGTCACTTTGAATATCATAGCGTTGTGTACTTTCGCCGCGTGCGGTCGAAATCCAAAAATATTAGAATAATCCGTTAAATATTTTGAGAAATAATTTTACAAAGTGTTAGCATAACTAATATTACATCAATATCTATCTGTATTTTTGTGTTTGTGCGGGTTCTTATACCAGAAGTGTATCGTAATGAATCGCGCGCCTAGCGAGGTCGATGAAGCCATCGAGGCAAACCGACCTATCGTTTCTAATTCACCGACGATCGAGAGGGAAAGGCAAGAGAGAGAGGACTCTTCCTGTTCCAGCAGTTCGTCAAGCAGCGAGCCCGAAGAAGAGGAACCTCCGCGCAAGAAATCAAAACGAGATGCTCAGGTAACGGTCGATCTCCGGATCGACGCGTTATACGAACAGGTCAGTTTCCTTACAAATATAATTATGCATCAGCAATGTGCGTCATCATCAAATACAAATGTGACCGCGAAAACCACTGACGTAATTGAACAACCTGAACAGATTAATGATGATTTCTTGACCAATCCTTGCTCTATTACACCAAAATCATTAGATTTAGGTTTTTGTAAAACGGATTTTGATGAGAAAAAAGTTCTTAAACCAGCCGATGAACAACATTTAAACCAGTTGATAAAACTGCAACATTTTAATACATCTACGTGGCAACACATTCGGTATAAAAAAGCATTGGCAGACATGCTTGCGTTCCCAGGCTTTTGTAACTTAAAAATTAATGACGAAATATGTTGTTTAAATAAGGGCAAAGATTTCCTGGCCTCAACGGAGGAAATTATGGCTGCAATTACCAATGCTTTACTATACCAAAGGCAATTACTACAATCAGGTTTACAAGAAATTGTTAATTGGTCTCACAATAATCCTACAGAACTAACTTCTAATAACCTTTTTAATAAAATAAGCGAAATGTTCGGTAATTCGTCGCCATCTTATAAATTATCTGAACAAACATTACAAATCGTCTGCGGGAAACGAGCGGAGTGTATAGAAACTAGGCGTAAAAGATTAATTAGCGAAATTTCTGATAAAAGTATTCAAGCCGCTCTCGTTAACATACCTCCTAGCGAGGAATTTCTATTCGAGAAAACACAATTGATGTCGCTGGTGCAATCCCTCGGTGGGCCTCATTATTGGTTATCACCCCCACAAACCTCTAAAAATAGGGACCAAGTAAAAAGGAAATACCATGAATCGATACCGTCGACATCCAAATCTAGGCCACAAGGACAAGATAAAAATTATTTTCAAAATACCTTCAAAAAATCAAACACTAAAAAAACGTACAAAGGAAAGACTGATGCTTACAAACAACAAGGAAACCCGTCCTTTCGAAGCAAAAACAAGAAAATATGACTATCTAATACCATTCAGGGGAGGTCGTCTAAAGACGTTCAAAAACCGTTGGCAGGCACTTGGCGCGAACAAATTTATAATATCGGCAATAACTGGTTTTCGAATACCGTTTTACAAGAAACCTTCTCTAATAATGCCAACAAGGCTTGTTATGAGTCGGTTTGCAACCAAACCGTCGCCGGCCATGACTTAAATAATGCAAGACCTCTTGGATCAAAAAATACTGCAGCCTGTTACAAAAGAAACGCCCAGTTTTATCTCCAAGCTATTTCTGCGGTAGAAAAGCGACGGATCGATGCGACCTATTTTCGATCTACGAGAATTAAACAAATTCGTAAAGATAAAGCATTTTCGCCTTATTTCTCACAGTTCAGTGCCAGATTTTCTCCAACCGGGAGACTGGATGATAAAATTAGACATTTCTCAGGCAAAATTTCATGTAGCTGCAGCAAAATCTCACTGCCCATTCCTTCGAATCAGTTACCTAGGTCAACTGTACGAGATGACCTGTCTACCTTTTGGCCTGGCATCAGCGCCACATCTCTTCTCGTCCATAACATGCTGGGTCGCGGAGACCCTGCGTGCCAAGGGATGTCGTGTACTAGTCTACCTAGACGACTACCTTCTGGTCAACCAAGACCAATCCAAGTTATGTCTTCAGGCCTCGGCGGCCGTGAGGCACTTGGAATATCTGGGCTGGAGCCTCAATTACCAAAAATCGATCTTGACTTCGACTCAAGACCTAGAATATCTTGGTATCCGCTGGCAAACCGCCAGGAACAGAATGTCATTACCAGAAAAGGGGATACAGAGTCGCAAAGAAACCATAGATCGTTCGTTATTAAGAGGCCATATCACGCTTCGCGAACTACAGAGCCTACTGGGACAGCTAAATTTCGCCAGCTTTGTCATACCCCGAGGCAGGTTACATTGTCGGAAAGCACAAATCTTTCTCCGGCATTTCAACAAGAGGCAACCACGACAGAGGCAACTAATTCCCGACACGGTATATCAAGAGATGAGATGGTGGCTCGGCGCCACACGTCACTCTTCGCTAAAACACAAAAAGCCGGTTACTCATTTCCTAGCGACGGACGCTTCGGATCTGGGTTGGGGTGCTCATCTAAATGGGCATCTAATGTTGGGGACGTGGTCTCATCAGCAACTAAAATGGCACAGCAACAAACAAGAGCTATATGCAGTAATGGCAGCGATCAGAACAAACGCTGCAGCGTTAAGCAAATCCCATGTACTCATCCACTCGGACAATCGAACTTTAATTGCGTATATTCGAAAAGAGGGCGGAACGAGATCGTTGACACTACTAAGTTTGACTTACAAACTACTGACCCTAATAGACAAGTTCAAGATAACTCTTTCGGCACATTATCTACCAGGGAGGTACAACACAATTGCAGACAGATTGTCACGAGGGAAAGAGGTTGCGGAATGGCATCTCTTACCACAAGCAACTGGAGAAGTCTTCCGGAAATGGGGTCGACCGGAAATAGATCTCTTTGCTTCACAACGAAGTGTTGTAGTAAAAATCTACGTATCAATAGATTGCAGAGATCGATCAGCAAGTTATATAGACGCCTTCAGCAGACCTTGGCAATACCAACTAGCATGGGTATTCCCTCCACCGAGCCTATTACCCAGAGTTTTGGCACACCTAAACAACGCGACAGGGACTTATTTAATAGTGGCACCGGAGTGGCCTCAAGTCTTCTGGCTTCAAGATCTAAAGTCCAGAGAGTTGGTTCACCCACACGAAATTCAGAATCTATCGAAAACAATGATCGACATGACAACGTCACAGCCACCTCCACAAGTAGATCTATTAACCTTGAAAGTTTGGAAAATTGGGGGTGGGGTTCCCATATAAAAGAGTGGTCTACACAAGAGAAGGAGCTGCTAAGAAATAGGTGGCGAAAGTCTACTTTAGCAACATATCTACCTGCCATTAAAAGATGGTTGAAGTGGTGTAACAGTACCCAAGTAAATCCAAAATCACCTACTCCTGCGGACATTGCTAAATTCTTAATCTATCTTTTCCTTAACGAAAACTTATCTTATAGCACTATTTTGGTACACAAGTCGGCTGTATTAACTTTCTGTGGGCCTTATGTAGAACAACAGACATTTACAAACTTCATTATAAAACATGCCCTTAAGGCAATTGGGGTAGCTAAACCAAAATCAGTTAGGTCATTTGTTAGTTGGGACTCAAATGTTGTTCTGGAATGGCTTTCAGCTAATTCACCTAAAGATACGCTCTTTGAAATATCGCGTAGAACAGCAACAGTGTTATTGCTAGCTTCTGGACGTAGAGTCCACGATCTTACCTTGTTACGAATTTCCAAAGACAACTATCTCGATAATGGACAAAACATCTATTTAATACCGGCATTTAGTTCAAAGACTGACAGACATGACTGCCGCCAATCTGCTTGGAAGCTGTCTAAACATCCTGATAAGAACATCTGCCCAGTTAGTTTAGTTAGGTGTTTAATAGAGAAAACCAAACAAAGAAGGTCGGATATTAGAGACTTAGACAACCTCTTCATTACAATTAGTAATAAAGTAAAATTTGCTTCCCGTACTGTAATAGGCAACTGGGTGCGCGCAGTTCTTAAAGACAGTGGCATTGATGCTTCCCCAGGGAGTTGTAGGTAAGCTGTAGCTTCACTGGGGTGGTTAGATAATCAACCCTTAGATGATATATTAGCACGGGGTAACTGGAAATCTTCCACTACATTTTTTAATCATTACTGTAAAGTAATTAAAGTATCTAAAAATGACCATAATTCCTTTTTCATTACATTCATGTCATTATAAATTTATGATTTAATTTAGTTAATAATAAATAATTAAGAGATTTGCAATAAAAAGGTGTAACAATTATATACAAGTTAATATTTAAAAAAAAAAACTTATTATTTACTTTCATATTAAACTTTTATTATTCTCATTTTACTATTCATCATAGCGTTGTGTTTATATACCTACAATCTACATATTTCACCAGCAGATAACAAACACGTCTTCATATACAATGCTGTATGTTTTCCGGAGGCACATCAATATAACGGTTTTACATAATAATAAAACCGATATTATGTGCCGAGAGGGAAAACATACAGCATTGCAGGAAGTCCTTCTTGGTGAAGACTATGATATTCAAAGTGACAACGGTTAGCCGTGTCCTAGCTGGATTTTCTACTACCGTCAATTTAACAATTAGTATAGGGTAGTTGAAAAGTAGATGACATATTCCACAGACCGCAAATAAATGGCAAAGTATACACTGCTTCTTCATATACAATGCTGTATGTTTTCCCTCTCGGCACATAATATCGGTTTTATTATTATGTAAAACCGTTATATTATACATATTTATAGTTGCTGTAACATCACAAAAATTTAGTGTAATTTTTGTTGGATGTTATTTGGGTTTTTTATATTATCAATGTAAGTTGAGTTTAAGGCTTAAACTTGCCTATACTAATATTATAAAGAGAAAAGATTTTTGTTTGTTTGTACCGAATAAGCTCCGAAACTACTGAACCGATTTAGATGACATTTTTTAAAAAGATGATTGACTCTGGGAAGGATTTAGGCTAGTTTTTTCCTGGAAATCATCCCTTAAGGTGCCGAAAATGGGGATGAAAGTTTGTATGGAGTCGCTAGTATAAAATACATTTTATACATATTCGATGGTTGCTACATCTTTATCTTTTATTTCTATGGATCCTAATACCACATGTTGTAGAAATACCTTCGTAATACAGTGGTTTGGTTAAGATTGTACATTATCCAAATCACTGTATTAAGTAATACTAGAGGAGCTTAATAGGGTATTTTGGGATTTACTCAGCCCGGCAGATTAACATAAGGGGGATCTTGCACTCTGTTGAGTACTTCCAAAATAAGTCCTCTGTCACCATATATAAGGTCGCGTCTAGGACAGCCGATTAAAATATTAAAAAAAATTTTTTAAATCAGATCAAAGTGTGGTGGGCTAATACGGAATATGCGTGTCATTTAAATATAGGGGAAATATTATTTTTTTATATTCTTGATTGCTTTTGAATTAAGCCTATATTAATATTTATGAATCTAATTGCTTTTTGATTAAAAAAATAATTATTAAAAAGTACAAATATATGTCGGAAATTCAAAGTAGTTGAAACGCAACGCCATTGGTCAGACCGAATATGACGTCAAAGTATAACTCGCGTCACCTAAAAAGAACGCTGGAAGAAAGTGGAGAGGGTATGTTTGCGCATGGGTATACTCGCGCACAAAAGTACTAAGCCTATTATTTTATTTTTCATAGCATTTCGCTCGCGGCTTCATATTATATTAGTTATTGGTAGGGATATTGAAAAATATATTAGATAGAATATCATTAAATAGAATTCTATTCATTATTAAAATATGTTTGATTCAGTGTAGAATGGTTAATCTACTTACAAAAAATTAAATTAATACGCTTATTTCCACCAATTTGACCGATAAATCGCTCCTGCGCAGCTCGACAGCTTGCGTTCTTTTTAGATGACGCGAGTTATATCATCATAACACAGTGGATATGCAATCATTTTTCTGTGTATATCATACTGAGACTTCGCCTAATGGCGGGCGTTTGAAGTATCCGTATAAGTATCATATTTAAAAAAAATATACGAAATTTTACTTTGTGGGAGCTGGCTTTTTTTACAATTATACAACGATGTAAGCTATTATATAAAAATATTAAAAAAGCACGCATATTTACTATTACTTGCTAAATGCCTGCATAAACTTTATGGACGATTTTTGTTTCTTTAGCTAGTGGAAATCGGTAGCTAATTGAATTGCACACTTTTCATTTACTATAAGAAACTACCCGCTTTGCGTTTTTACAAGCAGAAATTATGTATGCGTCACTACGATTGCTATCTCTAATTTTCAGAACAGATGATAAATTTTTAGAGCCAATTCAGGAGAATGTTTCAGAAGAATTGGATCTAAAAGAACAAATAACATTATCAATGAAGTTAATTCCGGCTTTTCATGAGACTGATCAAATTTGTGAACCATTTACTGGCTTTTCAATAAGTAACTGGGATCCTGAGACAGAAGATTCGTAAGTATTTATTTTTAAACAAAAAAAAGTGTGTGTGTGTGCAATTCACTTAAGGTAGAAGTGAAATTTAATATTATATATGTGTCAGACAATAACAACGGTTACTATAGCAACATAGCAATGCTCTCTATCTCATTCTCTCATTGGCTTAATCCTATATATTTATGTGTTTGTCTCTTTCTCGTGTCGCATTTCCGTTTCATCGAGTTTCAAATCACAGTGATTCTAAAGATAGTTCACTTCAAAAATAAGTTTAAAATTATATATTTTGTATTGTTGTTCTAAAAACCATTGAGTCTATTGAAGTAAAACTTCTTGAGGCGTGACTGAGGGGTAATTCAATATTAAGAGAAATGAGTGTCGCAGAAGTGAGAGTCAAATTTATTACTAATAATTTTATAAAAAATATTATATTTATATTTTGATTTGTTTTGATTTAATTGCGGTATCTGCCATTTGTCTTGATTATTAATCTATAACGTGAAACATTACAAAAATAAAGAATATTACAAACAAACATACAAAAAACACATAACCCTTTCCTTGCAGTCGGGTAAAAAAGGGAATTCTGTTACTGCTTTAACCAATTATATACATACTTGAAGATTGTCCTTTGAGCTAGCAACATGCAATATGTTGGAAAATGTATCCCCCAAATGGATTAGAAAATGATGAATATTAATAGAATAAATATATAATTATAAAGTATTGCATTTTGTCCGTCTTATCGTAAACATTCTTTTTTTCTTAAATCTTTTTGTAATGTTTTAGAGAAAATCGCGTAACAAATTGGATGGAAGAAAATAGATTGAATCTATCACAGCAGGCTCTTGCATTTGATATGAATGCTGAAGTCGAACCTATTCCTCAGGATGAGTGTCAAAATGATTTGTATGGTGAGCAGCTTGCGAAAATTTATGACAATTTTAATTCAAATATCTTGCATTACCTGTATAGTGTATACAATATATGTATAAGTCCTTATATCTCATTTTCTTATTATGGTTTTATTTTACTAGATTCCTTTAAGCTCCTTTGTCATGGACCTGGAAAAACTTACCCCATTTTTCATATTCCACTATGGAAATTCACAACCAAACTAATTTAAATGTTAATTTTTTGATTATATTGTTTATTACAATTTAGAATTTTTATATGCTACAATGGTACTGGTAATATACTCTTAGCAGATAGCTTTAACATTTTTAACTTGCATTATGATAAATATGTTGGGTCATTAACACACCATGCCATCTAGTTCCATGGTAAGCTACGAGGCTTGTATTATGGATACCAGATAGTTAATACACTAGACATATATAACTTTAAATACATTCATATTATAAATATAAACAACCATGACTGGAGTACAAACATGCCCATCACACAAATGAATTCCCCCAACGCGACTCGAATCCGCGACCGCTGGCCCACCAAGTAGGTCACTACAAACTGAGCCAAACGTGTCGTCATTGCATAAGAAGTAATGAATAACAATGTTGTTTCCATTATCCAGAGGAGGAGCCGTTCGCGGGCATATCCTGCGAGGATACACTTCACATATATAACTTTAAATACATACATATTATAAATAAAAACAACTATGACTGGAGTACGAACATTCATAGCCATCACACAAATGAATGCCCTAAACGGGACTCGAACCCGCAAGCGCTGGCACGTCAAGTATGGTCACTACAAACTGAGCGAAACGTGAATTTAAATGAAATTTATTAACCGTCACAGAAGAAAGAAGTAATAAATACACGCACACATCTATCAGAAAAATTTGCATTTATAATGTATTAAGTATGAGTATTAATTACTTCGCAAGTTACTGGCTCGTCGCGTAAATCTAGTGATATTAGTAAATATATACGGCTGGGGAGGGGATCATATTGTTCACGAATTGAATTCAAATTTTAACAATTACAAACTGAGCTAAACGTGTAATCTCCTAAGAAGTAATGAATAACAATGTCGTTTTCATTTTCCAGAGGAGGAGCCGTTGGCGGGTATGTCCAGCGAGGAGGAGGCGGACGTGGCGGTGGCGGCGTGCGTGGCGCGCCTGGCGCCGGCGCGGCTGCGCGCGCTGCCGGACGCGCGGCCCAGCGCGCCGGCGCACGCGCGCCTCGAGTACTCCTACTGCGCCATCGTGGCCGCGTGGGCCGGGCCTGCGCACTGGCGGCTCAAGGGGGATCGAGGTAGGCATACTCCCCAGTCCAGTGGCGAAGGGTCCATACAAGACGTCTCACCTTAAAATTATTTGGTTATAATTTACACACATTTAATTTTTTAAATGTATAAATGTTCTTTTCAAACAGCGTCAAAAATGTCAGAACGATCACAATCCACTGCCAGACTCACGACCGACGGCAAGAAACCGCCTCGTACTAAAAAGCAACTAGACTTCATGGGCGCGGGTCTAGCCTTCGACGCAAAAACCAACAATGTACCAGACTACGAGCCCACACAGCCTGCCAAGATCATGATTAGTAGGAAGACGTTGGCCACCGGACACACATGGAATGAAGCTAACTTCAAAACTCCTATTGATAGGTATGCATTGTTATATTAAAATGAATAAATAATAAATAAATACGTAAATGTAAACATTAACATTTAACACACAGCGCCATCTAGTTCCATGGTAAGCTGCGAGGCTTGTGTTATGGATACCGGATATTTGATACACTACACATTTTAACTTTAAATACCTACATACATATTATAAATGTAAATACCCATGACTGGAGTTGAAACATCCGTGCTCATTACACAAATGAATGCCCCCAGTGGGACTCGAACCCGCAACCGCTGGTACAGTTAGTAGGGTCACTACAAACTGAGCCAAAGGTGTCGTATAGTAAAAAATAGGTATAAATTGTATTATTATACTAGCGACTCACCCTCGCTTCGCTTGAGATTCGTCCTTAGACAAAAACAAATCTATCCCACGGAAACCATACATTTCTCCATAATAAAAAGTAACCTATGTCCTATCCAGACTATCTCTGTGCCAAATTTCATCCAGATTCGTTCAGCCGTTTTGGTGTGATTGAGTAACAAACATCCATCCATCCAAACTATCGCATTAATAATATTAATAATGGCATTTACAGGGGATTAGACGAATCTCATTTTCTCAAGCTGTTCCTACGTCGCAATGTGCTGATGTTCCGCGAGCGGGACGCGCCTCGCGCACCGCCCGAGCCGCTTACAGTGGAAGGGAATAAGGAATACGACTACAACAATGAGAACGATGCCTCGTACTGTCCTAATCATGTACCGGTGTGTATAATTAAATGAATAAATATGCTCTGGGACATTGACACAGTAAGCTACGTAGCTTGAGTTATGGATAACAGATAGTTCATACACTACACATATATAACTTTAAATACATACGTACTATAAAAATATAAACACCCATGACTGGAATACAAACATTCATACATAATTGTTTAATTTTACAGTTTTTTTTATTTGTTTTATCGTGTCAATTGTTTTTGTGAAGTGAAAGTTAGGGTCTATGCACACGATGACTTTCTAAGGCACTGTTCTTATCAATACAAATGATTTGTATTGTTTTTATCAGCACAGAATATGCGTAAAGTTCGTTCATAACGCGCGTTTCTATTATATGTGGTGTGCACAGGCCCTTAATATTAACGGCCCTTAAAACAATCTGTGGGACTATTTAAAATGAATAAAAAAGAACGATCATGATCCGATGACTATTTTCGTAGAAATGCGTGAACAAACATACAACCATACATAAACATACATGCATCTATAAAAATTTGTATATTTGCTAAGAAGCTCTAATAGATTATCCTATGTGAATATTTTGCAGTTCCAATAATATTAAATACATAACTCCTTTTTTTTTGAAATTGATTAAAAATGAGCCCAAACTTCTATTGCTTCTATTACTTCTATTTGCTGCCAGTTTAGAGGTCAACTATCAGGATAGTTTGATGGCTTGATATCTATATATATAAAAGAAAGTCGTGTTAGTTACTTCGCTTATAACTCAAGAACGGCTGAACCGATTTAGCTGAAAATTGGCAGGGAGGTAGTTTAGAGCCAGGAGAAGGACATAGGATACTTTTTATCCCGTTCGACCGCGTTCAGATTTTTATGATATTTTAATTTTTGGATTTCTCTTAGTCCGGAATAGGTAAGTATTAAAACATATAATTAAAATGTGAGAAAGAAAGATTTTTTCTTTTTATATCTATTTAAAACGTACCTAGCGACGAACCCGAGCGAAGCGAGGGTGAGCCGCTAGTTATTGTATAATTATCAAGATTTACATAATTTTATTTAAAAATTAGTAGGTAGATATTTCATTACATAGTTTATAATTATTGAAGCTAATAAAAATATGTTAAAAAATAGATATTGTATGTACCTTAGGATTTACCTTACAATATCTTCGCAAATATTTAAATCGATTTTCATTATACTTTTTTAATGAATGGATATCACCTCTTAAGGGTGTGAATTTAAACCTTTAAAGTAAATTGAAGTTTAAGTTGATTTTTATGTGATATTAGGACTGTGACGACTGGGGCAACGAAGAGGCGACGGCGGCCGGCGATATACATGACCAAGTCAAAGCGGCGGAGAATGAAGAACTCGGCGATATGTTAGAACCTCCTACAAAGGTATCATTTTATTATTTTACTAGCAACTTTACCATCACTTTGCTCGTGCGCGTCCCTAGGTAAGTATTAATTATTTTGAGCGGAAACCTTATTTTCCTAAAATAAAATTTGTGTACTGTTGAAAATCCCGTCAAAATCAGTCCAGCCATTTCGAAGATTAGGCGGAACAAACAAACAGATAGACAGACAAAAAACATAAAAATTAGGTTTTTTTATAATGGTATTATGCAAATTTAGTAAAAAAGCTTTTATTTCGACATTAGAAAGAGACAATTCAATTTTATTTATCTCTATAGATTGTGGGTATGAGTTACTCTATAAAGATAAATAAAATTGAAGTGTCTGTTTGTAATGTCTAAATAACAGCTTCTTACTAAATGCATATAAAATTATATACGGTACTTTATGGTTCCGCTCAAAAAAATTAAAGCATACCTAAGGACGAACCCGAAAAAGCAAAGCGAACCATAAGTCGCTAGTTCAGAATATAATTTATCCGAAATTAATTCAAATCCTTTTGTTAAACTGTTACAACGTAAACGAGTAATGAAAGCTCTAATAAACTTTCGCATTTATAAAATTAGTGTTATTTAATCAGTAAATGTTTCATTTTTCCTACTTAATAATCAATTAATCCTCTGAACGAGACTTGACAGATTTTAAGTGATTAATAAAATATTAAACTGACGAAATTTGTAGTTAAAAAAAAACTGTGTATTACTAGGGTATTTTCTTAACAGATTGCAAAAATCTTCATTCCATACGCAATGCGAGCGAAAAAAGTTGATATGAAACAACTGAAACATTGCACTTGGAAAATGCTGACAGAAAAAACACCAGAAGGCGAAAAAGAAGATGTCTCAGAGACCACATTTTTCAATATATATTCTCGATTACCGAACAAACTGTCGACTAACATGCGCGAGTCGCTCAGTGTGCCGCTGGCCTTATTATCTGTACTACACTTGGCCAATGAAAAAGGACTCATACTAGAGAAAAAAGATGACCTCAAAGATATTGGTATTATAGGATTAATTAAAAACTAATTGTATACTAAAATAAATAAACTTGTCTCAACCATTGATTTTTATGGTGATTAATTTTTGAAGTGAAAACTTCTATAGGCAGGTTTGGATGTGGAGTAAATTCATGTAAGTCGTCATCGACATGGTCCTGTGACGTGTTAATGCTAACACACAGAGTGCCGATAGATGTCAAAACCAGATAAATGTAGTTTTAATTTACAAAGTTTCATTTAAAATCAAACAATTAATTTGAATATCCAAAAATAGCAAGTGCTTCTTTATAGTTTTAAGTTTTCACTTCTGTGGGCAGCCATGACTGCTTTTTTTATTATGGAATTGCCATATTAATGTTGCCATCACAAGTTGGAGCATTGTGTACATATTTTTGTTTTATAATGTTTTATAAAGTTAGTTTTGTACAGATGTTTGGTTCTTTTGTGTTCTTTATTATCAATATAGAGTAATATACATGATATAGTGAGTTTTATTCAAACATCCTAGAGTTTTTCGCATTTTTTATTTCGTCCTGTGGAAATGTATCTACATATTATGTTGTTATATCCTCAACTAGCGACTCACCCTCGCTCCGCTCGGGTTCGTCCCTACTTACGTTTTAACGTTTAGTAGAGATTTCTCAGAAATGAGATATTTTCCTGCAGTAAAAAGTATCCTATATGTTGACCCGGATAACCAGCTATCATCATACTAAATTTCATCAAAATCCCTCCAGTGGTTTGTCCGTGATGCGGTAACAGACAGACAAAAAATCAAATAACTATAGATTCGACCTCTGTATCGATAATAATGTCTATTTAAATAAGATTTCCCAAATGTGGGATGCTACATGCGTTGACACATTGGCCCCGTCCCATGTCAGGGAGACCGCGTCTAAAGTGGGAGCTGCGGCGGAGAAGGCTGAACTACTTCAGTTGCGTAAATACACCTTCCCTTGACTAAGGGAAGGTGTATTTACGCAACTGAAGTAGGGGATTATGTTTTTATTCCATTTGCTGTAGAAACCCTTGGCCCATGGAGTCAGTGCTAAGCTCTACTTAAAAGACGTAACACCCCGTCTTATCACCTCTACTGGTGACAGGTGGGCTGGCGCCTTTTTCGCCCAAAGAATCGGCATTGCCATTCAACGGGGGAATGCGGCTAGCATTCTTGCCATTATTACACGCGGACATGACTTGTACAGTAATAACTAAGTGTACATATTATATTTTGTATACATAATTAAGTATATTTGTAATTTTCTTTTTTGTAAGTAAAGTTTATAATTAAGTCAATAAATGCCATTAAATGTATCGATTTGTTGTTAATGTTTGTATAAAACTAGCGACTCACCCTCGCTCCGCTCGGGTTCGTCTCTAGGTAAGCTTTAACGGTTAGTAGTAGTTTTCCCGCATTATAAAGTTAAAATCCTAAATGTTGACCCAGACAACCAGCTATCATCATACCAAATTTCATCAAAATCCGTCTAGTGGTTTTCTCTTGATGCGTTCCCAGATAGATAGATAAAAATTCTAAAAACTATAGATTTGGCCTGTATATCCATAATAATGACTATTTCAATAAGATTTTTTCAAAAGCTATGTAATGTACAGATTCGATTAAGTTAGAATTTTATTATATACACCAAAAAAGTACAATATGGTTGTAAAAATTACTCGACTCGACTCGACAAGTAAAACGAAATAAATGGTATTTTACTGGTTATCGAAAAATGTTAGCATTAAGGTCATGAATTTTTAGTGCGTATTCACAGATGACGCTTTTATGTATTAGCGTATTGGATACAAGTGCAAAACTAGATAAGAGTATGACGGGAATATTTTAATATAAACAAATTGCTACTGTACATAAGCTTTACTTTTTTATTAAACAAATAAACTTTTTAGCAAACAAATGGTGAACATATTTTAATATGTAGTAAGTTCAACAGTAGATAAAAAAATATTACAAAATATTTTGAAATGCTTAAAGAATTAATGATCTGGTAAGGATATGAAAATGAAATTTTTACACTTTTAATAAACTTAAACATTAAAAAAACCAATATTATACTTTCCAAGTAAATATACTACTAATTACTGGATATCTTCGTGTCGAAGAAACAATCACTACTAAACATGAGTATTAAAACTATAAAAACGATAAAAAACCAAATGAAAGTATCTGGCAATAATTTATAAAGACAAAGTAACAAATGACGACTTGAGTCAGTTAAATCTAATATTTGAGAACAACCTAAAGCTATAATTTTAAGTAAAAAAATATATAAAAGATATCAATGAGTCACAAAGAACCGTACAAGTTATCATCAAGACAAATCACACAATGACAATTATCACAATTTTAAAAATAAAATCTGAAGTCAACACCAACATGGCATTGCCTGAGAAAGTTATTTTTAATTTTTGCATATTAACATAAATGTACTTTGATATTGCTTAAACACATTGTCCAATAACTCGAGTTTCACTTTATTGAGGATTCAAAAGCTAGTAGAATATGTAAAAGTTAGTAAGTCACTATTTAATTGGACAAGACTATTCAGCTGCCACTGGTTTCTTTTCTACGGCATCGTTCGTAGTTTTCACTGGTGAATCTTTACATTTGTCATTTTCACTAATATATCCTGTGTCTGTATTTAAAGACTCCTTAGAGTCTTCTGTCTCTGAAGTTTTTAAATTATCATTAGAACTTTCTAGAGTGTCTGTAGAGACTTCTTTCTCTCTTAAAGTATCATTAGAACTTTCCGAAGTCTCTAATACTTCTTTCTCTGGTGTTGACGTCGTTTCGGTTTCGAGAGAATCGATACTAACATTCTTTAAGTCTTTTTCTTCGAACGATTTATTTTCTATTACCGTTTTGGTACTATCGAGACTTTCGTTTAACTCGTTCTGTGATGAATCCAATTCATCTGAAGGGTTTTGTGATGTAATTAATTCATCTGATGGGTTTTGAGATGGAACCAATTCATCTGACGGGTTTTGTGACGAAATTAATTCATCTGATGGGTTTTGTGATGAAACCAACTCATCTGACAGGTTTTGTGATGAAACCAATTCATCCGACAGGTTTTTTGATGAAACCAATACATCTGAAGGGTTTTGTGATGAAACCAATTCATCTGACGAGTTTTCATTTGCAATAACCGGTTTTTCGTCACTTTGATCAGTTTGCTCTATTTTACACTCTTCAGGTTCAATCTTTTCTCGTTTTTCGTCTTCAGTCACAAGATCTGGAGTATCACTCTTTAATACTGAACTCAAGTCCGTGCCATTTAAAAGTAGTCGTACTAAAGATGGCTCTTTGACACTATCTAAAAATTCTATTTGTAATGTGACCAGTTCGGCGACTAGATCTTCTAACTTCGATTTAGCGGACTCGTTCGACTGGTCGTCTGTAAAACCTGCTAACCGGCAGCACTTTGCCAACGGTTCTATTACCGCAATCTCTTCTGGTAGCTGCCTGAACTCCTCACATTTCGCTTTGTTTCCATAATCAATAAATTGCACGTGATATCCGACGTCACAAAATTCCAAGATCCTAGCTCTGTACCATTTTTCGTCTTCCGTCCAAAACGCAGCACATATCGAGCCCACTTTTAACTCACCAATAGGTTCAAACTGTTCAGCGCCCACTAATTTTTCGGTTACTTTATCAAGGGTTGATGTAGAGTCTTCCAATTGTACGTAAAACTCTTCGAAGTCGTTTACATAACATACTTTACCGCTGCTGTGTAAATCTTGCCCTACAGGCGTCGGTCTCTCAGATGCTGGATGTTCCTCACAAAGACCTACTAGTTCCTCAGTAACAGATTTACCTTCTAGATACAGTTCCACGATAGAAATATCACCTGAGGCAATAAACTGGACGTTAAATATCGTAGCGCCCTCTGCTGCTAGTTCGTTGAATTTGATTTCAGACTTCCGCGACCAAGATTTGATATCACGTGGTTTTTGTAAGGCACATTTTCTCGAAAGGGCCGGCTTTAATTTAAGCTCGTCTGGAAGACTACGTAATTCATTAGCTATTGACGCGTTTCCGTAATCCATAAACAACACTTCCGTGCCTTCCGAACCATCGACGATCACTTGAGCTCTGTACCAAGCCCCATCTTCTGGATATTTGGCGGCACATAAAACTCCTTCTTCCTTTTCGGTCAATTCGGGGAAGTTCTCTGCGTCGACCATAGCCGCTTCCATCGTTTGCAGCTCGGGTGCTGCAGTTTCTAACTGAATCCAAAATTCGGACGGCGAATTGACATGACTAGCAAAACAAGACGGCAAGTCACCACATTCAGTCTCTTCTGATCTCGTTGCGTGTCCCTCAGACACGAGTTTATCCGTTAAGTTTTGTCCATTAACGAATATATCTACATATGTAGTGACATCTTTCAGCACAATCAGGGCATCCACTGGGTTTGAAGTATCGCCTACTAATTGCGTGAAATAGTCCGACGCGGGCTCAGACCACTGTCCCGTACCAGTTGGAACCGCATTTACACTGGATTTAATTGCAAATCTTTCTATATCTTTTAAATTATCCGGCATAGTTTTTATCAAGCCGGGCTGGTTATCCAACACATCGGTGTTACCATAATCAATAAATCGCACGGTTGTTATATCAGAATCGGAATCGAGGATCTCTGCTCGATACCACAGGTCATCAGCGGAATATTTGGCGATACACAAAGTGTTCATTTCACGGGTCTCGATATCTGGGTAATTATCAGAATTCGCTTGTAGTTCTGCTTGTATTTCATCAATTTTTTCTACTTTATCGACCATCTGTAGCCAGAAGTGTCCGGGCGAGTCAATATGGCTGATGTATACTTGAGTACAGCCTTCAGGTAATGAGATAGGTTCCTGTTCCTCTACCGGCGTTTCAGCCTTAGGTTCTTCTTCGATTTCGTTCGCTATTTGCGGTGCTGCTAATTTCTCATTAACGAGCTTCATGGACAGATCGACGCCATCTATGTGTAAGTTAGCGAGCCAGCCGTCGTTACCGAAAGTCAGCGTAACTTGCACTTCCTTCTCATCCGTCCATTCTGTTAGTTTCGCGACCGCATCGTCCTGTAAAGCTACAAGGCTTAGACTTGCAACTAATGCTAGAGCACACGGCTCATAGAATTTGGAGTCCAGTTTCTTTACAACTTCTTTAACGACGGTTTCAGAGTTGCCATAATCCGGGTATTGAACCTTGACCTCCGTTTCAGTAGAACTAACAATTGTAGCTCGGTACCAGTTGCCATCAGATGATTTCACTGCGCACAAACCATCCACTTCAAATTCAGTTAATGGTTCAGGAGAGCCTGGTAACAAAGTAAAACACATAAGATTGAAAATTAAAAAAAAAACTTGTAACTATTAGATACTTTTCCTCCAGATCAATTAAACGATATCTCTTTTATTTAATTGCAATAAATAAAATATGATAAGAAAATAAATATTGTATTGCAATTTTACAAAACAATTATTATAACATTTCTCAACAGAACTGCCTTCCGAGCCAGTGGTAGCTTCTTCACCAACTTGCTTAATGACATTTAAATTTAAAATGTAAAATCGACGAATTAAAAGCGCTTGTAAAAGTCTATTTACATTAAGTATGTTTTGATTTTGAATACAATCTGTGCAATAGATGGTGCATGAAAGTATGGCAAAGCTACAGACACACTTTTGCACGAAAAATAAAGAAATTAAACCTTCTACAGATAATCAACAAACAACACAACCAGAATTGTACTCGATAAAAAAACGGAATTTCTGAACAAATTACAATATTATAAATAAAACTATTTTTCGGATTTTTTCGCTGATTTATTTTGATTTTTGTTTCCGACGTTTCGAATGCTTTGCAGCAATCATGGTCACGGGAGAGACTGAAGTTTGTGGACTATTTTGTGGGTAAGTGCTGTTTGTAACAACTATATAATGACCTTTGAAACGTCTAAAACCTTAGTCTCCCTGTGACCATACTTTCTGCAAGATAATCGAAACGTTGGGAACCGAAAATCAAAATAAATCCGCGAAAAAAACCGAAAAGATAGTTTTATTTAATAAATCTAAAAAAATATTACATAAAAAATATTGCACAAGAAAACTACCTTCTTCATAAAACTTGAACAGTTCCTCCAACAGAGCCGCTATTTTATCTTCATCCGTGGACTTCTGTAAGTACAACTCGTTGAGGTTCTCTATATGGGATATATAGGCATTGCCAAAGTTATAGTTGAACACTGCCCTCGTACAGAGCTGCACTACTTCGTCGTAAGCGCCTTCATCTGGCTCGAAAATGGATATCTTTTGTCCTGTTTTTGCGTCGTATAACGTTGAAATTAGTCTAGAATGAAAATATAAAGTATTTAGGTAAATGTAAATATTTTGTTTTCTACTAAATTATGAGTGTGAAGACCTTAATAGGCTGATAGACGAACTTGACAAAATAATAATTAATATATTTATATATAATTAATTTTTAAGTGCAATTATAATTGTGTAACTTTGAATACATGAAATATAAATTTTTAAAGTACATTTTTGAATAACATGAAATAAAAAAAAATTAAAGTAGATTTACCTGACATCTTCAACATCATTTACGTATATGATGAATTTGTTACCAGTCAGTTTGGTTTTCAATTCATCCAGAGATACTAATGTCTTTGATTCTGAGGTATAGTTGTTAAGGCAGCATTGCAAGGACTGGTAATAATACACACTTAGCTCCGTTGGTAGAATCATCAACTAAAATTAAAAAAAAAAGAACATTAATTGTTGATTATAAGCTCTTTCTTGTAGCTCTGCTGTCATACCTATATTTTTATTTCCGTAACTTATTCCCTTCTTGTTTTCTAAAATATATCTATCAAAATCAGACAGACAAAAATTATTAGCTTTTTAAACACGTGAAAACGTTTAACAAATAAATTATTTATAATTATTGTAAGGCATGTAAATAAATAAATATGTGTAAGGTGTTTTACTGAAAACATAAAATAAAAGGACTCTCAAGGTTTCGGTTTAGGGAAATTTTACTCGAAAAATGAGCTCAAAGTACGCGGCTCTCTGTAAGGTATTAACGGGCCAAATAAAAGGCGAGCCATTTCTCGATTCGAGTCAGTCGCAAGACAGCCACCGAAGAGGCAACAACTAAAAGGAAAAGGAAGAACCGAAACCAAGAGAGAAAAAAGGAAAAATTGTGTTTTTATTTCATCGCCTCTAAGTATAGTCTCCTGTCAACGAAGAAACCCTAGTGGATCGGGACCCAAGCTACGCATTCAGGGGTGCGTGGTGGAGTACATTACCAGCGAACGGACATACTGCCGTGTACGCCAAGAACGTCTGGGAGATGGTCCCAGGTCGACCTCCGGGTACTAGACATACCCTGGTTCTGGTCGTCCGAAACAATTATGTATGTATTTGTAATATAAGGGTTATGACGCTTGCAAGTATCAAATATAGTTAGCTAATTAGACATAATTATGTTATTAGAGTCAGGGATTTAAAATTGTATTATGTTGCATGTAAGAAACTGGAACAGAACGACATGTTTCTTTTCAACACGCTTTTATTAGCTTTACCTATATCTATTTATCTATCTATGTAAAGGAATCTTTGAACGCGATTTTCACACACATTAAAACTTCAGATTGAACACAAACTTTGCACATTTAAAGCACCAAGGAGGATGATAATTTTAAAAATAAATTAAAATATAGTTTAAAAAACTAAATACGTATGTGTTTGTCTCTTTTTAATGTTGCTTTTTCGTTTCATCGAGTTTGAAATTATAACGGGACTAAAGAAGATTTCACTTCAAAAAAAAAGAAAAAAAAAATCATTTACTTTTGTTCCTAGGTGGTTAGGCCAGCGGTTCCCAAATAGTGGTCCGCGGAACAAACTACAACAACTACAAAACAATCAGTTTAGTTATTATCAAAATGGGGATCTGTTAAAAATATTATGTAATTAATCATATATTCTTCTGGTTCCGTGGATAAATGGCCTTGGCAATGAAGTGATCGCCTCCAGGCTACTTAAATTTTATAGAAATATTATAATTTATAATTTAACTTAATAAAAAAAGATAATGAAATAATATTAGTCCCGGTGAGTTTCTTTCGCCAGTTCTTCTCAGGTCTGAGGCGTCTTCCTTCCAAACTGGTAGTAGACTCATGACGTTCAGTAAAAAATTATAATAATTTAATGCTAAATAAAATATTTTGAATTTGATTTGAAAAAAAAAATGGTAGCCACTGGTTTAGACAACGCTCACATTAGACAGAGCAGTGGTGACCGTCTCCCCGTAGTCGGGCAGCACGGCGGCGACGGCGAGCGGGTCGCGCGCGTCGCGCAGGATGGCGCGGTGCACGGCGCCCGCGCGCCGCAGCGTGCAGTGCACGCCCTCCGCCAGGCTGTCCGCCGACAGCGGGGTCAGCTGTGAGGATATATATAAAATATGAGTACCTAGGCGACTACATATATAAAAAATTTAGTTTTTGGCCAAAAGCACAATTTTCTTTTTAATTTGGCTTAAAAACGAAAATGAAAAAAACTAAAACTTGAATAAACACAAAAAAAACTTTGTTTCCGACTGTCATTCGAACCCGGACACCTGTGATTGTCAATCTTGCGCCTTGGCCGCTTGACCATGATGCTTGCGGCCGAGCGTGCAAAATCAGCGACCATATTTTGCATGCAAAAGAAAACCGCATGAAAACTCGAAAACACGTGTTTTCCCAGACATAAGACTAACGTACATCAATTTTTCACCCCCGAAAACTCCCACATACCAAATTTCATCGAAATCGTTTGAGACATTTTCGAGATCGCCGATCGTTTCAAGGTATTAAATTTTATGCTTATATTTTTATAATTCTTTCTAGATTTACTATATACCTACGTAATATAAATAAGCTATCCTTTCGAAACTTTTTTCGCGGATTTATTTCGATTTTTGGTACCCGACACGACGTTTCGAATGCTCTACAGCAATTTTGATCACGAGAGAAACTAAGGTTTTACTTTTTATTAGTCTCCAAGGTTTAAAATTATATAGCTGTCAAAATCCCCGAAAACATCCGAAAAGATATTTCAATTTTTTTATTGTTTTTAATCTTTTATTATTATTTGTTGTTTAATGTGTCTGTTAGCAGTATATTTCATAATTAAAATTAAATAATATATTATTCTAAATAAATCTATGTTTTCATGTATAATAAATCTATGTTTATTGAATATGTTTACATATATGTACATTATATATATATATATATATATATATATATATATATTGTATAAAGTAACCATGTGCAATGACAAGCGCCAAGCAACTTTAACTTTGTAAAATTTGACAAACATCGAGGAATTGAGAAATTTGGGAAGAACTAAAAATGCTTTTGTCTATAAGATTTCTGTACGCAAAAAAATACCACAAACAAAATTGTAATTTGTATAGAACATCATCTGTCGGGTTTAAGTAAACCTAGCTTTGATTAAATAAATAAATCACCTTAGCTTGATCAAAGTTAGCGATAGCGTTTTCTACTAAATTGGCCTTGTCCAAGTCGAGTTGCACGTAGAACTTCTCGTACGACTCTACATAAGTCACTCGACATAGCAACTGTTGCCCCACTATTATGGTTAGGTCGATAGCTTCATCTGAAACAAATTCAAGATAAATTATAAAAAAAATGCCCAATAATCATAACATATTCCCATATACCAACGTTAATGTTAACTATCATATCCCTAAATATCCTTTTGCAATACACTAATATATAAAGTGAGAACCACTTCATTGGTTTTTATAATATACTATCATTTACGTTTTAACATTTATTATATATTTCTCAGAGATGAGATATTTTCCCGCAGTAAAAAGTATCCTATATGTTGACCCGGATAACCAGCTATCAACATACCAAATTTCATAAAAATCTGTCCAGTGGTTTTCTCGTGATGCGTTCACAGACAGACAGACAGACCAAAAATCCAAATACTATAGATTCGGTCTCTGTATCGATAATAATGATTATTTCAATAAGATTCTCCAAAAAATATATTTAATGTACAGATTCGAATCAGTTTATTATATATATATAAGTAGGAAAATATTCTCGAGATACTTCATCTTATTGGTTTGATATCGAGTATAGGTAAATTTAAAACTCATTAAATCTATTGCTTATATTTGTTATATAATTTGACTTTGGTACCATACACAATATTTAAATGAGACTTTAGTACGAAATTTCAACGACACCTCACCTTTGAGAGTCACGGACGCCTGCGTCTCGGACATAACAGCCAGCTGTTTCTCAACCAACGTGTCGGCCACACTCACGCCATTATTCCACAGGGACACTTTGTATTGCTCCTCAGTACATTCTTGGAATACACATTGATATCTCGGCGCGTTGAAGCATAAATCTATCTCAGGGTCGGCTTTCCATTCGCCGTCCTTTGGCCCTACACCGTTCAAAGAACAATGGACCGCCATTTTCGGCAGTTCCATCAATTCACTTTCCATTTGCCAAATATCCTTCGCATCAACTAACTGTTTGTTCCCGAAATCGACATAGCGTACGATAAATTTGGAAAATGGATGCACCGAAACTATTGTGGCTCGATATAGAACTCCGTCTGCGGGATATCGAGCTAATACTGACGCACCAACAAATATGTTACCAGAATAAGACTTAACCCCTTTATATAGCTCTGGGATCTTGTGCATCATTTCTAGGAATTTAGGTTGCAGTGAGAGTATTTGGGTGTAGAAATTTTCTGGTGAAATGATCCAAGTGACGGAGACTTCATGTTGAGAACCTATCTCTACTGTCGGTTCTGTGAACGGAGTTTCTAGTGGTAATGGATTCGACAGTTCTTTGCATTGTACTTGGTTAAATCTTTTGAATGGGGGTCTACGTTCTCTGCCATCTTGCGATCGGAAGCTTCTTTCGGATCTCTTGTCGCTATCTGATGCGAAGGATCGGTCGGCACGTTCTCGCGGAGTGAAGTTACTTCTTCCTCTTGCTCCCCTATTATCTCTATCTCTCCTATTCTCTCTATCTCCCCTATTCTCTCTATCTCCCCTATTCTCTCTATCTCCCCTATTGTCTCTATCTCCCCTATTGTCTCTATCTCTTCTATTATCCCTATCTTCCCTATTATCTCTTTCACCCCTTTCACCTCTATTATCACGATACTCTCGCTTTTGGTTCCAATTTTCTTTTTTATCGCCCCAATTATCCCGACGTTCCCCTCTCTCCCGTCTATCAGGCCTGAAGTTCCTATTTCCTCGATCGTCTGATTTACTGTGTTCATCATCTTGATTGAACCTATTATCTCTGAAAAGAGAAATAAACTTAATAAGAATTAAACTAAAAGTGCTATCGAAATGACGTAATGTGTTAGAAGTGAAAGTGTATATTATATTTAGTGCTGAATTATTTTGTACATTAAATAAATTTTCGCAGAGTGCAGTGAGTGAGATACTTAAGTTATTACTAGCATTAGTCGCGAAATGTTGGAATTTATTAGATTCAGCTAAAAAGAGAAATCGACTAACCACTGAAAACGAAATACCAAGCCGAAGCTAATGACGAATGAAACGAAATGTGCTGAAAGGAAAAACAACAAAAACATCAAACATTGACACTGTATACAAAACGTCAATTCATACAAAAGTATATTTTAGAAAAAAAAACGTGTGTGTGTGTGTACTTATGTACGCACGTAAGAAGTTATACTTCTTTGGCGTAACACAACGAAAATAGCTAAAGATTTCATCCGTATATCACAACTCTGTAAAAGGAATGCAGCTAACTTCAACATGTCGCTTTTTGGCTGTCGATATGCGCGCTCATTGTAAAAACTTACTCTCATATTTTTTTCTAAACGTGCCCAAAGAAGTATAACTTCAACAATTCAATTATGTAATAGGGATATGTAAGTAATATTTTCTAGTACTTTCAGATATGATATAACGCCTTATATACAGTATTCAGTTAGCGTACAGTGAACACAATCGGTCCAAGGTGCGTGTTGAAGCGTGACGACAAGCAAATGGAGTGAGGAAACCAGTACGGTTTACGAACAACTGTTATTATTGCAATCGTGTTTTATAAGCATTACCATTTTTCTAGAATATGCTTCTTCTACCTTGAACAGAATTTTAGTGTTCGATTCATTTAATCTTATCATATTTACAATATCCTTTTTGAACTTTAAACTATGTACAATATTTTAAATCAATTTAAATTGTTAATTTTAAGCCTTTTTAGGGAAAAAAATCTAACCAAACAATATTGTTAACTTAATATGCATAGTGAACACATTAAATAATCATTTTAGTGATATTTATCTTCCAGTAAATATATTTTACTACAATACGTAATATATTTATATACGTATTCCCATATTGTCTAAATAAAATAGAGTTACATCAAATAAAGATCTGTGTTAACATAGATGATACATATTTTTTAAATTTTAATAAAAATCCAAGTAATTCTTAAAGAAAATTACTCCTCTTTTATTTACAATACATATTATGTCAATTGAAAAATCATCTAAAGGTTATATAGTTTTAAATCATAAAATCTCTAAAATGAATCAATAATGTTACAAGTTACAACACCAAAAACAAGCGTGTACAAACAAACAGAGCGCCTTTGTATTACCAACGGAAAAATAAAGTGCAAAACAGACGTACATACAAAGCATTAGTATACGAGAGGCTCTCAGCGTAAAAGTGGCCTAACTTGAAAACTTGTAAAACATATTGTGTAGGCCAGATATAGGCCTTACTACATCTTGTACTACTCAATGAATTATTTAACATTTTTTTTATTTTTAAAAAACGGTATTTATCTCAACAATGCCTTATAATCACACCTTTACCACACAAAGTATTTATTGAATTATTTCAGAATTTTAAATGAACTTTCGGATTTTGTAATATTATAAAGTATTATAATACTTTATCTTATAAGATATACACAATATCTCACACACTTATACAATAATTTGGAAGAAAATAGAAAAAAAAAAGACGGCATCGACAAAATTCGATAAGAAAGTTTCATTTACTAGTTAAATTTAAGCAAGCACTATTTCAGAATTCCGAGTTAGGCCACTTTATCACTGAACCCCCGATACATTTACTATGTACCGTTTCAATCGTTCCTGCACTTTATGCGCCTGCGCGTCGACGGACGCGGCCTCGGCCGCCTGCCGCAGCCGCTTGCCGACGCCACTGCCTTCCTTCTTCCAATTTCGCTTTTCTTGATTGTTTTCGTTCATTTTTGGTTTTCTTCTGTTGATATTGTTTTGGGATGATATTTGGTTTTTGTTCGGGTGCTTTTATCTCTTAGTTATTATTGTGACCGGGAGTGTAATTTGTTTTGGAATATAAATAATATTTCTTTGTAACTAATTGGATGAGGCCCATCCAGTCCACCGCAGGTTCATAGCAAGTGGAAATCATGTTAAAAACAAGATTCGGATCTAAAGAAACTCACTAGGTTCGAGACTTCGGGTTTAAACCCACTTTATTTTGTGTCTAAAGCTACAATAAAATGAAAATTTTGTTTTATGCTAGTTTTAACTGGTAAATATTATTTATTAGATGAAAATGAATAAATAGAAGTTATTATAATTAACACACGATAACCTCATTTTATAACTGCACGTCCAATTAAAATTTAATTGTGCAGCGAATACTGATATTTACTTAATCTTCATTCATATGCATAACGTTTTATTGTAGAAACAACCAATAATACGTACTAATATATTTCCAATTATAGTCACGATTTTTAAAAAAAAACTACAAAAACAAAAACTTAAATCAATACAATTACAAACAAACTTACATAAATCTATAAATATTTCAACTATAAAACTAATAAACATTCTATAAGTACCTAATAAAAACTCAGCTAAAAATGTTTATCGATTTCCTTCATTAACATAATCGATACATAAACATTGATGTGCACAAGTAAGTCTATCTAATTATGTTAAAGCGTAATTAAAATATTTCATTTGAAATTATCTGATACGCAAAAACGTTTTTGTTCTGCGTACAGCGATGCATTCAGGTGTAAAATGTACAAGGAAAAATATGTTACGCTACTTCTTAATCATAATGAATTAGTGAATAAGGTTTTATAATAATTTATCTTATCATCGAACAATTAGTATTAAACTTTGAAAAGTGTAATTTTATTCAATAATATAATTTACCTTAATTATTGTCCAAAATAATAATAAAAATAATCATTTTATTCATTTATCACTTTGTAAGAAATTTTGGTTTTTACGTATAATAATATACGTACATATATATATTACGTATAATGATATTTTAAAAATAGTTTTTTAAAACACCCTATAACTAGCTAAATCGAATATATTTAAAGAAAAAAGAAATCAAGTTTTCACTTTCCAAACTGATGTTTCAGTTACAATAACAGGGCCCATTCCATTTAACACAAGAGAATTAAGAAGGTACTAAAATCAATATTTCAAAGCATGGTACAATATAAAGACAACTACTGACATTGTTCTTTTTATTAGTACATGTAGAGTAAATGCAAGTCCAAGGACTTTTTAATTGAAATATTGGGAAAATTGAAATAATTGTTCACTGTGCGAGTCTCGTACTTATGTATTTATTTTGAGAAATCATCAATATTATTGACTACATTCACGTTCAAAGTTATCTTTTAAAGATTTTTCTAAATAACGTCAACAAACAGAAAAAATAATAAAAATTTAACTAAAGACTAATTGAAACAAACACATTAAATTAATCAAATCAAATCACACAGAAGATAAAAAAATATTTACCTATTGGATTAAACAAAATTTAGCCCACAAAAAAAATATATGTAAACTACGAGTATTTCAAATTCCTAATGGTAAATCCAATGTCCATTCATAATATTCTTGACAAAGATATTGTAACATTAATTAAGATAAAACCAGTATTTCCCCACGTCTTCGCTCTCGTATAATATATAGGTAATATACATACATATATACTTATTAAAGTTCAATTCAATTTTCTTCTTAAAGACTCCAAAGCGTGCTAATTGAGCACAGATTACTTCGCCAATGTCACGTAGAATGGACAAGACATTACTAAAATTCTCAAAAATAATGCTGTATATCTCATGACAATATTATAAAATTCCGTTTTTTTTTTATTATAAATCCTTAATTCCTACCTTTCTCTATTATCTCTATCCCTGCTCGGACGTGAGGGAGGTATCATGTTTTGCTGCTGCGGAGGTGATTCTTCCCAATCGTCATCGTTGGCGGCGGGGACCGCTGGAGTATTGTTTTCCCAAGATTTGTTGGGACCACGCCTGTGAAACGATTTTATAATATAGAATTATAGAACTAGATTTTAGCTCACGGCTGCGCTTGCGTAGTATGCATGTCGAAATAGGTAACCTATATGTGATGCCTAGGTAAACCTAGTACATAAATAAATAAATATGTTGGGACATTAACACAACAGCACCTTCTAGTTCCATGGTAAGCTACGAGGCTTGTGTTATGTATTCACATAGTTGATACACTACACATATATACTTTAAATACATACATATTATAAACTAGTGACTCACCCTCGCTCCGCTCGGGTTAGTCCCTACTTACGATTTAACGTTTAGTATAGATTTCTCAGAGATGAGATATTTTCCCGCAGTAAAAACTATCCTATATGTTGGTCCGGATAACCAGCTATCATCATACCAAATTTCATCAAAACCCCTCCAGTGGTTTTTCCGTAAAGTGGTAAGAGACAGACGACAAAAATTTAAAAATTATAGATTCGGCCTCTGTATCGATAATAAAGTCTATTTCAATAAGATTTTCCAAAAAATATTTAATGTACAGATTCGGCTTAGTTCCGATTTTGTTATATGTATAGTTATAAACACCCGTTACTGGAGTACAAACATTCGTGCTTATCACACAAATGAATGCCGCCAGCGGGACTCGAACCCGCGACCGCTGGCACAGCAAGTAGGGTCACTACACACTGAGCGAAACGTGAATTTAAATGAAATTTATTAACCGTTACAGAAGAAAGAAGTAATAAATACACGCACACATCTATCAGAAAAATTTGCATTTATAATGTATTAAGTATGATTATTAATTACTTTGCGAGTTACTGGCCCGTCACGTGAATCTAGTTATATTAGTAAATATATACGGCTGGGGATCATATTGTTCATCAATTGGATTCAAATCTCAAGACATGTCAATTTGGAATTTTCTGGCAAAAAATTACATATACAGTAGCAGCTAATATTGGCAATGACGATGATACTATATCTTTTTATATAGGTACATAGATTAGCTATTGACTAGAACAGGAATCATCCGAAATCAATCAATATTTTTATTTATTATTTTTAATCTGTAAACTTCCAACTTATTCTAACTGATTTAAACACTCGCTTAAATAGTAATTTATTCGCTTTAATAGAAAACACAAACTGGTCCCTTTATTTTTCGCGCAACACCAGTATCGAGACACTGCATTTTACGGGAGATCAAACTTAGAACAACATTCAAAGTTTTATTCGAATAGATATGGAACCTACGTTTGCCGATGTAACCAGACAAGTATCATACTAGAAAAAATATAGCAAAATACAATTTTTGTACTGTATACAAAAAACTAAATATAAAAACGTGTGAGATCAACAGAATAAATCATTGCATTTTCCCACGCATGCAGTTAAGCTTCATTTATTAAAATTAACACAAAAATTTGCATTCAATAGATAAAAAAGACTAACAAAATATTGAGACGAAATATAATAAATCTAAATTATGAGGAGCTCATAATAAAAAAAAGGTAGCACTGACTCAGAAACGTGTTGACGATATTGAATAAATTAATTATTAAATAGCATTACTCACCTATCGCCTCTATCGGATCTTGCTCCATACTTGTCACTGTGACGACCCGGTCCCGATCGTTCAAAGCCTTCCCTTTGATCCCTAACATAAAAAAAACACAATCACATCTTCGAAATAAAAAAATAAAAATACACTTGGGACAATATTTAGAATACGCAAAGCAGCTGTAGTATTTTAAATGCAATTGTTTTGATATAAATTAAAAATAAGGTTAAATCGCGTATTTTTACCTATACCAGTATCTGTGCATGTCGTGTGTACGAAATCTGGTTTCAACTAAAAATTTCTTGCAACGAGTTCAAAGACCTCGCACGAAGGCCACACTAACCATGACTCAAAACCATTATCATTTTTTTTTGTTGCATAAGAAAAAGTTGACCGAAACTCAGCTACATTTCGACGAATCACTCTACGGCGTAAACGCTCTCTTTTTAATTAAATGTCTATTACACTTCGTTAATTATGTTTAACCGTTATTGTTGTAAGGATTCGTATGAAGGATGAAACAGACGACATACGGCGTAACATATTTGTATTATGATTATTAGTTTATTAAAGTAATCATTATATTAAGCTTTATATGAAAAACTGCCTTATTGGTCTAGTCTTGCTTGCTTGCAAGTCGTGTGGTTCTGTATTCCAATCCTGGTACAAGCCAAAACAGTTAAAGGGTTTTTCTGTCATGAAATCCTCAGCAGTAGTCTGGAGTTAGAAAGTCGGCGGTGTATAGGTACACTCTCGTGCGTTAGCTGTCGGTGCTGCACCTTCTCTCTTCGCGAGTGTCGAATTGTCGTCCCACCCGAATAAGAGTTGAAGGAATAGAGAATTCTCTTGCGTTTCATAAGAACACACACGCCTCAGTAAGGTCGACCGCCGTAACCATAACCGATCCGAAAATTCTTTATTTTTATAAAGAATTTTTATAATCAAAATTTTGAGACGTGACTTGTGTTTATGTGAATAAATTCAGTCAAAATAATGAAAGCCATCAAAGAAAGAAATCGGAGTTAAGTAGTTGCATATATAAATACAATAATGCTTTATCTCGCCGCGCTTTCTGTCACATTTATATCTTTGGCTTTGTATAAGCAATTATTCCGAGTGAAAGTTAAAAGTGCAATTGAACTCAAGTGTAAACGTATCATATTTTCGTAAGAGATAGATCTGATAGATAAGACGATTTAATGTCAAAAATATGAGTTTTCTTAAAACACAGGTATTTTTATAAGAAAGGCTGGTCAAGTTGCGACCAGCTCTGACCAGATTAAACATCCTTCTTGTGTCCAACCAATGAATTAGATTATACTCAGTTATTATATCCCGCGTTTCGCACCTCTGATATTTTCATGTGTGTATCATTTCCTACATGATTCTACTTGCCTTGCGGAGAAGGAAAACATCGGGAGAAGAAATCTGCATGTCTGAGAGAACCTCGTAAGTTTTCGAAAGACGTATGGGCCGCCAACCCGCCCTTAGCCAGCGTGGTGGACTATGGCCTGATCCCTCGTATTGAGCGAGGTCCGTGGTCAGTGGCAGTGGGACGTTAAAAAGGGCTGAATACTTTATTATAATTAGGGTTTTTGAAATCTCATACCGACATTTCAAGTCATGATATATACAGATAAATCTATTTGTCCTGTAATCGAGTGTTACATATTGAAATAACTGTATAAAATATACTACGCTCGAGTTGATCTAACAGCCGAAGCAGAACAGATAATGGAAATCTATAATGGATACATCTCTCTTAAATGACATTCGATATTAATATGAAAAAAAATCATATGAGCATTAGAAAATAAATTTATTATTTATCTTTAAGTTTGCCTTTCTTGTATACTACTTTTCTTATATTTCTACTTTATAAATATACTTATTTAAATTGCAATGAAACTTATTACGTCAAAACGTTATTAAAAAAACTAACTTACCGGCTCCGAAAACTGCCTCCTCTTTGACCAAATTCATCACCATCTCTTCTCCTTTCTTCTCGGAAACTTTTTTCACGGCGAAAACTCTTCTTCCTCTCATCAGGAACGCTACCTTCTGGCGAACTGATAGTTTCTGGCGCATCCTTACGTACTGGGGTAGTAGCAGCTTTAATCTGTATTTACAAACAGAGATAATAGTCTAAATTCGTGACGTTAATGTGCAATTCATATAAGAAAAAAAAACGTGTGTACTTATAGACACGTAAGAAGTTATACTTCTTTGGCGTAACACAACAAAAATAGCCAAAGATTTCATCCCGTACGTTACAACTCTCAGTTTGTAAAATGAATGCAGCTAACTTCATTATGTCGCTTTTTGGCTGTCGGTGTGCGCGCGCATCGTAAAAATTTTACTCTCATAATTTTTTCCAAACGTGCCAAAAGAAGTATAACTTCAAAAACATAGAATAATGGAATAGCAAAGAAAGAATCAGTACATATAAAGTAAAGAACATTCATATTATGTACTTTACTTTATTTGTAATCAAAAACCAACGAATAATGGTTTGTAGGTGAACGACAGGTTATTCTTAAGTTACAGGTTCTTCTATAGATTTTTTATAAAATTTACTAGTGGCTCGCAATCGCATTTTATCCATATCTTTTGCGACAAATAGTATGAAATCCTACGGAAACTGCTTCACGTATAGAAGAGATCACTAATACCACTGTACAACCGATTAAAACAATATTAAAACAATTAATCTATAGGTACTTCTTTTATGTTGTAACAATATTGTTACACCATAAAAGAAATACAAACAAACATATTTAAAAAAAAAATTAGCAAGAACATTTTCCATAACACTCTTGTTCTAAATCTTAACCAGATCAAGACAAACACTTATAAGATCAATACTGCCTGGTATTTATTGTCAAGGCTATTCGCCCTCCAGACAGTTCCACGAGGTCGAGTCGTCAGACGAAAAACTTAAAAGAAAATCCAATAACATAAAAGTAAATAAGATAATTAAATTTATCCTCACCTCTGCATTAGTTCTCGGTTGTGATAGTTGATGCATACGTTTAGCCACGTCCAACGGCGGTGACACAGTGTCATCCACTAGTGACACTAACATGGTGTCACTTGACAATACCCCAACTACATGTGCCATTAGTGTTTTCTCTAAAGCTATCATTTCCAGCTGATTGGACGTTTTCGATTCCACTGGCTTGTTTTCGTAACCCTGTTATTTTTATAAATATATTAGCAATTTTATCATATTATTTTTCCTTTCATTTTTATAATATTCCCCTCCTTTTCTAATGGGTTGCATCCTACTATTATTTTTTTTCACTTTTTATTATTTTTAAAGGCTTCTACCCTGGTCTATATAGCCAATATGTGAATATAAATTAATGTCGTATGTAATTTTGTTAAAAATTTTAGTCAGAAATTTTATACATACATTTATTAAATTTAGTTTATCTTATTGAAAATGAGGGATGCCTAATTTTTCTATAAGTAATACATATAAAAGATCATTCAAGAGCACCTAGAATGGAATGTATGAATGCCATGATGGTTATATTTTATATTATCTCATTTCTTCTATACTTATTTCACTTAGTATTTAAGTGCTTAATAATAGCCCACATATACTCCAGGTCATAGACCCTCTGCATATCCAGGAGGAGGATCTTGTCATAAAGGAGTAAATTATGAAGGAACATAGGATCGGACATACATTCATGTCAAACACATAATCCTTCTACAGGCTCCACCGCATTCGGGTAAAAATATACATACAGACACATACAAACTTTTCCATAACAGTAGTCCAATATAAAATAGTTAGTAGACTTATTTAGAAAACTATGATTAAAAAATTCAGAAGATACACACTTTGCCAGTTGCCTGCTTAAATTAATTAGAAATCGGCATTATCTATACATATAACGAAATTATAACTAAGCTGAATCTGTACATTAAATATTTTTTGAAAAATCTTATTGAAACAAACATTATTATCGATACAGAGGCTGAATCTATAGTTTCTAGAATTTTTGTCTGTCTGTCTGTCTCTTACCGCATCACAGAAAAACCACTGGAGGTTTTGATGAACGGTGATAGCTGGTTATCTGGGTCAACATATAGGATACATTTTACCACAGGAAAATATCTAATATCTGAGAAAAAAATACAAAAACTGCAATGTAAGAGTATACTCATATGTAAAACCTAAGAATTTGGTTTTTTGTCATCTGAACGCGGGCGGAGCCGCGGGCAATGCTAGTTCTTTATATATAAGTATTATACCGAAATTCTTCCCTCCATTTGCACAAAATGTGCAACTGAGTGCATCACACTCAGTGTTTTGGCCATGAAAGAATTAGATTTTATTAGTATCTGAACAAGATTATCTCATAAATAAAATACATAATATGATTTTTTATATCCCATAGATTTTTGTTTGATATCTTATACACTCAAGAAGGATTATTGTATGAAACATTATACATATATAAATTTATCCTATTTTCAGAGAGAATAATGTGATTATACAAATAAGTAAAAGATTTTAACTTACTTTTAGTGCACATTTCATAGCTTGTGCTGGCAATTTAGTGAGATCTGGTGTTATTGTTCTCAAGTCATTAACATCAACTTCTTGTTCATTGCCATAATCTACATATGCAACCACAATTTTCCCCCCTCGAGTATCTCTCACCATTGCTCTGTACCAATTGTCATCATCAGGGAACCTGGCACAGCAAACAGCACCTACAGGCAGCTCCCCAGGAGAAGAACTACTTTCACAGTGATTCTTAACAGCTTCCATAACGGCATTCAAATCATCAATCTTATCTGATAACTGGACATAGAATTTTATACAACTGTCCACATATGACACTAATACTGATTGTTTACTTCCTAAAGGCAACATATCCATCCATTTAAATTGTAAGTTGTCTTTCATATTTGACATTAACAAGTCTAATACATTCTTGTTATCTAAGAACAGTTCTCCATACTGAATTAATGGTGGACCCTCTGGTGCTACGACCCTTAAAGTCAACACTTTTCCATTAACCAACTGCTTGAAAGACTCATTCAAATGTGGACTCTTCTGTAATTTCTTAACACCAGAAAGGCAGAATCGCATTGCAAAAACATTAGGCTTTACAAACTCTTCTGGAATATCAAATATATCATAGTATGACACCATTTCAGTATCACCAAAATCTACAAAAAACAATTTACATTGGGATCCAGATAGATTCATAACAATTGCTCTGCAAATGATACGGTCTCCAGACATTCTACCGAGGCACACAGTTCCAATCATTGGTGGCTCAGCCAGGCTACTATGTGGCCTCCTATTAATATCATCCATCATTTCCTGCAGTTTCTTGGCATCATATACAAGTTGCACTGCAAATAGTTCTGGACCCTCTTCAGCAAATGATACAAACACTTTGTGCTGAGAGTTTACTTCTAATAGTCTGCTTTTATATGTTGTTGATTTCTTTGGAGAAGGTGGTTTGTTTGTTGGGTGAATTGGTGTAGGTGGGGGTGTAGCAGGCAATGGAACTGCAGTAGAGGGTGCATGTTGAGGCTGACGGACAGGTGCTCTAAGATTAACCATATTCCTTGATGCCTTGTTAACTAACAATCTTTGACTCACTCCAGATAGAGCTGGTGCTCCATTATGTGGCACTGCTATATTCTGATTTATTTGCATAGCTGAAGCTGGATTGGGGAAGTTTTGATTGATAAGGAATGGAACATGTTCAGTAAAGGATGGAGGATCATTTAGTAGACTTGGTGACCAGCTTGTTACCTGTTGATTATCAGTCATTTGTAACAGAAGAACTTCTTGCTTAGGTACAGGTATTGCTATTCCAAATCGATTAGATACTAAATGAGTCGAAAGATCATTTCCTTTAAATTGAATTGATATTATCGGAAGAGTTCGTGTCTGAGCTTCCACTGCCGCTGGGTATTCAGCATAGCAAAGTAAACTTTGAAGTTTTAGAAGGAGAGGTTCTTCCCATCTTCCAGATGGATGCATAACACGAGACAAATAATAGTCGGTTGCTTGTCCTCGTAATTGTAAAAACATTGGATCATAACTATCTAAGAAACGTATAGTACTTAGGGATATAATGTCTTTATTACCATAATCAATAAAGTGAACTCCAACTAAGCCAGTAGCGAGATTTGTTGTGCTTATAATTTTAGCTCTATAATACGTTCCATCTTTGTATTTGGCGGCACAAATTATACCTTCATGAATAGCTGCCGGTGGCACTGCTCCTACACCTTTTTCTAAATTTTCTTTAGCCGTTTCAAATAAACTCTCTACCATTAACGAGGACTGCTGATCGAGCTGACCACTTATCTTCAGAAAATGCCCCTCACCATCCACATGGGTCACATAAAGTCGAAAAGGTCTTTGAGCTTCTGTTGGTAAAGCCATGGTAAACACTTATCTAAATACGATAGACGCCTAAGTAAAAAAATTAAATACTTATGAACATAACTCTTACTAGAAAACAAAGTACGTCTAATATCTTGGACTACTACAGCTTTAGTCAATAAAAAATGCACTTTCTTTTCCGTTTACGTTTTCAGCTAACATGGCGATTATTTTCATTTTTTTTTAATTAGTCTATGTAAAGAAGTCTATGATTCATTGACTCATAGCTTTGAAATTCAATAGAAATTTTTATTTTTCATCTAAGAGAAATAGAATAGAAATAGTTAAAAACAATAACTTTATTTTCACCAAAAATCTAATATTCATTTACTATTACATAAAACCATTGAATTATGTTTTTGTCCAAAGAGAAAAGGAGAAATAATTGTTTATTTATCAAAGTGTATTTTACATTATTATTAAAACAATAGGGATGGGCCGAAATTCGTTTTAAATTCGGTTTGAATGCCGAACATTCGGCAATAGAAAAAAAAACTTTCTTGCACTATTTTGACTGAAATAAATAGAAAGCATGTCTGTCATAACAATAAAATAAGATTAATGGCCGATTTTACTACCGTTACCTAAGTTTAAGGCATACCCTAAGCATAGTTAGGGGGCAGTTTCTGTTTTACCGACAGTTAGGGGCCACCTAAATGTTTAAATGCCACCTAAATATAGGTATTAGAAATACTGGCTCTGACGATGGTAAAACCAAATTTAATTTAGGGGCTAGTTTAGGGGACTTTTAAGCTAGGGATCCCATACGTAGGTGGTAGTATAAGTCTGGCATAAGTGCATAAGTCTTTTATATACTCATTAGTCCAATCCGAATCCGCTTGGGGAACAAAAAATTAAAACCTGAAGTTGATATAAGGAAAAAAATTTCCTAAATGCCCCTGATGTCCAGCTACCCCCGAGAATTGGGTGGATAAAAAGCTTTGAAAAATAGTTTCGTTCAATTTCCGACTTTAACTAAAACCTATCGAAAAATGTTTTCTTCAAAAGTTGTAGTAAAAATCTACAACTTTTATAAATTATACTTTTTACAATAACCTCAAAGTTTTCGAGATATTTGCAAAAAAAAAACATTTTTAATTTTTTTCCTGGTTTTTTATTTTTTATATCTGCAAACTTTTTTTTATTTTCATAAAACAAGGTTATTTTCCCAATACATATAATAACAAAAAAAATTAAAATTGAAATATTTAGTTGTTTCCGAAAAATTTATGTTTTATGGTCTCGGGAGGCTGAAAATCACACCCAATTTCTAGTGGATGTTTACATTTAACAATAAATCATTCAATTTTTAGGTAGGTATAAGGAAGGCTCACTTATTTTGTCTCTAACTCTCGAACTCTACTTTTGGAAAAACCAAAAACATTGTCGCCACAAAATCGATCAAAAATAAATAAAAGATATATATAACCTAATCTTTTAGGAATATTAAACTTCAGGTTTTATTTTAATTTTCTATTAGAAATAAACGGATTCCTATCGGTCTACATGGTCATTTATTTTAGTTAGGAACATGTAAACCTATACACGTATGCGATAAAAATTAAATTAGTTCTTCTTAATTTAAGTCTCAAAAATCTTTGCTAAAGTGAAATAAATGTTTTTCTAACAAACATATTCATTACAATTCGTAATTTGAATTAAAAAAAACTCACGTTTTTGGTTTAGTAACTAAACACTCAGAAACATTAAGTATTTTTAATTAATAAAGGTTCACGATATGTCTCTTTAGAAAGCGCGTTGAAGTTGAACCGAAGTTCGGCCGAATTTTTTATTCACACCGAATGTTCGGCACAACTTTCGTATTTGGTTCAAGCCATATTCGGCCAATCACTATAAAACAAATATAGTAAATAAAAAAATAATAATAATAAGTATTAGAAAAGTTCAAAATAGTGATATCGTTCAGCGAATTGTCTATAAAATAGAAGTCTTTCTTTATTGGCTATAATGGAAGTCATTGGTTTACTTAGTCTGTGCATGTGCCATATTTTTATATGTAGCAATATACTCTATGGCATGTGCCAAATGCCAATGTCAATTTTATTTTGATCACAAGCATGGATGACAAATAAAAATCACAAGAGAACTAAAAGTAAAGCCAAAACTACTTGTAAAAGTAAAAGTTATTCTATTTATCTAATTACTTTTAGTAATTCATCCATAGTTTCACACAAAAAAATTGATGCTTATTATATTTAGCTTATATTCATTTCAGTTCAATTTTTAGATAATATTGCAGTTTTATATAATGATGAAATAAAAAGTGCAAACTGCAATTCGAAAATGATTGAAACTTGTTCGAAACGATGTATGTTACTAGGAACAATATTGTTAGGAGTGTAAGTGTATTTTCATATACAAGCTTGCCATGTCATTTCAGAGTTTATTCTGTTACAAATAATCCCAAAATCATGTGTAAAGAAATTCTTTAGCATATGTTGCCTTATACTTTTTTAAAGATGTTATTGTAAGAAAACAATTCACAGGTTAACCATTGTGATTCTTATCTTGGAATCACAATTAGCTGACACCCTCTCAGGAAGCCAAAGAATGAAGAATAAAACATTTCCAACTGAAAACAACTCGACGTGTTGGATGCATCAACCATATACAATTATAAGTGAATGTCATCCATGTTCAGGTAAATCAAATTGAGTATTATTAATTTAGATGTAACATTTCTAATGCAGGACTGTATTTAAGTATAAGAAAAAAATATATTTATGAAAGTCTCTTTATATTCTGATACTAAGACTCACCCTCGCTTCGCTTGGCTTCGTCTCTAGTTTGTTTCCCAATACAAACTTTCATCCCCATTTTCATCTTTTAAGGGATGATTTCTGGGAGAAAAAGTATCCTATGACCTTTCCAGGGTCTCAAACTAACTTCTTACCAAATTTCACCTAAATTGGTTGAGTAGATCTAGAGATTACCCTCTACAACGTTACAAACTCACAAACTTTACCTCTTTATAATATTCATATAGATAACCCAGATTCTATTAAATGTAACTACTATACTTGTACAGTAAAAGTATGCTACGAATCAAGTTGAAATAATTATCTTTGCTTTTTTTAAGCTATTGCATAGCTTCTATCGCGGGCCTTGAGCGTAGGGACCGAATCCAGAAATTCTGTAACGAAAAAAACCTGACACCCCCCACTCCGACCGGCACAGCGATGATACTTTTTAGTTTTTCCATCTATCGATAAATACCAGAACTTTTAATGACTTTTTGAAATATCACACTTTTCTCTTTAGTTCAGCAACCCGCCTTTAGGTGGCATTGGTTGTATTGGAAAACTACCGTAATCAGCTGTTTGGGAGAAAGTTTATTTTTTTTATGAGCTAGTACCATCTTGCATAAAAACTACGAACTAGCTGTCTTACGCTACTTTTATTCACAGCTATAAGAATATGGTCACTAGATGGCGCAACAAAACAAAATAGTAGTTTGATATTTATGTTTTAAGTCACGTTTGACGACACGCTTGGCTCAGTTTGTAGTGACCCTATTTTCTGTGCCAGCGGTCGCAGGTTCGAGTCCCGCTGGGGGCATTCATTTGTGTGTTGTCGAATGTTTGTACTCCAGTCATGGGTGTTTATATTTATAATATGTATGTATTTAAAGTTATATATGTGTAGTGTATCAACTATCTGGTATCCATAACACAGGCCTCGTAGTTTACCATGGAACTAGATGGCATGAAATACTAATAAAATAAATAAATAATTATAATTGCATAAGTTGATAAAAAATGCTATGCAATAGCTTTACCGCGGCAGTCTCCGAGTGCCACATTTAATTTTTAAATCATTATAGGCTTAGGGATTTTAAAACATAATATAATAGAGCATATTAGGTATAGTTTGATTACTTGTAAAAAAGATAAAGTAACAATAATTGTGTTAATGATGAAATAATTTCAGACTTTGAAATTCGGAGCAAAAGTATTGGAGTATGCATTCACACCAGTTTTAAAGAAATACTTAAATGTGAAAATGGTGAAACAGTGACTAGAAGGTAAACATGAAATATAACATTTATTCTCTTATTTAAAAAAAAATCATATCTATTACAACAAATTTTTAAATGCACACAAAGTAACATAAATAGATAAATAAAATTTTATTGTTTATTTATACATAAGTAGCGACTCATCCTTGCTCTGCTAGGGTTTGTCACTAGATATGTTTTAACATTTAGTATAGATTTCTCAGAGATGAGATATTTTCCTGCAGTAAAAAGTATCATATATGTTGACCCGGATAACCAACTGTCATCATACCAAATTTCATCAACAATCTGTTCAGTGATTTTCCTGTGATGCATTCCATGACAAACAGACAAAAATTCTAAAAACTATAGGTTCGGCTTTTGTGTTGATAATAATGAGTATTTCAAAAAGATTTTCCAAAAAGTATTTAATGTACAGATTTGACTGTTTTAGAATTATATTATATAGACTAGCATAGCCCGCTCCGCCCGCGTTCAGATGACCAAAAATCAAATTCTTAGGTTTTACATATTAGTATACTCTTACAATGCAGTTTTTGTATTTTTTCTCGGAAATGAGATATTTTCCCACGGTAAAAAGTATCCTTTATGTTGACCCGGATAACCAGTTATCATCATACTAAATTTCATCAAAATCTGTCCAGTGCTTTTCTCGTGATGCGGTAACAGACAGACAGACAAAAATTCTAAAAACTATAGATTCAGACTTTATCGATCATAATGTCTGTTTCAATTACATTTTCCAAAAAATATTTAATGTACAGATTTGACTTAGTTACAATTTTATTATATGTATAGATTAATTTTCTAATTAATAATATTACAGTTGTGATCGTGTTGCATTTTTGGAAGAAAGGGCGTACTGGAAGTTTACTATCTGGTCTTTTGTTATTGGAATGGCCTCATCAGTGGCTGTTATGCTAAGAATGAGAGTTCTTAATTACAAAGCTAAAAGAAGAGCTCGCCAAGTATTAAGTAATGGTTCCATATGAAGTCTTTAATTATAATTTTATAACCTAAAAATATTTATTGATAAATGTAATAAATATATTATGGACTATGGTGAATAATAACTTTATGCTTAAAAATAAATAATTATTGTAAAAAATTATATCTATGAAGAGTGTATAGATGAAAAGTCTTGTGTTTATCAATAATATTTATTCAAACAGTATTTTTAGAAGTTCGCAAATAACTTTTACATTGACACTGTTTCCTAAAAGTCTATAACATTGTTTTAATGTAACACAATCAGGAAATTTATAACTTTGTGGAAATGACATTAAAGAAAGAACTTCAGTAGGAGTAAAAAATCTTAATTTCAATTTTTTTATTGTGGCTATAAATTCATCACTACCAACATCATATTTGTTAGCTTCTTTGTAACAATATTGAACTTCTTCAGGTGTAAACTCTGTATAGACAGAACCAGTACCTTCAACATAATGTGTATAAGCTTTAGTAAAACAACATGTTCTTCTAGATTGACTAAAGCAAATATCCAATACTTTTGCTCTTTTCATCAACTTATCACTTAATAAAAATGTTTCAGGAATATTTTTCTCCACTATTTCTTCTAAAGTCACAGGTTCATTGTAATTTTTTGGAAGTATTTTAATCTAGAAAATAAACCATTATAAATATTTTTCACTACAAGATTATAAAAATTATAAATATAGATGAAAACTTACAATTTCTTCTTTGTGTTGATGATGCCATTTAGTATCATTTCTTCTTGCCAAACAATAATATCTTAGTCTAGAATTAGGTACACCAACATTTGTGGGGCATAAAAGATATTCTTGATATTCAAAATTACATTCTTTTAATTTATTTACAAATAATTTCCTTACAGTAGAACATTCAAATCCCTTAACATTTTCCATTAATATGTAGTTGATTTTTTCTAAATGTACAAATAAGTCTATTAAATATATAAAAGAATTTGTTCTAGGATCATTTTCATCTAAATATTTTCCATTTCTTGTAAAGGGCTGACATGGTGGTGACATAAGCACAGTGTCAACATCAAGTTCATTAATTTCTTTTGAAGTCAAAGATTGAATGTTTTTATTTAATAAACGAGTATTAGGAAAATTGTGCTTATAAACATCATTTGCTACATTATTAATATCAACAGCCATTACTACTTCACCATTCAAGCCAGATTCTGAAATCGTTAGAAAAATTAACTTATTATTATCGATTGCTTATTGAAATTTAAATTTTTTAAGTAAAATAACTAGTATGGAGCACATGTTACCATTCCATGCACAGTGCATGCCGCCAATTCCACTATACAGTTCTAAGATTTTATGCTTCATTCCCAGTATTAAATTTAAAAATGTAACAAGTTATTTTCGTGATTTAAAGTATAATTATTTCATGGATGACATATATTTAATCTCGCAATTCTCATTTGCAGTTTACCTAGAAATTCTACATATTTGTTTACGTCTACCGTCAATGTCATTTTCATGGATGACAAGTAACAACTATAAGTCATTTTTTGAAGAAAGTGACGTTTGAGTTTTGACACTTCATAAAATTATCCTCGTTTCCGACCATTACAGAAATAAAGTACCTGTCTAGAAATAAAGTTTTACGTTAAATTATTGCCGGTAACTTTGAATATAAAGTAATAAGTAAATGTAGCTAGTATGTAGTAAGTAAAAGTTAAAGAAAATGTAAAATAGAAAGAAACATTTTAATAATTCTTCTATTTAAAATTTTAAGAATTCCCAAAAAAAAATGTTTGTGAGATTATCAGATAATTTATTCAATGTTTTTATTTAACGTTGATTTTAAAATGAAACAAATACACATTAAATGAATAAAACAATTTTATCAATTTAACTATTCTTTTATTTATTAACAACAAAAATAGTAGTAACATACATCGATATAGTTTATAAAGTGTCTTACTTTGTGTAAGGGTACCAAGGCTGAATATTTTTTTTAATTTAAAACGAGACATTCATATTTATCCTCGTACAAAGTTACCCAAGTTGAGCATAGATCTAGAAGCAGTTTTTTATTTTTTGTCAGCTGTCTGCCACCCACTGACTTATACAGTTGAATGACCTTGATTATGGCAGTTATGGCGGAATCAAAGTTGAGTAAGGACGTATTTAATGTTAAAAGTGATAATAATGCCGACTCAAAAGAGCATGTTTACCTCGAAGAAACATTTTATATTCTTTCTAAAAAGAAATCTGTTTTTCGTGTCAAGCTTACATCTAATGGATTATCTTTAATCAAAGAGACCGATGATAGTTCAAGGGAGCAAACAATACTTTTGCGGGATATTATCGGAAGTAAATGTATGAGAAGCAAAAGACGTCGTGTTGGGGCAAGTTCTTGTGTTTGCAGTTCCCTCGTAGGCCACCAGCAGCTTAAGGTAGTCGATGAAAACAGTGGCGACCTTGATGAAAGCGATATTAGTGCATATCTTTACATTTACGCTTACAATTTAAAGCGCAGCCGCCGTAGTTTAAAACGAGAGAGAACCACAATAACATTGCGATTTCGATCCTATGATAAATACGAAGATAATAACAGGGAAGCGCAAAAGTGGAGAACGACGATAAAATGTTTATTGGCAGATCAACCTATCTCGTACAATTTACCTCACAATGAAAAAAAATTGTTGATACTTTTGAATCCAAAGTCGGGTCCGGGAAAAGCTAGGGAATTATTTCAAACCAAAGCGGCACCGATATTACAAGAGGCAGAGACACCTTACGATCTTCATGTAACAAAATATGCACAATATGCTCGTGAATTTGTTCGTACGAGGAACGTTTACGCTTGGCGAGGTGTCGTGGCAGTGGGTGGTGACGGGGTATTGTTCGAAATATTAAATGGGATGTTTGAACGCTTAGACTGGCAACAAGCTCTTGCAGAAGTGCCATTAGCTATATTACCATGTGGTTCAGGGAATGGCTTAGCTAGGACCATCTGCCATCACTACAAGTGAGTAATGATTATATTCTTTATCTATGTTGTTCAGATATTGAAAGTAATATTTTACGTATGTATGTATGCAGATAATGTTAGTTATCTGATAACGGATTTTCTTAAAAAATATATATTTATTTTCTAATTTAATTATTATTTCTAAATATCAACAAAACAAACAATATTTTAACAAAAAAAAACTATATGAAACCACTAAAAACCATTTATTTGGCTACTGATTTAGTTTCAAATAAGAAATTATTTTAAAATTAAATTCACTAAAATAATACCGTTCTAGATATTTTCTAGATATTTCTCAGTCTGGAATTAATATTTTTTCCTCAAACTACAATCTTAACCCGGCGGGAGGCGCATCCCATATTACAACACGAACTGTCGCTACCGGGTAAAAAATACCACAATTTAATACATGAAAAAACTTTGCTTTTATATGGATATTTAAATTAAACACATTCTTATTTTATATTTTATTATATTTTAAACTAAATAATATAAAAACAAAGTAATTAACTATTTATGTTAAGTGTTATTTTTTTTTATGAAAACACAAGCTAAATTTATTTGCGTTTTACATATTGTACATGAAGAAACAAAAATTAGACTCTAAACTTATTAATAAACTAAAAAACGATATCAATATCAAATGATCATACTCTTACTTATTATGGCAATTGCAATATATTTTAATTTGGCATTTTTTTTTAAATAAAATCTCTCAAGGTATAACATAAAAAATCTCTCTTCTTAGCAAATGTCTGAACATGTTCTAGTTATATCTAAAAATTTTGAGGACATTCTTCACAAATAGGAACGGTATGTATCGGTATGATTCTTTACATATCTTTTCATAACATAGAGTGCCATCAGTCTTAGTTTTTCGATCCTTTTTCCAAGGATGAACTGAACATCGTGATGCAGACATTTGCGAGCGTGGCTACAGGATTCTTTCCTGATGAGAACGAATCAGATTGTCGTTTAGTTCATTGCTACCACCAAGTACGAAAATTATTATACCTTTTATACCTGTAGGCCTGATACTAATATGCATTCAGGTTGAAATGCGAAAACGGATCTATAATACTAATTTATTTTTTCTCACGGTTCTAAACACAGTCAATCTGTAATCCTTGAATCCTATAATGCAAGGGTGCATCATCTAGATACCGGTGATTATGGATGGCTGAGGCACCGTATCCTCTTCATCAAAAGTCGACATCGCCGTGGATGTTCGAACCATATGTCCTTTTTGCTCTGAATCAATTTAATGTTCACTATATTCTGCATAATTTTCTATTTCAGAAATATCTTCTTTGTCACTATTTTCTAAAAGCAGATACTCTTCTACTTGTTCTTCATTTAGGGAAAAAGAAGACATCTTGATATTCCAAAACAAACAAAAACAATATGAACCAAAAGAAAAATAATAGAACGCAAATAGTCGCTACGGGGTAAAAAATACCCTTAAGCATCTTTTAAGTTTGTTGTGGCTGAACGCCACGCAACAACTGGTCCTCAATTCAAAATAACGGATTGTCGTACCTTTGTCGAAAGGTGCCTAAAATGTCATTGCACAAAAATAAGCAGAAAAATAAATATTTACGAAATTATGCACTATGTGGTAAATTTTACCCGGTAGCGCCTCCTGCCGAGTTAAAGGTCAGTATGAAATATATCTTATGTCCTGCATTACGCAGCCACCTTAAAATGATTACTTGATAATATGCTTAAATTGTAGCATCTTAATATGAGTCTAAACGCAAATTTTGCCATCAAATGGAATAAAGTAATAATATTGACTAAGGGAGGCGTATTTACGCAACCTGAGTAGTTCAACATTTTCCGCCGCTGCTCCCCTCTTTAAACGCCGCATCTAGCGTCCCACAGTAGGTTTTAACTTTTGAGTTTTGAAACCCCCTCCCCTTTTCCAAGGAACCACCAACAAACTACCATTTCAACTTATTCTAGAAGGCTCAGTAAGAACAAAAACGTAGGTAGCAAGAGCTGTTTTGATGATTTAACTTAAATAAGCAATTTGAAAATATAGTCTATTTAAATGATTATAAAACAAATAATACAGTTAACAGAATTATAGGCAAACACACATATAGTATATAGAATAAAAACACAATAACTCTGATAGAGTAATGGATAAGCCAATTAACATTAATAGCTTACAAGTGGTTATAATAAATTTTTAACGAAATATTTATTTTACCTGTTTAAAACTGAAACTTTTAAAGTACTAATTTAATATGTTTTTCTTATGAAGGACATTAAATATAAAAAAATACGTAATGTGTTGATGTAAAATGCTATTTTTCTTTATATGTCAAAAATATTAATTTTATTGATAGTATTAGTTTGTAGGTTTATTAGTTTGTAGGTATTTTACATTATTTCTAGATAAATAAAGTCAAATACGCGATGGCTAAACAATATAAAATAATAACAATGGAAACTAAAAATATCCTATATTATCTCTAAAACTACTCAACATTTTTATTCACCAAAATAATTTTATTTGAAAGTATTTTACAAGCATATAACTCATAATTATAGATTCCAATACAAAAGTTGTTAAACGTTAGCAAATACCCGCAAGTGTTTTTTTTTACTTCAATTACGATTCACATGAGCTCATTCGAAATTTTAGCTCTATTGAACTAATATATTATAATCTGGTAATAAATAAAATAGCTGTTAGTTGTGACATACGACGAACAAACAGACAAATATGACAAACTATTAGAGTTCAATTTGTACCATTTAGCCACGTAACCCTAAATATACGACAAGAACTCTTAATCAATTAGACGAAGCGTAAAGTGCTATCAAACATCACTATATAGTATATACCTAACAATGAATATTTTACTCTTAAGCTTTTATACCTCGAACAATGTTTTGTTTGTCAAGGACATGTTACAAACATGCAATTATATTATTCATATTCCTGTACAGATATTATTTTGTTGCAATATAAACATAACACTGTATATAATAATAATAATGTTTATTCAGTACTGTGAAGAGATTTTTACTTTTTAATTTTTTTGTTGAAAAAATAGGATGCGAGGTTAATTTGTATTTAGGACTGACAATCAATTTTAATCGACTTTAATGTTAAAACAATTATTGTAGGCATTCCGGTATTGCGTCTGATATTTAAATACTTGACTATAATAATTACAGCAAATTTCGAAGACATAAGATATTTTCCAGCAGTAAAAAATATATATGTTGGACCTGAATAACCAGCTTTCATCATACCAAATTTCATAAAAATTTGTCCAGTGGTTTTCTCGTGATGCGTTCCCAGATAGAGACAAACAAAAACTTTTTTTTTGATTTGACCTCTGTATCGATTTATTTCAATAAGATTTTCCAAAAAAATATTTAATGTATAGATTCGACTCAGAATTTTATTATATGTACAAGTTTATTTTAAAACACTTGATAGGATATACACATATTACGCACACACATATCTTTTTGGTTGTAAAAAGCGACAAGTGTGCGAGTTGTTGTAAGAAACGTACTAAGTCTTAATAAAAATCTAACACTGAATAATGAAATAAACTTAATTCAATTAGACTTAATATAAGCACTTTTGAATCATCAATTTAATTTAAACACTATCAAGATTTTCTGTTAGGCTAAATCCAGAATTATACGATGACTCATAAAAAAGAAATCTAATCTTTATACATTTTCGTAATTTTAAACAAACATGTCAAGATCCTTAACAGTCGTGAATATCATTATGTGGTAAACAACTTATACTTATTTATATTTAGATACACTAAAACTAATATTAAGTTTTTTAAATTTTTATACAATATGTTTTTTAATAAAAAATATTATTTATAAAAATATATCCAGTTGTAATTTTTTTTATTAAAATTAAGTATAGTTTAGAAATTATTGTCTCGATACAAAGTGTAATATCGTATTACTTATCGTTTAGGTACAATTTTAATGTAAGTATATACTAGCGACTCACCCTGCTTCGCTCGGATTCGTCCCTACCTACGTTTTAACGTTTAGTATAGATTTCTCAGAGATGAGAATAGATATTTCCCCGCAGTAAAAAGTATTCTGAGATATGTTGACCCGGATAACCAGCTATACCTCATCAAAATCTCTCCAGTGGGTTTTCCGTGATGCGGTAACAGACAGACGGACAAAAATTCAAAAATAGATTCGGTCACTGTAGAGTGTGAATAATGTCTATTTTAATATGTACGCTTTTCCAAAAAAAAAATGTATATTGTATACTCGTAGATTCGGCTTAGTTACAATTTTATTGTATGTATAGATATGAGATATAACATGAAGATATCTTTTTGTTAGTGAATTTTTGAATTTTAATTTTTTATTTTACTCATTCTGCTTTATAATCCCTAAGATTTTTTTATTTTGAAACTATACCATGCAGTTTTCATTTATATTAAGTATTTACCTACATAGTTTTTTTTTAATTTTGATTTTTTATTTCGAATTTATTTTTGCTTAAATTAAAAAGCTCGATGGTACCGTTTTCTATTGGTATTCAATGTATGTTATGCGTGCCTAAAGTTGTAATTTACATACATATATTTTAAACAAGTAAAGTTAATAAGCTTGCAATATGTTCAATAGGCGCAAAAGACCGATTGAGAAAAAAAAACTATTCTGAAAATGTAATTTCTAACAAACCAGGCCAAGCTGGCGAGTTACGTCGGAACGAGCGGGCTTGTGGCTTTGTTGCTTGACTAATGAGAGGACAAGTGTCAAGTCACCTTTAATACTTAAAACATAGTTTGTAACTATAAATATAAAATATTAGCTACTCACTAGGTTGATTCCCCACACAAACATTCATCCTCATTTTCACCCCCTTAAGGGACAACTTCGGGAATAAAAAGTATCCTATATCCTTCCCAGGGTCTCAAACTATCTTCTTACTTCATCATCTAAATCGGTAAGGTAGTTTTTGAGTTTATTCGTTACAA